GCTGATGCGACAGTGATGGGCTCGGACCTCGCCTCGCCGTATTTTCAAATCCAGGCCTCCAGTGACGCCAGTATCAACTTCAGGGCATTCATATCCGTGGGAATATTGTCGGAAAAACCAAATCGGCCTCGCGAGGCCTCGCGAGGCATTCCGGACTGATCGGTGTTGCGAGGCCTCGCGAGCTAGGCTAATTAGCTCGCAATGTGATTACCGCCGTGACAGCGCCTTGCAATTTGCTGACAGCATGTCACAATCTGCCTAGCTCGGCTTGCAAGCCCTTGCAAGAGCCGCGCGCCAGCTTGCAATCAATGCGGTCACGCTCGCGATTGAGCCTCCGGCGGTTGCAAGCGGCTCGGCATGTTGCGACAGCCAAGCGGAGATCGCAATAGCAGCAGGTCCCATTGCAATTTAAAGCGGAGATTGAAAAGAGGCAACACGCGATGCAAAAGAAAGGGTAATACACGGGTTTTAGCTTCCTTCAGTCGCTTCTTACCCTCCTAATGATCCTTTCTATGAGAACATATCACATATTCACTTGCTCCCTTCTATAAGGCGTATTATTGATTATTGACTCGATCTAAACGGACTACAATTGGTACTATTTCGCCGACACTAGTACTCTACTAATACTCTACAACTACGACTAGATTCACAACTATGGCATACAAATTACGCTACTAGATGATTAGTATATTGTGATTACACTGAACAGAAATGACTCACAGTATGGGGATCGAACTCGCGATTGCACGTCGTTAAAGAGTGAAGGTCTATTGAGGCGTGAAAAACCATTAGTCCATGGGTCTGTTAAGCAGACTGTTACATACCTCTATATACCACATCGTTTCAGCGCGCTTGTGAACTTGCTACCGTCACCTGGCAGTATCCCGTGCTGCCCAGTTAACGGGCATGAGCCCAATAATCTGCAACTGTGTGTCCAGTCAATTTTGCCAGCATCAAGCGACCAGTACCAGAGCGTCGGTGTGTGCACATGAGCCGCGCTCTCGGCCAAACAAACCTAAGCTACCACCGAGATACGCGTCGACAACGACCTTGAGCTCCGGGTCCGGGTGCTGAACATGCAGTCACTTAGACAACAGCGCGATAGATGGGGCTGATGGACAGGGAGGGGCCGAGATGGGCGGCTGTTTCGGATATTGCGTTGTCTGAGGTGTTGTCGGCGACGTAGGACGAGGCGCGGCAACGGAAAAAGAGTGGGTGTCGGAGAATATGAATGAGGGGGAAGCACAAAGAACGGCGCGGGCGATGCGGAGACAATGAGAGCTCAAAACGGCTGGATCGGGATGTTTCAGGATGCGGGAGAGTCGAGGGCGGCGGGTTCGCCAAATATCGGCGATGTAGAAAGAGGCGGCGCGACTGAGCGTGGGGGGAACGCGGAAGTCAAGCATCCAGTTCGGAAGGCTCGCGCCGCCACCTTCGCCCGCTGACGAGATCTAGACGCGGGGTGACGACAACGATGAGGCCGTCCCAGTTGTCGTCCATGAGGACGATGTCGGACGCTTCCTTCGTGACCTCGGTGCCCGTGACGCCCATCGAGAAGCCGACGTGCGCAGCCTTGAGCGCGGGCCCGTCGTTAGTGCCGTCGCCGGTGATCGCCACGATCTCGCCGAGCTCCTTGAGGGTGGTGACGAGGATGCGCTTGTCCTCGGGCGACGAGCGCGCGAGCACCTGGAGACGCTGCACGGTCACGCGGCGCTCGGTGTCTGACAGCGCGCGGAACCGCGGGCCCTCCATGACGATGCCGCCGGGGGTGAAGATGCCACACTGAGTGGCAATGGAGCGCGTGGTGAGGACGTTGTCGCCGGTGCACATCTTGACCTGGACGCCTGCGCGGGCGCAGTCTGCCACCGCTTTGCGAACGCCGGGGCGAAGAGGGTCCTCAAGAGCGAAGAGGCCAGCGAGCGTGAGATCGCGTGCGAGATCCGTCCATGAGACCTAAAACAATGGTCAGAGAGGGCGTTCAACAAGGATGGGGTGACGTACTTCGTCGGCCTTGGGTGACCAGTCGTCCAAGTCTCGATAGCATACAGCGATGGTGTGGAGCGTCTGCGACGCGTACGACGTGATGCTCTCCAAGATCCGCGCCCGATCGTCTTCGTCGGTGACCTTCGTGACCACATTTTCTCGTTCTGTGACAACAACCTGGCGTGCGCACGCCGCGACGAGCACCTCGCTCGCGCCCTTGACGTACAGCCGCGCACGACCTCCCGGAAGACGCACCACGACACCCATCGCCTTGCGCTCGCTCGGGAACGGGAACACCTGTAGAGCCTCAGCAGCCTCTCGAACGGCCTTGTAGCCCGGCCATCTCGAGTCGCGCGCCATCGCCAGCAGTGCGGTCTCCGTCTTGCTGCCCACGAACACGGAGACGCCGGTGTTTGCGTCCGCATCTTCGAACGCGGTGCAGTTGATCGCAATGGCGTCGTTGAGGAGGGCACGAAGGGGAGGAGGAAGCGCGCCGCTGAGGCAGCGGAGCTCGATGGGAGTGGCGTCGGGTGTGGCGCGCTCGGGATTCTGGGCCAGATCGCGGACGAAGGCGAGGTCGCCGCCGATGGTGCCCGCCACGACGGTCATGGCGTTCTGCGTGAGCGTGCCGGTCTTGTCGGTGCAGATGACGCTGGTGTTCGCCATGGTCTCGCAGGAGTTGAGGACTCGGACGAGAAGGTTCTCGCGTGTCATCCGCTTGGTGGCCAACGCCAACGCGAGTGCGATGGCTAGAGGTAAACCTAAAGATGAATTAGAACGCATGCTTCGAGACAGCGCGAGCGATGGGCGTACCTTCAGGAACTGAGGCGACGACGAGCGTGAAGGACAAGATGAGAATGTCCACGAAAGCCAACCCTTTTTGGCTGGGGCTCCTACAAGGGACGTCAGCGATACACCGTCAGAGACGATCGCGAAAGATCCGCACATGTGGGGAGTGTCAGTGCCGATCTTGACGAAGTATCGAATGAGCAGCCCGATGAAGAGCATCAAACCGCCAAGTGAGCCTGCGACGGCGATCCTGTTAGCTAGATGCTCCAGCTTGCGCTGAAGGGCCGTGCCCTCTGCTGTCGCGGAGCGCTGTCCATGTCCCGTCAGAGCGAGGTGCGTACGGAGTGACAAGCATACATACAGGTCATGATGCGCCTATGGAACGAACGAGGCCTGACGGTGATGACAACGTACGAACCTACGCCCTCGAGGATCTTGCTACCACTGATGAGGAAGCAGTCGGTATGCGGAGAGGCGTCCTTCTTGTCGTGGTCGAGCGTCTTCCGCAGCTCCAAACAATCCTCGTACTTCATCTTCTTGATGACGTCACTCTCCCCTGTCGCGCCCGACTTGTCGCAGCGCACGTTGTGGCCTGAGAGAAACACACCGTCGCACAGCATGATCTACGTCGCTGACGACGACGGCATGCACGTCTATGAGGCGCTCTACACCCCCACGGACGACCTTGACGGTGCGCTCGTCCTTCTTCGCGTTGAGCACGCGGAACTGGCGCTCCTTCTGCCAGTCCGTGAGCGAGCCGACGAGCACGACGACGACGATCGCGACCATGATCGCGACGCCCTCGACCCACTCCACCGCGGGCTCGTCCGGGTCGCGCCCAGGCCCAAAGTCCTGGAAGAGGCCGAGCGCGAGAGAGATGACGGCGGCAACGGAGAGCAGGATCTGGACGGTGGGGCGCGGGTTGGAATGTGACGAGGGTGGAATGAGCTGAGGAGGGGGAGGGGGAGGAGCCAGGCGGTCTACTAGGACCGGATAGATCATGGAGGACGCACCACTCCTCCATCTTGAGAAGCTTGCCGGCGGCGACGGCCTTGACGACGTAGCCCTCGAGCTTCGCGGTGTCGAAGCTGCCCGGGCCGTACGCATGGACGGCAAACATGTTGAGCGTGGCGCAGCCAAACCTCGCGGCCTGCATGGACTCGTCGAGATAGGACTCACCGCTGGTCGTCACGAGAATCTGTTGCGCTGCCTGAGCACCACGTACCGACCCCGAACCCCACGAAGAGACAGCCAGGTGAGAAGGGAGGCACATACCGAGCTGTTCGACCCGAGCTGGTTCTTGATCGTCTGTGCGCGGTCGCGCTGCCACTGCGTGTGCGCGGCGATGTAGTCCGGGCCCTTGTCGACCTCATGCTCGGCCTTGAACGCGAAGATGTATATGAGCACTTTCTCCTCCCACAGTTTCGCGTTGTGTGCTCGTGGTGTAGGGTGTAGTACCCCAGCCGCCCGTCGAACACAGCGGTCTGTGGTGCAGCCTGTTCGTAGAAGAAGCCGGTACCGTAGATCGCGCCGTAGATCAACCGTAGACGTCCCCGGCTGCGAGCACGTTGAAGCTGTGCATCGAGATGAGAGCTGTGGGCGTGGAGGTGAGCTTGGGGTTGCCCCACAGGAAGGAGGGGGTCGGAGCGAACCTTGATCCCGAAGGAGTGGACCCTACACTCACTTGTACCCCGAGCATGATCTGACGCGTGCGCCGGGCTATCCCAGAGCGGTATAGACAAAAGTTGGGTGTCTGGGGTTGAATGTGACGGAAACGGAGTACTTACACTGGGGGCGTGCCCTTCGCACATTTCACCATCGTGTCCGCCGTGTCCTCCGGGTCCGCGTCCGCGTCACTGGAGATTGTGCGCCATCTTCTTGGGTGGCTGGCTGCTGGCGTGGTGGTTGAGTAAGCGGGATGTGGATCGAATGGAAGTGCGAGGGGTGCGGTTGAGGTCAGGGAACATGATGGTGGACAGAGGAAGAGAGCAATGCCTGCGCTTATCCACGAAATCGCGCCCATCTACACATAGACGCCGGGCCGGTGCGAGACTCATCTGCACGGGCTGAATTGTGTACCGCTGTTCAGGTCTCGCGGGGGTATGAAACCCACGCAGAACAGATTAATGACATCCGTTTGTGTTGCCAAAATACATCATATGTTTCCGGAGTAGCAAGCAATATCTGAAATGTGTAATACATTCACGGTCAAAGTATCTAGTAGCGTGAGCCTAAGGCTGACCGGCCTTCCTACAGTAGTGATTCGCCAGGTGCATCCGTTGTGACAGCCTATCAGCAGGTGCGGATGCATCTGGTGCCGGCCGGCCCGGTTGCGCTCGACACCGCCTTCCCCAAGCGCGCTCGCGCACCCCCTGGGACAGCGTCGCACCCGGATGTCCAGACACCGGCGCCTCAGGCGCCGCCACCTGAGCTCGCTGTCTTGGACAGTGAGCTCGCCTCCCTCTTTGTTTCACACCACATCTTGTATATGATTAGTGATAAAAATATATTTATTAGTAAACTGCTACATAGGTGTGCTAGTAAGTAACACCATGCCCCTCGGGACAAGGCGGAGGAGGTGGGCGAGTGGGCGACGTGAACGCGGGAGACGCGGAGGCGGGCGACGCGAAGGCAAGTGACGCAGAGGAGAGCGACGTGGAGGGCTCGCGGAGGGACGCGGAGGGCTCGTGGAGGGACGCGGAGGGCCGGGACGAGGCGGAGTAGGTGGTGGGCGACGCGGGCGGGGGTGTGTGGTGTGAAGGGGGAGGAGGCGCAGAGCACCGAGGGCGGGCGACGCGAGCGGAGGAGGCGACGTCGGCGGAGGAGGTGACGTGGGCCGGGACGACGCGGAGGAGGGCCGCGCGTGCGGAGAAGGTGCGCGGAGGAGGGCGACGCGGAGGGCTCGCGGGAGGAGGCGGAGGCAGAGGAGGGCGGCACGGGCGGAAGTGGACGAGCCGGAGGAGGCGGGCAACGCGGAGGAGGAGGAGCGTGGAGGAGGAGCGCAGACGCGGACGCGGGGGGCCGGGACGAGGCGAAGGAGGGGGAGCCTAGTGACGCGCATAGATGCGGGTGGCGAGAGGCGGCGCGGACGCGGACGCGGGCGACATGGAGGAGAGTGATGACGCGGAGGTGGGCGACGCGCGTGGAGGAGGAGGGCCGCATGGAGGCGGGCGAGACACGGAGGAGGGCGACATGGAGGTGGGGGAGGCGGAGGAGGGTGTGCGGGCGCAGGCGGGCTGCGCGAAGGTGGGCGGAGAGCAGCGTGGAGGTGGGCGAGGTGGACACGGAGATCAAGGCTGGCAGGCCGGATGGGCGAAGCCGGAGAGGAGAGGTGAACATTGGGAGTGCAGGAGGGCGGAGCGGGGGACTCACCAAAACAAGGGCCACGGTACATCGCCGCGGCCCCCTAATTCCAATCTCCATGCTGAGGACGTCCGGATGGACGTCCTCCCGCGGTGTGGACGCAGCCGGCAAAGTGGGCGAAGGACGGCATGGAGGTCGAGGTTGAGGTCGAGGGAGGGGGAGGAGGGGAGCTGAACGGTGTCACCAGGTGACACCGGAGTCCAATAGCAGACGAAGGACGACTGTATAGTCGCTATCGTCTGCCTGGACGGTGGAGGCGGAGCAGGAGGAGGAAGAGGAGGCGGGGAGGAGAGCAAGGACGGCGGGAGGGACGCGTGGCGTGCATCACAGCCACGCGTCAATGCGCGCCACGCGTCCTTGCCGCCCACCGAGGCGCGTCTCTACGGGCGCGCATCACGGATCGCCAGATCCGTCCAGATGCATCCGTAGCTGCCGATAGGCTATCGCAACGGATGCACCAGGGAAATCACCTGTGCTCCCGACACAATGGAGGTCGAAGCGACGGAGTGGCTCGACAGTGTGGACTCGGAGGCGGGCGTGCTCGACGTGTTTGACTGGTGGGCAGGATGGGATAACGTTGTAGATGCCGATGCATGCTGTAAGACCTGACCTTCTCGGCGAGAAGTGCCCACATGCAAGTCGTCCTCTAGATCGGAAGGAAGATCGTCGAGATCTACTACATCGGAGTCGTTAGCAAGGTCAACTTCGACGTTCTCGACCGCGATGGTGTGCTGGAGGCCGCCATTGAACACGAAGTCGTTGAATGCCTTGAGAATGAACCGTACAATCTTTGTATCTTGGTTGATGTACATCCACTTGAAGTATTCTTCGTAGTCGGCTTCGTAATCCCGGTGTGAGTCAGGCCCGACTGAGGAGAAGCAAGAGTCGAAAGAAAGAAGATATCTGGTCTGCCACGCAGGGATCTCAGGACAGGCAACGCAAGGTGGAGAAAATAACTCACGACCACAGTCGCCATTGCGACCATACCAATAGTTGCCCGTGTGATGTTGTACTTGACCCCGGTAGAGTTAGATGCAGGTTTCGAGCGCGTGAGTGCGGTCTTTGAGAACATCATGATGCGACAGGTCTAAACACACGACAAAGGACGTTAGAAGGCAAAGCTCGTGGACGTAAACTTCACGAGGCTCACCTTGAGAATTGCTGGGGCCTGTAGCCGGTTATAAACGCAATTTTCCTTCTCCTTTCCGCCAGAGTGCAGAAAAGGGGCCCAAGGACCGTCGTGATCATCACCACGGAGATGAGACAAGATCGGATGAGTCTTCAGAGAGTTGCTGGACGACCATTGGACGTCGCGGAGGGAGTCAATGTGCGAGAAGATCTCAGCCCGCATCTGCTTGCTGTGCGTGATCACATTGGTCTTGAGGCTGCCAATGTGACGGGCGAACTGCCCGATTTTGTAGCGGTAAACATCTCGTATCTGCGTAGAAGTAGAATGGAACAGCTTACATTGTCTCGAATCGACTCACGATGGAAGGCTTTGAGGACGTTCGGAGAGAGAAATTCGCGAAGCTCAGCGGCACGCGCCTGGTGGGACCGGTCGTGAGGATCCTCGTCACTGGGGTCAGGGGTCTTCCAGCGCCACTCGGTGTTGCGTGGATCGCAGGTGGCCGGGTTGGCAGCTCTCGTGAGAACACCGTTGAAGAGCCAGAGCGTCACCCTCAGCCCGTACCTATAAGCATCCGCCTTGACATCGTCGTCGAGATCGTGAACCCCGGGGGCCTTCTTTTTCTTCTTCGACTTGCTGGAGCTGTCGTGGAGGTCTTGAATTTGAAGGTTTGCCGCACCGACAAGCTTGTGAAGCTGATCGTTCTTCCTGTGTGCTTGGTAGAGAGCCTGTAAGAACGACAAATGTTCGGTGAGTGCTTACTCAATAAGGGAAGTGTGTGCGTAAGTTGCGTACCTCCTGGTACTCATCGATTGAAGCGTTGGGCGGGGGCAAAATAATGGGGCCAGGGGCAGTAGGCGTGGTCCCCAATGCTAGTGGAGCATCGCCGCTGGCGGACGTCATCTGCAGACGAAGAGGTGTTAGTATGAGAATCATAGAGTGAGAGTCTACTACGGACCCTTTGAACGTTCAGTCAAGCGGGGGGAAGGGAGCGATGACTGGGCCGGTGCCGGTGGTGAACGGGCCTGGAGTCTGAAGTCTGGATGGCTTGGTATTTATACGTCCGATTGTCCAGTGGGTGAGATGTCAGTGGTGATGACGTGCTACCTATTTTCGATGAGTGCACACCTGCTTTCGCCGAGCCCTCAGATTTTGAGAGCGTCCTGAGCTCCGCGATGGTTCAGGTCCGGATTGAAGTCCTCGACCTCAACCTCATGGCAGCTTCTCGCCGGGCATTCACCCATCGATCGCTGCGCTGCGTGTTCAATCTGTCAACAAGTCCGATCACCTCATGTGTTCCACGAGGTTTCATGTTGGCGATCAGCGTACACTTGAGCACATTGCAAGAGACGTAATATGTCAGAAGAATGCTCACCTTGGATATCGGAAGTGTGTCAGATCATCCTCGAGACTGCCTCGTTCCTGCGCGCGCCAGGTCCACCGCTGCGGCAGCGCCGACTCCTCCAGCCACTCGGCAACTCTTTCTTTTCTGCGTCCTTGTCCGCATTGCCGGCAAGGTGGAGGCAGGCACTCGCGTGCATGCCCACAATACACTTCACAGGGCTCACCGGCGGCTCACCGTAGGGGCTCGAGCAGGCGAGACCAAGGCGGATCTCGCGCGGCAGCACTGCAGTGGGGTAGAACGTGTCCCCGTGCTGTCCAGGGAGGACGTTAAAGCGGTGACCTTACGCTGCCAGGTACTCGCTAGCCACTTCGCCTGGTCTAGCTTCTTGATCACCTGCACCTTTGCGTGCGTGCTATTGTGCGGGGAGGAGCCTGACGAGCCTTCCCCATCGTTGTTGTCGTAATTGGACAGGATGAAAGGTCGAGTCACAGGTCGCATGGCGCAGGTGGCACACCTCGGACGGATCTAGACGGGGGCTAGAGCTAGGAGCGCGAGATGTGGCAGGCAAAGAGAAGGCGGATGTGTCACATACGAGCTGGCGATAACGCATAGCGTTGGCATTGAAAGCGGTGAAGCGACCTGCATGGCGCGAATACTTGAGCTCGTTAGCAGAGGCATCGTGGTGGGAGCGGGAGGAGAGGTAGAGCCTGGAGAGGCTGATGTGCTGGAGGGGGGTGTCGCTGTTGGAAGGGCGCCGGAGTGAGCCTGGTAGTACTCGAACTCCTCCTCCATCAGCACCGTCTTTGTGAAGTCCGCGACGTCTGCGACGTCCGCAACTGCGAATGTTGTGTCGACCTCGAAGCTCGGTGCGCCGACACCGCCCACCACGTCCATGTCCGGCATCTTGATGCTCCCCAGAGCCTTGTCGTTCCAGACAATGGTGAGACCCTCAGGGGACGCGATCTTCGCGTCGACTGCATGATATGGTCGCCGAATGAGAACGAATCAGAGAGGCAAAGAGGGCGGGAACATACATGGTCTGGCATTGGTGATCGACCCCTTCAGGTTTGTCGAACCGTCCCAGACGGGTTCTCCTGCACACCCTTGATCACCACCGTCAAGTTGGTCCAGAGCATGGAGCCAGACACAACATCCTGCACGATTGGCTGCGCAAGTGGCACGGGCAGGATCAGGATTGGGCTCGTGTCCGTCTTGATCGTCACGTTCGGCTGCGTGTAAGAGAGCGTAGTCGAGTACTCCCCGATCGTGACGCCCACAGTGAGCGCGACCTCCGTGGCAAGCCCGTGGCGAGCCTTGTGAACGCCTTATCGACGAAGGGAGGGAGGACGAAGTTCCTACAAGATTCGGTCAGCCTCCGCAGGTAGCAAAACGTAGATGGGAGTGCGCACGTGAAGATGGTGTTGACCACCCGCTTCGACCCACCGACGCTGTTCAGGTGGTGGTACCCGCCGAGCATGACGAAGTGGTCGAGGGGCACCGTGTCCTCGCTCGCCTGCTCCGCAAGCGGCTTCGTGACCGTGAAGAGACTCTGCAGGTCCATGTTGAGGTTGAGGTTGAACACAGGCCCCAAGGTCATCGTCGACTTGCCCGCGGACGAGAAGGTGGAGGGAAATGCCCCGGGAGATGACGTTGGACGAGATGTGTGTGATATCAAGTGTGGTGGTGATTCTAGAACTCGAGTCCGAACGCAATGTCGCCAGAGCCTGCTCGTTCGTGATCAGCACCTCATGCGACCCATCTCCGCTCATGTACTCACCGAGTGTGATGTTGCTCGGGTTGAACAGGTCCGACGTGACCTTGATGAGCAAAAAGTTCGCGAATCCTTGGATCACGTCCAGGCTCGTCACGACCAACGACCTTGCGTTCAGGCCCTGCAGGCCCGCGACTGTTGACTTGACCACGAACTCGATGTTCGTCAGCGAGAGCACGCCGATGGCCGTGTTTGCGTCCGTGTCCGCTCAGCCGCATTGTCACGCTCTTGCCCGTTGCGGTGTCCGAGAGGAACTGCTTGAACACGGTGTGCTGCCCATCCGCGAAGTCGAAGGGCACGCCGGCGAACGCGAGGTGGATCGCGCGCGCGTCCACGTCTGTCGTGCTTGGGCCCTTGGAGATCGCGAGCGTCGCGAAGTCTGCGCCGTCCGTCCTGATGGAGATCGTCTGGCCGACGGCGGTGATATCATTGGGGAATGCGAAGGGGAGGGCGAACCGGGGCGTGGTGGTGTCGTTGCAGCCGAAGGCGGGGGAGAACGCGAAGTCCTGTGGCGAGGGTGCACGCTGGTTAGCACTGCCATGTCAGAAGTACTAAACCCAAACGCACCATCGTAATTCAATGCGTTTCGGGGGGCGAGATCGCGTCGTAGACGAGCGGGATCAGGCGGCCGGAGGTGAGCTGTGGGAGCTCGGCGAGGACGGCGGCGTCGGGGAGGGCGCGGTCGAGGACATGCGTGGTGGTGGCGGCAGCGGCGGTGCCCGTGGCGGACACCCGCTGGTGAACAGGCCTAGGGCAGCACTGACTCGTGAGGTGCCATTGCACGCAAGAGCACAGTGCATGCGAGACCACGCACGCGAGGTGACGGTGTGAGATGCCAACGCATCCGCGAGACGGTGCACGGGAGACGGCGCGAGGGAGACAGCGCTGGCGAGACGGTGCGTGCGAGGGAGATGGCACATGGGAGACGGGAGACGGGAGACGGGAGACGGGAGATGGGAGACGGGAGACGGGAGACGGCGTGGGCGAGTGAGACGGCGCGGGCGATCCCTCGCCCATGGGAGACGGCGTGGGCGAATGACGGCGCAGGCGAGACGGTGCAGGCGAGTTGAAGGCACGGTGTGGGTGAGAGACGGCGTGGGTGAGAGACGGCGTAGGTGCGAGACAGCACGAGCAAGATGGCGCGGGCAAGAAGGCGCGAGTGAGACGCCGGTGCAGACGGTGCGGGCGAGATGGTGAGACAGCGCGAGCGAGATGGTGCAGGTGAGAAGGTGTGGGCGAGAGATCGCGTGGGCGAGCGAGACGGCGTGGGCGATCCCTCACCCACGGGAAACGGCATGGGAACATGACGTGACTGATGGACGACGCCGGCGGAGGAGGGTCGTGTGAGTGGGCTACGATGTGGGTGATGAGGTGGGCAGCGTGTGCTGACGACGCCGGCGGAGGACGCCAGTAGGGAGGAGGATATGGACGTGGCGCGCGGAGGCAGGCGACGCGGAGAAATGTCACACGAGCAGTGCGGGGAGAGGCAGAGGTCTGGGGAGGGGTGAGGGAGGACATAGGTGTGGACAATGTGGAGAGGGAGGAGGCGGCAGACGATGCGGGGCGAGGAGGCGACGTTGGACGGGACAACTCGGAGGTGGAGGAGGGCGGCACGGGCAGACGCACACAAGGCGGAGGGGGGAAAAGCAGGAGGAGGGCAAGGCAGGTGGAAGCAGGCGGTGGGCGGCACGCAGGCGAGCAACGAGGAGGTGGGCGAGGCGGAGGAGGTGGGCCGACATTCAGTAGCCCCACGGGAGCCAAGGGTACACGGGTTCTGGAGACCGCACCCGCACCCGTACCCTAAGCACCCGCACCCTCGGTGATCCCTACGTGGCGAGGAGCTAAGTTGTCAAGCCCGTCAGACCTGTGGAGTTTCAACTCAGTGAGGGTGAGAAGCAGGACTGTACTAACGCCGGTTTAGGTCGTCGGGTCACAGTTGCAGATAAGGCTGGGGCCGATACAGCCAACAAGGGGGTACGAGGAAGACACGGTGTGTGGATGCAGGCGCCTGGGAATCAGTTCCCACGCGTCGCGCGTGTAAACGCTCAGCGCAGCGCAGTCTGCACCACAGACTCTAGCTGTGCGGGGTATGCATTAGTCAGTCTACAACTAGCCTTGTACACTATTCAGCCCATTCTGGAACTCCACTTTTGAGCCTGAGGAACATATCTGCATCAACCATGTCCACCACTAGTCTGTCAAGTCCACCATGACCCGGATCATCCATTACCAATGCACCTCGAACCACGGATAGCGCGGAGATGAACAGGTCTTGTGGTGGTGTTGAATCTGTGAGTCGATGAAGCCCGAGCTCTTTGTCAATCTTGGTTCGTGGTCCAGGTGGAAAGTTGAGTCGTTCTGCATAGATGATGGGGTAAAGGGTGTCTGCAATGCTGATAGCAAACACCAAGCGCATTTTTGCGAATGCAAGGTGGCCAGAGGAGAGCTGATATATGATATAATCATATCGTGGGACGTTGTGGAACTGTTCAGAGCATCGCAAATAATCTGTCTCGGATTTCCAAGTGACTTGTGAGCGATATGAGACCTTCAAGTACCGTGACATGATAATCTGTGCACATTCAGTTACCCAACCAGCCAACAAGATGTGAAAGTTGAGGCTCACAGGATGGGATGTATCCAAAAAAAAGCCCTGAGTGGCAGACTGTGCTTCAAGGAAGTCTTGGAGCTTTGAATGGAAGTGTAAAGGCATGTTATTCACAGCTATGATAGTTGCAAGAGGTGTGGCTGCCGATCTTGAACCAAGGTAGACATGACTAAATTGAAAATCACTGGTATTAGGAGCTGGAGGCCCCTGCGGTAGATTTTCAAGGCCTTGTAGAGCCTGAAGCTTGAACCTGATTTGTTTTGCAATAGAGAGCTGCTGCTCATACCGAGCTATCTAATATTTCCTTGTTTGAGATCTGAATAAAAGGGTACAGAAGAAGTGTAATTCTTTACCTGTTCCTCCACATTCTTGAAGTTTGTGCGCTGTTCAAAAATATCCTTGAGCACACCATGTGACTTCTCAAAGGGCTTGCTGGTGGTGTTCAGAGTGACACCTTTCTGCAGAATATCATCAGGTGCGTGCTGTTGTGTGTGCATTTTGGGAAAGTTCCAATTCTTGTCTGGGTGGACTCTCAAGTACTCCTATAATATTTGAAACAGTCAGTAAATATATTGACAAAATAGGAGTGATGTGTGCACTTTGATAGCATCTGAGAAAAGAGGTAGGGTTGCCTGAGAAACAATCCACAGTGGTGAGAGTATGACATTCAAAGCCTGAATAAATATCCAGGATATTGTAGAGTCGGATGCATTTCATGAGAATGTATTCGCGGCTGTTCTGAAATGCTCTAGCTTGGAATAGTGTGTATGCTGCTGGAACCAAGATCTTGGCAGTGTTTTAATTAAAAAAATCCTTAAACACACTTCAGTTAAGCACACCTTTGAGATATCTTCATACTTTGACCCATCAGTGAAATTGACAGATGTAACCTCACTGAAGTGATTGAGATTTGACCACCGTGGAACTTTGTCAAACCTGTAGTCATATTTCAGTCAGATATATGGTACAATATAGCTTCAGAGCACTGACGCTTCATTGACATCCAGCCTCTGATAGGATGGCCGTGCCTCCATCACTTTCTGGAACTCAGCAAAGAGATGGTCACTGAACAAGCCACCGTGATAGGCATGTAGTCGGTCCCAGGAAAGTGTTTGATGCGGATCAGAGAAAGGAACATCCCAAAAAACATTCTGAGGCACAAACAATCAGCCAGTTTAATATACCATTATATTAATAGACACTCACAGTCAGAGGCCGAAGACCAATCGCTTTGCATGCATCCTCCTTCTCTTGCTTGCTGCGATTGCTGAGCACAATTGAACTTGATTCTGATGCTGTACGTAGGGGATGGAGTGTAGTGGTTCCCAAAGTAACTTGCTCTTTGGATGGAACTAGACAGATTGGGCACGGACAAGCACCCTTGACACCACGGATGAGAGACATCACACACCTATTTAAATTTCAGTGTACCTGCATAGCTGGGAAGCTTGGGAAGGACTTACTGCTCTTCATAGTCTGCTGTGAGAATCAAAATAATTGCCCATAGCACCCGCAGCAACCCATCCCCACACTCGACTGGATATCCGAGTTTAGCGTGTTTTATGAATGTCTCCAGCAGAATGTGGAAGGACTTGTGCCAGACAATTCTTTTCAGAGCTGTGAATCCTAGACGTCCCTCTTCGACATCATCCTCAACCTGGACCTATAATTAGGAGGTATACACCTGATACAAGAATTGAAACCATACAATAGGGAGAAATCCCACAACTTGCCCTCCACCATACCCTTCGCCATTTCGGATATGAGAGGGGAGGTTGGCGAGTCGTGCGATAATTGGATAACCTTTTCTGGTTCCAAATGACGACAAGCGGGTCTTGTCAGCATACAGCTGGAAGGCTAGGAGCCACCCTTTCTGTCCAAGTTGGTCCTACAATGTTGTGTTAGCATAGTATTCACTGTGTGAAGGTGGCACGGCGACATATTATAATGCTGCCGGGAAGCACACATAACCACGCGCCTCGCATAGCACTCAACGCACGAAGCACGAAGCACTGGATGTGACACACTGGCAGACAAGATGCACATAACGCAACGCAACGCATAGCGCGCAACCCACGGCACGCGATGCACCACGGCGCACAACGCACGTCGTGCAACCCGCGGTGCATCGGCCGCGGCGCGTCAGATGCCGGCGACACACCGACGCGACACACTGGCAGACGCTACGCTGCGCACGCAGCACACACAGAACAACGCACAGCACATAACTTGAGTGCCACGGTACGTGATGCACCGCGGCACACGACGCACATGATCGCGCAACCCGCGGCATGTCGGCCGGACGTGACGCCCTGACGCGACAAACCGGGAGACGTTACGCTGCGCACGCAGTGCACAACTCGAGTGCCACGGCACGCAATGCACGTCGCGCAACCTGCGGTGCGTCGGCCGCGGTGCGTCAGATGCGACACACCGACGTGACACACTGGCAGACGTTACGCTGCGCACGCAGCGCACGCAGCGCACGCAGCACAACGCACAGCGCACAGCGCATAACTTGAGTGCCACGGTACGTGATGCACCGCGGCACACGACGCACATGATCGCGCAACCCGCGGCACGTCGGCCGTACGTGACGCCCTGACGCAACAAACCGGGAGACGTTACGCTGCGCACGCAGCGCACAACTCGAGTGCCACGGCACGCGATGCACGTCGCGCAACCTGCGGTGCGTCGGCCGCGGTGCGTCAGATGCGACACACCGACGCGACACACTGGCAGACGCTACGCCGCGCACGCGTGACGCAGCACAACGCATAGTGTACAACTCGAGTGCCATGGCACATGATGCACCACGGCACACGACGCACATCGCGCAACCCGCGGCACGTCGGTCAGACGCGACACACCCGACGCGAGTCACTGGCGGATAGAATACACGGCGCAGCATGCAGCGTGCAACACGGTGGCACACAATGATGCACCACGCGCGACCTGTGGCACGCGACACACAACGCATGCAAGTGATAAAATCCGAGTCTACACTTACCTGAATGGCCCACATACGGTCCGCGGTATACGGTTCATCGATGAAGCGTTCCCATGTGTGCGCGCCGGCAGCTCGCCGGAACATCCTTCGAGGCTCCCAGACGAAGTGTCGAGCCAAATGCGGGTCGGTTACAAGTCCAATGGCCCAATCCCAGAGAGATCGGTGTTCAAATTTCCAAGACATCTCTTCAGGTCGCTCATCAGCCACAGCTTTGTACTTCTCAGTGACTTCGGATGTCGTCCACTATTGAAATTCTGATATTAATATGTATCTACACTCGACTCCCATGCGTTACTCACCTCAACATTGTGTTCTGTAGCTGCACGAGTCCAAGTATCCGAGATATCACTTGCTTTAGTGAAGTGGAAGTCAGAGGGGTTGGCGACAATGCGATGGATGATGTCCAGGAGACGATTGGTCTTGTTATTATTCAGGCCTGCTTGGGCAGCAAATTCGGCGAAGTCGAAGTCGACAAGAGACAAGAAGGGAGACTCTGGCTTGCGAGGGGGAAGCTGCTGAAACTCCGGAGTACTATTAGACCCAGACCGGAGCTGCCGAGATGGAGTAGGCACCGGTGGTGGACGGATGTAGCTCTCGAAAGATTCAACCCTGTCAGGGAGACCAAAGGAAGGATGATAGCAAGTTTTTATTGTTTTGCTGCAAGGCAGGTCATTCACCGACAGACTGTCGACAGACACGGCGGCAGGAGCAGTAGTCGGGACGTCCATAGGTACAGTGGTAGGGGTATCACATTCTTCACAACCACAAACAGGATTAAAAACAATCTAGCTACTCCCATACCCAGAGATGCTCACCTGGAGCTCGCACGATTCCAATAGTAGGAACGCCGGCCAGGCGGAGGTCTAGCAACGACGAAATTTAGGGGCAGTGGACGCAGTGAGCATTGAGATCGGACTCACCCGCACCCATAGTTGAACCAGACGGGGGGGGAACGCACCCTCAGAGGAGTCGTAGTTCACGAAGGACGCCTCTGCAACCCCGACCAGACCGTGTGGGTAAGCCTAGACGGCCGCGACAATGAAAGACAATATCTACGATGATCACGACGGATCCCCTCAACGAGGTCGGCACGATCCTCTTCAAGGGCTGCCCTCGTCTTGCATGACCGTTCGTGGTTCTTGATCCCGCTTGGAGCGTACTTCTTGCCGCATATCGAGCACGGGAGGTAAGAGTCAAGGGGAGCGCGAGGGCGACCTCTCCCGCGCGATGACATAAGCTAGTTGAGGTGCTAAACACACCATCCTGAGCGAGGGTGAATAGAGAGAACGCACCGACTTCAAAGTATAAGGAAGGGTACAGCAGAGAAGGAGAGGGGAGGAGTGAGGAAAGAGGAGGGGCCAAGAGCTATCGCAACAGCATCCAGATCTCGCGATATCATCGCAAGATCTGCCGCCCGTCTCGCAACATACCGCAAGACGCTCAAGGGATTGCGATGCCGCTGTCACATCACGGGAGGCATTGCAATCTAATCACAAGGCGGCTACGAGAATCTCGGCTCGCGAGGCCGATTTGAGTTTTCCGACAATGGGCATTTGATCAACCGCCAACGGTCTTGAACCATCAAAGGCATGACTTGAACTGCGCTCCATGTTACGCCGTGTGCACACGTTGCCACCTCTGAAGACATGATAAGTTCGCGGGATAGATCCAGGCAAATTCTTGGCCTTGCCTGTGTTATTACTCTTACAACAAGGGCAGCCTGTCCATGACAGCTAATAACACCTTCCCAAGCTCAAGTCCACACTCACAGGATCAAGGTCGCCTGGTCCTCCCACGACTCAACGACCACCATGTTCCCCTCATCTCCAAACGTCTCCGACTCCTCGCCCCACGGCGACCACGCAGCCCCCCAACCAACCCGTCCCGCAACGCGCCCTCTCTGAACCGAGCCCCAGCGTGCGCCGCGCTTCCTTCCAAGCCCGGCTGGGTCCACAAGCTCCTCACGCCACTCGACCACGGGGCGTGGGCCGTACGTAGTGCGCGCTTCGAACCCGCCCTCGTACGAGGGCGGCAGCGCCACGGTGGCGGGGGCGTCGTGCGCGCTCGCGTGGACGCGCAAGTGGTTGGACAAGGGGGCGTCGAGGACGGCGAGGTTGACGGGTCCGCCACGGTTGTGAGCGGACAGGCTGAACGCCCCGGGGCCGCTGGGGTGGTGCTCGTCGGGCGTGCCGCAGAGGAGGCTGACCTCGCTATGAATCTCGCTGTCGAAGTGGACGACGGGTGGGTGAGCGGGCATCCCGATGGGAGAGCGATGTAGGGATACTTACGCGTCGGTTGTCCGCATGTCCAGACGCGTCGGCTCAGTGACGTCAAGGTTGAAGAGGTGGGTGCGGGCCGTGATCGGCGCACCAGAGGTGTGCAAGCGAAGGGAGCCGAAGGCGTAGAAAGTACCCTTGATGCAGGCATCCATCGCCGTCACACCTACGTGGTCCGCGAGTAAGGACTGGACGTTCTTTTGTCAACGAGCGCGCAAATTTGTAGAGAACAGCGCACACCTCGACATAAACAGCCGACATCCCAGAGTATAGCTCGACTTCTCCGAAGACCGCACCATCCGCCAACGGTCCTAACGAATGTACGAAATGAGGCATGAAAGACACCAGCTTGTTGAGATTAAGGTAACTGCCGTCCGCGTTCGTCGGGAGCTGGACATTGATGGAGTATTGGATCTCGGGAAGGTTGACGGGACTCTGTTCAGGTCGGATGAGTTATATAGAGCGTGCATTTGTGATTAACGGACACTCACAAGTAGCCGCATTTCGGACGGTTGCGAGCTGCACACAACCACCGAGTCTATATCATATTCTGTGGGGTAGTCGGCTTGTATGTCCACGATGATGGCGGTAGTGTTAGGGGTGGCGTTCAAGGAGAACGCAATCGAGCTCTCTCGGTATGCGCCTATGGCGTCGAAGAGAAGGGTGGTGTTGAGGTCTGGCGGCGCGAGCTCCAGCCGCTGTCTTGCACGTGACAGCCCATCCTGCCCCTTTTCGACCATCCACATGTCGCGTCTCATGCAATCACTGGCAGCATACCGTGGCGCGCCGCCGCCAACCTGCGCCAGGAGCCGTGCAACCATCAGCACGAGCGTAGGGACTGAGAGCCTTCAGAGGCAATGACGTACCCATCTCGAGCGCGCGACGAGGTCGGAGCTGCGTACGTGGTATACCGACGCGACGACGAGCAGTGTGAGCGCGCCCATGGAAAAAAGCTTGCACCACCACGCTCGCCGGGATCCCCTCCGCCCTTCGTCCGCTTCGTGCAACATTAGATACGCCTCTTCGCGCCCGAAGGCTCCGTCCGTCACTGGCAGCGGGATTCCTTCGATGGGCGCAACCTGACGCGGGCTGGGGTAGCCTCCGGAGGACATCGTGTGTTAGTCCGGGATACGGTGCTTGAACCTTCGGGGCCAGATGAGAAATCGACTAAAACCCAAGAAATCAAGGAAATGGGTGCAAGGGAGAAGGGGAAGGAAGCCTTGCAAGCAAGCAGGGGTGGGGGAAGGAAGAGCAAACAGGTGGGAAGGTAGACTCACCGGCTCCGTCATCTAATATGTCTCGCCATGACACGCGCCGCACCGCCGCCGACCTGCTGCGCGAAGCACCACCGTCTTTGGCTCCCAAGGACAGATCGCGTTGCTTAAGCAATTCGGAGACAGTGCACCCATCACAGCATCCTGGGAGATCGCAGTTGAACGTGGCCTCCTTGATGGAAGAGCCTCATCGCGAAGCAAGGACGCTGTTCAGAATGCGATTTCTTCAGGCGCTATCGGCGGGCGGCGGGCGACAAAGGCCGTAGTTTGGGATATTGGGCATGGGATGCCGAGGAGGGCGCGCCGAGACACCGTGGGGTTGAAGCTGGCTTGGCGAATGAGAGGGGGATGAAGGGGCTGCGGGAACTGTCATCAGGGCGAAAATGCGGCGGACTGCCACAGCTTTGACTTCTGGGGACGCGCAAGGTGAGCCCAGCAACCGGCGAGACGACAGTGCCATGCATACACGCACCGGAAGCAGTGCCCGTTATCACAATATCTTGGTGGCCACGCGCGTCGCGCACGCGCACCCTAGGGAAGTCGACGAACTGGCCTGCTTTGGAGTTATGGTTGTAGGCATGCTCTTGCATTATAAACGCTGGAATATGACCCGGACGAGAGGCCACTGAGGGTGAGTCCAGATGATGACGGGAAGAGAGCGGAGGCCAGGGCGCAGGCGCGCGAAGGCGTCTTATGTATTGGGATGGCCAAGGCAGCCCACGATGATGAGTATTGTACGCGATACAAGTACAACAGAGTATACAAATGGTATAACGACAGAGGTGCGCTACGTAGCAGTGTCACAGCAGAAGACACGACAGAGTATGTTATATACATGCACCACACCAATTCCCCCCACCAATACACAAACGAACAGCCCCGCGCTCATGCACTTAATTGAATCGGCCTTACGGAGGTCGACAGCGTCACACTGCCCTCACCCGGTCCACTGTAGGGCATCCACAGGACCTTGCCCGTCGCAGACGAGTGCGAGCTCTGCTGAGGGAACGACCTGCGATACCTGTACCGGTTCGACGGATCCGTGCTTGATATCGGATCCACGGCGACAGCGCCGCCCAACGAACGCAAGCTGTACGTGCCCTCGTAGGCGGGATGCAATATCACCTGCACGGGTGCGTTCTGTGTCGTTCCTACGAGCTGCAGGTGGGAGTCGACAGGCTGGTCGTGAATATGGGCGCTGAGAGCTCCGTTGGTGGTGTGGATGTCGACGATGAAAGAGCCATTGATGAGGGAGGGGTCTGGTAATGGTGGCGCGTGGGATAAAGCTGCAGAGGTCGAGAGGAGGTGAATATTGGACGTGAGTAGGCTGCACGAGGGAAGTGAGCAAGAAAGATGGTCATGAGGGGAGCCAAGGATGCGCACGCATTGCTCGTCTGTATCAACACGCGAGACGTATTCGAGGGATCGTTCGCGACAAAGGCGCTGACATCGACCGAAGCGTTTGATGTCTTGAGAGTAAGCTGGTCGGAGGCGTGAAATACACCAGTAATCTTGTCCTTGGAAGTGACAGCCGTCAAGTTCTTTGCCTTCACGAACTATTGGCCGGGTCAGGAGGAATCCGCTGAAAACAATGTAGACTACTCACCGTGCTATCAATCTTGGCAAGGCCCGACTGCAGATTAATGGAGCGGAAGTCTACTGGGCCTTTAAGGTTCACGTGGTGCGAAAATCGAGGGAGGTTGGTTTCGAATGCGTTCACGAACGTCGTGTTTACTGTTCGGTAAGAAAAGACGACCTCGATATGGAAACCGCCAACATCCTTGGGCCATTTCGCTGGTGTCTATATGACCATCAGAACCATGCGGTAAAGAAAGCGCGTGAGATTGAGTACCAAGAGTGCAACGCCCAGTTGAGACGGAGCGCGTTCAACTACGCAGACGTTGGTCATGGCTAGGTCTGCCTTTGAGCCTTTGGGATATATCTTGATCGTCACAGAGTCCTCGGGAAAGTTTTCGTGACTTGACGTCAATATTTCAACGGAGCCATGCGCCAGAGTCCCTCTGCTGAAGAGATAAAGCGCGTCTGAGGACAGCGGCAGTGTTAACGAGAAGGGCGCGACCCCTCGAGTGCTGATATCTCCTGAGACGTATGTGGGACCGAAACATGAGTGCACCAAGCCGTCGGAGGGCATTGGCCAAGGGAACTGGTTCAAGCCATGGAAGAAGAGCAGGTTGATTCGCGTTTGTGAGGAGCTTGATTCCAGAGATGCGAAGACAGTGGAATGCTCACGTCATGACTACCCTTCCTACTGCCACGCCAGAATGCTATCGTCACTACCCCCTTGATAGCCCATGCCACCGAGAGGTAGATGAGGACGGCCCAAAGGAAAGCTTTGATGAAACGTTTCCCTGCGCGCTCTCCTCGCTTGATAGGCCCACCGCGGTGTGGTGGTGGTGGAGAAATGAGAGGGGCCGACGCGCTGCCCGTCTGGGCCTCAACATCGACGTTGCGGGAGGCGCGATACGGCTGGTAAGGTATATGGATTGGTGCAGGGCCGCGACTTGAACCGGCGTGTTGAGGGGTGAAGGTGCCGTAGGCAGCCGATGGCGGGGGAGGTGGTTGTGCAGCGACGAATTCCTGGAAATAAGCGAGGAGGTGGTTACGCCTTACCCAGCAGGAGCAGGTGCAGCAACGCACCTCAATCGAATGCCCAGGGTACGCCGGCGGGGGCGCGATGCGGTCCTCTTCAGGGACGGCGGCCGGCGGCTCCGCGCGGGCTTTGGCGGGCGATATAGGTGCCGAGTCGTCTGGCAAGATCATGGTGTCCGCTGTGTTCGACGGCGAGGGCGACACACGAGGGTGGAGGGGGGACGGAAGCTAAGAGCGCGAGCTCAGGGGCGGCGACGATGCCCAAGACGAGTTATGTATGCGCGTCGGGTGATCAAGTGGGTGTCGCATCCCACATGGAGGAACGCCTTGGAACTGCGCGCGCAGGCGATAGTGGCTGCGCGCCCCTGCGATGACTCACATCTGCCGTTCCTGCGGCTCGGCTCGGATGCGCTCGTGCTGAGAGCCTGTGAGAGGCTCAGGATGGTTGTGTGGGTGGGAGCACGAGGGCGGGCCGGAAGCGACGTCGCGCAGGTGCCATAGATGGCGCAGGCTGCGCCCGAGATTGCGCGTGGTCGGCGGGTCTGATAGGAAATATGCGCGCGAGAACGTGGGTCGTGGATAGCGAATAGTCATACGACGCCAACGACGCGTTCAACTTGAGCAGGCGATGGACGAGGAGGAAGGCGGAGAGACGGCGACGGCGCGGAGCGACCTCTCTCTGGCGGTGCGCGGTTGTCGCGTGCTCCGTGGCTCGCGGCTCCGCCCCGCGCTCGCCTCGCGTCGGGGAACGCGTTGCACGCCCAGTCCTCACTGCTTCCTCAGGCCTCATCCCCCACCATCCCCTCTCACCTCCTACCTTCAACCCGCGCAGACATGGTGAGAATGCCCAACCCTTTCATGCGGGCAATCGTTCTGAGCTGCCGGTCTGCAGCTGCCACTGTCCCTACTGAACGCGGCACAAAATAAGCCGATGGTGAGTCTCCCCTCTGCCTACCGTGGCGCTGAGCACTGAACCCGCCAAGGCTGACTCTCGCCCTCCCCTTGCTCGTCCATGCCCACTTGACACGAACTCGGCTTGAGTAGCTCGTAGAGCTGAAAAATGGCGAGACATTCAATGGGCACCTTGTCAACTGCGACAACTTCATGAACATCACGCTCCGAGAGGTCTACCAGACGAGCGCGGAAGGCGACAGGTTCTGGAAATTGAAGGAATGCTACATTCGGGGCAGTACGGTGAGTACTTCATGGTGGTGCAATGTGCATCTTGGCCTGCTGTATCAGCCATGGCTCGTCGTGCATGTGTGTGTATTCGGGAGAGGCACAGGACGTGCTGCGGCTGGACGTCGCCCATACACACCCCCTGTATACACAAGCCGCTTTTCTATGCGCAAGCCGTCCCTTCACCGCGCGTCCTCGTGCTGACGTCCCCACCCCCACCGCAGATCAAGTACCTGCGCGTCCCAGACGCCCTCCTCGACTCCGTCAAGGAGGAGCAGAACCGTGCGCGAGAAGCCGGCCGCGGCGCGAGAGGAGGCCATGTCGGCGGTCCCGGCACTCGTGGTCGCGGTGCGCCCCCTCGCGGTATGTCCTCCTTCCGTCTCTACACGCGCAGATCCGCTGTGTCCCCTCGTCCGCGATGAACCGATCGACTGACCATTGCTTCCTCCAGGACGCGGTGGCATGCCCCGTGGGGCAGGCCCGATGCGCGGCGGAGGCCGCGGACGGGGGAGGGGTATGTGAGGCTGGCGATGGGCAGGCTGGCCTCGTCCGGAAAGCGGTCGCTTCGGCTCTCTAATACGCACGCCCTCGACGACTCCCGATCACTGTTGTTTTGCTCTCGACCTGTGTACAGCATTTACCATATGTTAGGATCTTCCATTGGATCAGCGATGGCCGTAAACTCGCTTGCGCCAATATTGAATATCGTTCACCGGCATTCACTGCACGCTCCAGTAACGGCTGTGATATATGGATCGAAAGCTCTCGATAGCAGTAATGGCGGAGGGATATTCCGCACAAGGAGTACGGTGGGTGGTCACGAGTGAAGTATGTGCATGATGTGCGAGTGTGTAACGACAGCAGGAATGAGCGAGCGGTGTACGCGGGTATCAAGGAGTGGTCCGGCGGATACATGTGAGCGAGAGCAGTCCATACGTGATATGGCGATGTGAGAGACGGATGCAGTGTACTGGTACAGCGGTGATTGAGCAGTCGTGACGAGGAAGAGAATGTTAGAGATGCAGGTAAATACTTTTGTACAAGGAGGGTCGTATGTCTCGGAGGGGCGTACACGTATATGTTTGGCGTGTGCGTGTGGGGAAGAAGTTTAGTCCCACGTATCTTGCATGACGCCAGAAACGATGTCAAACTCAACGCGGTTTGTGCCATCCTCGTCTGTTTTGCAGACCCATCGTCCCTAGGACTGTCATCAGACAGAGAGGCGCGAAAAGTCTTGGAAATGCTCACGATATATATCAAGTTCCCGATACCGATCAGCCTGAGGACAGAGCTCTCGCGAAGCATCATATTCCGCACGGACTTGATGATAGCGTCCGACTCTCCCCTCCGCCACTTGGACTGGTAGAATCGAAGGGTGCGGAGGTTGTTGGCCTTCGCCACGACCGCCTCGTAAGGAGTCTGCGCAACCGAGTTAGAGATTTCCACAACGCACAACAGGGCGGGCACGCACCCCCTCTGGGCTCCAGATCGTTGAGCACGAGAGCGTCTCGAGCGCGGGGAAGAGCGTGCAGAGGCACTCGACGTCCGCGAGGGACATCTGCGTCGAGTCCGCGGTGAAGTGCTTGAGCGTGTCCTTGTGGATCGTCGCCATGTCGAGCAGAAAGCCGCGGGGGATGAACTGCTCGCCGGCGGTGGAAAACGCGTTGAGCGTGAAGCTCTCGAGGCTCGGGGCGGGCGTGAGCCGGCGGATCCACGTCCAGAGCTGCTGCAGGCCCTGCGGGTCGACCGTGCTCGTGCGCACGGTGAGATCGCGGAGGCGCGCGGCGGGGATGTCGTCGTAGCGCGAGAGCGCGGCGGCCCCGAAGTACTCGGTGTCGAGCGAGTGCAGGTGTGGGAGGAAGGTGAGGATCTCGAGGATGGCGGCTGAGGACGCGCCCTTGAGGCGGAGCGCGCGGAGGCGCGGGAGGTGGGCGAGGACTGTGATGAGGATCGAGGCGGGAACACCTGAACAACGCTGCCGGCGCACGCGGACGAGCAGGGGGAAGCGGTGATCAGGACGTACAGTCTAACGGGTGCACGCGAGAAAGGGAACTGACGCCCAGCTCGAGGTGTGTGAGGCTCTCGCCGAGTTTTTCGGACCAGCCCTGGAGGATGCGCGGCTTGCCCTCCATGCACCAGATCGAGACCTTGTGCAGCCCGGTGAACGCGTGCAGCGCCTCCCAGACGTCGTCCGAGAGCCCGTAGAAGGTCCGCATGACGAGCTCCCGGACGGGCAGCTCGCGGAGGATGTCGAGGTAGGACATAAACTCGCGCTCGCCGGACGAGCCCTCGGCCATGTCGCCACTCCAGGTGAAGCCTTCCAGGTTGACGTACATGCGGAGGGCTTTCAGCGAACCTTCAAGCAGGTCGGGTCTGTAACAGCCGACTGAAGCTGGAGTCTAGTCAGTCGCGATAGCGGCAGTATCGCATCGAGCACAACGAGCACTCACCAGTTTCGGAAACGTGACGCACATGCTTGGCGTATTCTGGCTTCTGGAGGATCGTGATAGAAGGATGCACGACGGACGCTTCCTGGACAAGAATACCGCATAAGAATACCGCATAGCGAGTACTCACGGCTTGGAGTGCCGCTCCACTGTAGCAGAGCAACAAGCAGGTCCAACGGGGAGCGCGTGCACGCACACCCCCGTAATGGTTGATCCACGGCACCGCCAGCCGCGGCCAAGACCGCACAGCAATAGAAGTAGGGACGCATAGGGACAGATGCTGCCCCGATCTCGCGTGCCCGTCTCGTTCAACGCGTCCAGCGGAGGCAGCAGGGATGGGGATGGGAACACGGGGAGCACACCTGGAGTTTGACGAGGCCCTTGTGGGTGGTGATGCGCACGTCGAGCGTGCGGTACAGCAGCGGTGTCGCGGCATAGTGGAAGACCTTGGAGAGCTGCGCGCACGTACAGAGGTCACGGCGGTCGGCGAGGTGTTCGAGGATCAGCGGGAGGACGTCGAGCGGAAGGGCGGCGGCGGCGGACATCGCGCGCCACTGCAGCTGGAGGGCGGGGGGAGATGACGAGGAACAGGGGTAGATGGGACGGCCTGGCCACCGGAGCGCGACCTGCAGGGGAGGCGGGTGCGAGGGAGGTCAGGCAAGACGCGGAACTGGATGCGCAGGGCCCAAGCGCTCACCTTTTCCGACGTCGGCGCGCCGCGGTCCGCCATCGCCTCTGCTTTGACCTTCGTCATCGCGGGGAGGGCCAGGGCGGTAGTCCTAGCAGTTGTCGTCGTTGTCGCCACCATGTCCACGTCGCAGTGTATACCAGGCTCGAGGGGGAGAGACAAGACAGGCCTCTAGGACAAGGGCACGCTTACTTATGGGAACCCTCGCCGGGCGGATTAGATCATGAGGTCCGCGACCCCGCCTGCTGGTGATCGGATAGTCGTCTTTGCTTTCGCTCCGAAGAACGCACGGTGCGCGTCCTGGACGAAGTCGGCTTTGTGCGCGCACAACCAGCGTGCGCCCGCCTCGTGCCCGCCTCGTATCTCCGCGAAGTCGCGTTGGTCCGCATTTCATTCTGTCAAGCGCTACGCGCGTCGTCATTCTCAGGTACGCGGTCTCACTCACTGTTGCCTGTCGCACTTACAACGAGCGGCCGGAGATAGCTTGACTACAAAGCTTTTAAAAAACACGGCATTGTCGCCATCCGGACATCGGGATTTAAACGCTTCAAATGCAGAGGGCACCCCGGAGGAAGATGATGATCAGCAGCCCACAAGGGGTTCACCAACCGCGCAAACGCTATCCACCCCAACGGCCGGATCGCGAGGTTGCACATGACGGCGGCACGCAATTACGTCAAACGACTGCCCTGAACGCTCATATGGGTGCTCACTGCTCGGGACCGCAGGTATAGAAGTGGCGGTGGTTACCCGGCAGTGGTGTCCTTAGCTGCGAAATGACCGGCATGTCCTGCAGCCCGCAACCTGGATAGGTGCGGTGGAAGAGTACTCACGGGCGGACACATAATGAGGAAGAAGTAACACCCCTTCCAAGCTCCAGATCTTCGCGTGCGCTCGCCGGCTCCGGTCGGGGACCTCGATGTATAGCAAACATCGGGGCGCCCGGAGTTCTCGGCCACTCCGGACACTAGAGTTATGGAAGCAGAGCGTGGACAGCCAACGACCCGAACGATTGGCGAACCTACAATACAGCACGCACACTGTCGCCGTCACAAACGCACAAACTACGCGGGTGCTCTAGGAACGAGACGCAGGGTCAGAACACCGCTCCTACTTCGGACCTTCAAACACACCTGCTTCTCAACCGTCCAACGCACATCCGTACACCTTGGACGCCACATCTCTCCAGGTCGCCTTGTTGACAGCGAAGCCCTCCGCGTACTCGACCTCGAGGTGGTGCAACCGCCGACCGACGATAACGAGGCTGTGTAGAGGTTGCCCAAATGTTTCGGGCGGCTGCGCGGCGAGCTCGGCGAGCGAGCCCGCGACGATGCGCTCCTCGGACCCGCCGCCGACGCGCGACAGGGCGATGGCGAGCGTGCGGTCAGGTGTCAAGACCCCCGCGCCGCGCGACGCCTCCACTTCGGCTAGTTGCGACACCGCTTGCGTAATGGACATATACCGCGGTGGCTCGTATATCTTGCGACCGCTGCGCGGCGGTCATCAGCATTCAAGCCGATAAAGCGGGGGGAGGGGGCCGCGGGTGGGAGATAGATGGACTAACCGAGCGAGATTTTCTTCGCTCTGCTCCTTGACTTTGATGTCGAGCAGAACGAGCGTGTGCATCCCAAGCGCCGCATTATCCTGCACACGGTCGTAGAAGCTGTCCGGCTTCCACGTTTCGGTGAAGAACACGAGCGACACCGTCTGCCCGAAGTTGTACAGCTGCAGCCCGCAGGCGCCTACGGCATTCATGATGGACGCGTTGTGGATGATACGCGTCGACACCCCGAGTGCGCGCGCGCGGAGGACGATATCTGTGTGCGTCGTCGCCCTAGTCCGAAGAAACGGCGAATCAGTAGAGTGCTCTCATCGATAGTCTCTGCAAGAAGGTGTACGAACCCGTAAGGGTCTCCGACTACTAGCAGCGAGACGTCCTCCTTGTCCGCGTCGCGGAGGATCTCGTCGCTCTCGGTCTCGACCATGTCCCGATCTGCGATGATCAGTTCCTTCCCATAGAACGCTTCCTTGTGCGGCCACTTAACATCGTATTATCGTACGAGCCTGGTTAATGACGCGTACCAATCGCTCCTTTTGGATCATGAGGATGCTCGTGTACGCCTCGAGGTAGACTCGAGACGATCCTTTGACCGCCTGGATAATCGACATGAGGCCTCTAATGCTGAGATAAAGGGCACGCGGTTACCTCAAGCCCTCTGATAGTGATATCTTTCTCATCGCATAGGCCCAGACCGATGATGTAGAACATGGTGGTGGTTTGGGAGGAAGAGGTTTTCCGATCTCCCGTTCAGATTAGATTTCTACCACGTGCGCCACAAGATCTCAGATTACAGTCGCTCATTAGCGGACTTAAAACCCGACCTAGCGGGCCGAAGGGCGCTTACGCCAGTGGTCTGCCTCCGTCTGCCTTATGTCTTGACCTTGCTGTTGTCCTCCTCCTCCTCATCTAGTGAAGAAACGTCACTATGAACAATTTTGAAGCTCTGGTATGTTATCCCTTCCCTCATCTGCAATCGTGTTCCCTCAATATCATTGCTCTCTAGGTTCTGCTTTCCCGTCTGCGCCCATCCTCACCCGTACACCTCCCTGGAGCGCGCTGCAGGGTTAACCGGACTCCTCCTCATGGAGCGGCGATGCCGTTGATGCAGCGTAAGGATGAGGATGAAGTACATTCTAGTGAGCAGTATCTCTCCCATGCTTCCTGCCCCCATGCCGCAAATCTCGCCCCTTCCTACGAAAGTTTCATCCTCCCGCCGCCGTCTCGACATCCTCTGGACGCAGACATGTGTCACGCCACCACTCGTGCGAGCGATTCCGCTTGCGTTTGGCCGTGATTGACAACATGAGCCCTCGCCGTCCCGTTCGGCTCTGCTCCTTCGCGCGTGCGGCCCACCACGACAATATTTAGCAGTCTTTTAGCAGTATTTCCGATAAATTCTGACCTTCACCCCTCGCGCGACCAACTCTCCGCCATTTGGGCACACATCGCACGCCCACTTCAACTCGCTTTGTCCATCCGCGCGCTCGCGCCTTTCAGCAACCATTTGGCTTCGTCTGGAGCAGTATTTACGGCGCCAAGTCTATCATGTAATTATCCTACTGCATAGCTACTGCCGTTTGCAATGGTTTGCGTCAGGAGCACCTGCCGAGCCCCCTGTTCAAGCCCGGATGGAGACATTTTGGTTAGTCGTGTGCTCTCATCCAACAAAACGCGTCTCACTACGGTCTATGAACAAACCATCCGGGGAAGACTGCGGTGTCCCAAGAAATAAGAGTGATTATAATACATGAGCACTGGGAAGGGCCGCAAAACAGTATACCAATAAATCAATGCAGGGACACACCAACCAATGCCACCACTAGATCCAGGTTCAGCGCCCTCGTCACCTATCGACCACCCTTGATGAGACCCATGGCGGCTTTGTCTCTGCTTGGGTCTGTCTCGAGATCCATGGGGTCGTTCGCAAGACCTTTCTTGCTTGGGTTCAGCGGCTCGTCGCCACAACCGCAATCGTACGTCGCGTCGAGGTTCACGCAGTCAAACTCGGGCTTGCCGAGGCGGGCGTTCACTTGGTTGTGCAGGAAGCACAGCCTGGAGACGGTCAGCATGGGGCGGTGAACACAGAAAGTAGGCACTCACCATGTTGCAGCAGACCGGCGCGAGGACGTCTGGGGAAGATACAGTGAGGGTGTGGTCAATGGAAGCCGCTGAGTAACCGTACCTGCGGGGGAAACTTCTTGAGGAGTAGTTGGAACTCTGCCGCACATTCTCCACAAGGGTAGAGGCGAGATGTGAGATGGAAATAGTTGTATAACGCGTCTCTCTCGTCCTGGCTGGGTTCCTGCGAGGTACAGACCACAGCGTTGACATGTGAGAGACAAGACGACATGGGGACATACTCACGTCCGGGTAACGCAAGGTCATGGTGTGCCTTCGTACGAAACTTTGAGCACATGGTGCATGCAGAGGCAAACATTGTACTCACATCAACTTCCATGTCGCCCGACCAAGCTCAGCTCTGCATCCTCATGAGGACTAAAACTCGGTGTGGTAGCGAGGACTCACTTGGCGGTCGCGTTCCCGAGTTTGCTCATAATCACGTTCCCTTTCACGCCCTTGTCCGGGGCGGGAGGAATGTAACCTCCCTCACTGAAGAAGTCGCCCGTCCATGTATCCACGTATGTCCTTGAAGGAGGGTGGAAAAACGCAAGCGAGCCTACGAGAAACTGTGGCGGCGGAGACGAAGGTGAGTATCACGGCGACGCGTGTATATGGATGCGTTTGGACCTACGAGGGCAAAGATGGTGAATATGAATGCTTTCCCGAAGCGCGTTATCATGTTAGGGTGTAGTAGATGGAGCTTGGGGAGACGTAGGGAAAGGCAGAGGGACTTGAAGAGGCGGAGGTGGTGGTCGACGGACAGGAGAGCGCATCAGCCTGTACGCCCAGATTGCCGCGGTCGCTCGTCGCTCGAGACACGCCGCGACCACTCGCGCGCCGGCCCGCCGAGCCGGGGATATGAGCGCGTTGCTGCCTGAGCTCGGTGTTTGCACGCGAGCGCAGCTTCGACTCACTTGATCGCGCGACCCCCGAGGCTACGGCTGCTCTGCTGGGTGAGAAGCACCAGCCCTGGTTTTCGCGGAACTGGAACTCACCAAATCGTCTTCCAAGCCGAAAGCTGAACGCTGCAATCCCGGAAATCTCGCGTAGATAAGCCGACGCATCTATATCTGCGTTCAAAATCGATAAACAGAGGGTAACAGCAGCTGTATCGCCCAGTGAGTCACCACCGCCATCTCTTACTCTTCTTGACTCGCCTGACCAGCATATAACCCCCACCTCCGTGCTCAAGGAAGCACATACCTTCACCATGGCCCCGATTCATATCGACGAGGCAACAGGCTCCGACGACACTGGCAAGGGCACGCCCGAGGCTCCCTACAAGTCCCTTGCGTTCGCTCTCTACACCCACCCTGATGGGGCCTTCGTCATTCGCAAAGACGCTACCGTGTCGTTCGAGGAGCCCACCCAGTCCGCATTGAAGAAGGCTAAGAAGAGCGCGGACGGTATCGAGAAGAAGCGTAAGAAGGCAGAGGAGCTTGCGGAGCGTGAAGCAAAGGAGTCGGCGGCCACGCGCGAGAAGAAAGAGAAGAAGTTGGAGGAAAGCAAGAAGATTGTGCTGACGATGGACGAGAGTCTGCCTACTCCCGTCAAGGTGCGTTCCATAGCCCTTCCGCCCTGCATCTGCATTCATCCCCGCTTTATCTCTTGTGCAGGCGAAGATCGGGAAGCTCACTCCGCTCCGGGCGAAACGCATCCGCACAAGTGGCTGGGTTCACCGTCTGCGCGACCAGAAAGAGATCATCTTCATCGTCCTTCGCGATGGCACCGGCTACCTCCAATGCGTTCTCTCCGGGCAGGTCGCACAAACATACGATGCGCTCACGCTCACTCTTGAATCGACGATCGAGGTTGTCGGGACCCTCAAGGAGGTGCCGGAGGGCCAGACTGCACCAGGAGGGCACGAACTTGTTGTCGACTACTGGCGCACCCTCGGCGCGGCTCCCGGAGGCGATGACGCGTTTACCAACCGTTTGAACGAGGTGAGCTCGTCCTTTTTGCCGTCACACGACCCACCTGAACCGCTTCACGTCCAGAAATCCGATCCGTCCATCCAAGCCGACCTCCGCCATCTCGTCATCCGCGGCGAGACCGCGTCCGCGGTGCTGAAGCTGCGCGCCGCGCTCCTCGCCTCCTTCCGCTCCTCGCTCGTCGCGCGCGACCTGACCGAGGTCACGCCGCCGTGCATGGTGCAGACGCAGGTCGAGGGCGGCGCGACGCTCTTCAAGTTCGACTACTACGGCCAGCCCGCATTCCTCACCCAGTCCTCGCAGCTCTACCTCGAGACCTGCCTGCCGTCGATCGGCGACGTCTTCTGCGTGCAGGAGTCCTTCCGGGCCGAGAACTCGCACACGCGCCGGCACCTGTCCGAGTACACCCACCTCGAGGGCGAGCTCGCGTTCATCACCTTCGACGATCTCATGGACCACATCGAAAGCGTCATCTGCGACACCGTCGACGGCCTCCTCGCGGACCCGGTCGGGGCCGCGCTCATCAAGCAGCTCAACCCGGACTTCCAGGCGCCCGCTAGGCCGTTCATGCGCCTCGCGTACACAGACGCAATAAAGTGGCTGAACGAACACGGGATCGAGCACGAGGCGGAGGACAAGGACGGGAACGTGATCAAGGACGAGCAGGGGAACCCGGTCATGGTCCCGCACAAGGTCGGGGACGACATCGCGGAGGCGGCGGAACGGCGGATGACGGATATCCTCGCGCGTCCGATCTTCCTGTACGGATTCCCGGCGGAGCTGAAGGCGTTCTATATGAAGAAGATGGAGAAGAAGGAGGGCGATGAATATCCGGATGTCGCGTTCACTGAGAGCTGCGACCTGCTGATGCCGGGCGTTGGGGAGATCGTTGGAGGCTCGATGCGTATTGCGGATGAGCAGGAACTGCTCGCTGCGTACCGCCGGGAGGGTATCGACCCGGAGCCGTACTACTGGTTCACGGACCAACGGAAGTACGGCACCTGCGAGCACGGCGGTTATGGGCTTGGTGTCGAGGTGAGCCAAAGTGTTTTCTGCGAGGGAGATGATTGCTGATCGCTTTCGCAGCGTTTCCTGGCGTGGTTGGCGAACCGGTACACTGTCCGCGAGTGCTCTCTTTACCCGAGGTGGCCAGGTCGTGCTACGCCTTGAACGTACATGTGGCCGGGAGTTCAGAGTTGTATGTATAGATGAAGCCCGAAGTCGAGCTTTCGCGTCTTAATTGCTGCGCTTTGTCTTGACTCCAGCTTCTGGTAAGCGACACGTGTGATAGTTGTTACAGCTCTTTTGTAGTCCTTTTGTCATACGAGCTAGCTGACCGAGTGTACGATTTAGCGTGTGATATCGTTGCAGAACAGCGCGCGACGGGGTCGCACTTGTTGCTGGAAGCGTCATAAGTACTTGGTGTGTAGTATCCAGTCCGTGCGCGCAATGGAGGGGTGGCGGTGGGCTGTGGCGGGGCACATCCATGAGACCGAGATCGATATCGTCCTATTCCACAGTCATGTGACCCATGCGCTGGCCGCCTTCGAGTCCCCCGGCCCCGACATGGACGCGAGCACATCATCACCAGACTTTACCCGACCCTCAGGCTGCTTCTCAGGTTTGTGGTAGCACTATGGCACACTAGTCCGAGGATCTGATGTGTCCTTTGATCATAGTCATGGCGCAACCTGGTCTTCACCGAGCGTTTTCGACAGAAATCCTCTGCGAGGTTTTTGAGCACCTGGACCTGGGCAGACCGCAAACAGAGCTGCCCATTCAGCGCTTTCATAGGCGCCTCTCGGAGCTGGCTTTACTGCGGCTGTCCACGACTTGTCGCGCGTTCTCTGGCCCTGCCTTAGATGTCCTTTGGAGAAGACCACCCAGCATTCTCGCGGTCCTATCTGTTTTGCCTACTTTGCATTCAGATTTTGCAGAGGAATACGTACGTGCCATAACGCACAGCTCACTCATATGTTATGCTCACCGACTTCCCGTAGTACTTCACAACTGAACCTAATGAAAATGAGTGGGAACGCTTCCAGGCCTACGCTTGCCGAGTCACCGATCTCGGCTTTGGGCGAGATCGCCCGCAGCGCATCACATTTGGACAAGAGCGGATATCATCCTCAGTATGGCTGTTTCTATCACGCAAGACTCCTGCCGGACAGGGCCTCTTCCCTCGTCTCAAACGTTTGGAGCTCTTCGAAGAAGCACCTGTGAGGGATCCGGGCCGCAGCCTTCTCCTCTCTCCCACTCTTCGTGAAATCAGGATTTCCACTGCCCTACGTCCTGGAGAAAACCCGAACATCAAGTTCTTTCCCGGCATCGTTCCTATAGTCCAGGAAGCTCTTCGGCTTGTGTCCAAGTTGTACAGCCTGCGAGTGTCGTTTTGGGGGCTCGCGCACCTCCCAAACTCTACGGCTATCGCCGCGAGTTACGCCGACTTGTCGCATCTTCAGACCTTGGGTATCACAAACGTGAATATATCACTACAGCTTTTGCAAGTCCTTTTGTCCGCACCCTCTCTGGAGACGTTGGAGCTTGTCATTGAGGAAATCGACGAAGAACTCGAGAATGTCGACAGGCCTCTCACCTCTGGCCTTTTGGCTCTTCGCCGATTACACTTGACTGGCCTTCCAGATCAACTGGCGTTGTTCGTTGATCTCACCGCCCCTCCGCACGTGAACGCGCTCTCCCTCTACATCACCGCTGATGACTGGAACTTCGACGACGACGATGACGTCGACGAACCCGAGTTCTTGCAAGACTTGCACAGGGCTATCTCACCCCTCGCGCGCTCAAACGCAGGAAGCCTCATGATAGCCTTCTTGAGCTCCCGCACTCCCCCCGTGCGCGACATCACCACCGTGCTTCAACCCGCGCTCGAAATCGCTTCCCTTGCCCGGGTCACCGTATCCGGCGTCGGACAGCCGGACGAAACGCACTTCCCCGTGAGCGACGACGCTCTGCGCACCCTCGCGGACGCGTGGCCGCACCTCCGCGAGCTCGCGATCTCCTGCAAGAAGGTCCAGCTGCCCCGCGTCACCATCACGGACCCCGCCGCCATCGACCGGCCGAGCCTCCGCGCGCTCACCCACTTCGCGGAGCGCTGCCCCGAGCTCGTCCGCCTCGTGCTGCCCACGCTCTGGTTCGAGGCGCTCCCGAGGTCGCCGCGGATGCACGACCTCGTGCGCCCCCCGCGCGCGCCGCACGGGCTGCGCGAGCTCAAGACGGAGCACACGGGCCCCGTGGGCGACCATCTGGTTCGGGCCATGGCGTTCGCGATCGACAACCTCTTTCCGCACCTGGACGTCACCGACGCGCACGCCGACACGAGCGGGCGGCTGACGGAGTGGGGGCGGGTGGAGCACCACCTGCTCATGCTCCGGTACGGGCGGACTGGGACGCATCGCGTGCCGCCGAAGGGCGACTGCGGGCTGGCGGAGGTGCTCATGTTGGACTCGGGGCATGTGTGAGTACCCAGCGTTCGGTCGGGCGGTAGAACGCGCGATCATCCTCTTCGTCTTTCTTGTTCCCCCTCCATATTCCACCTACACGCGTACTCCACTATTAATAGTATTCACAAGTAGTGCACGCCACGGCTTTCCTTGGATTTCTTGATGTGATATGGCTTGGATGGCCACTCCCCTCCCGTTGACCATTGTTCCGTAGTTACTGCTAGCCATGGCCATCGAGTTCCCATGTCTGCCGCCATCGAACCCAACGTTTTCTTGTTGAATGCCCGGCCCAAGGCGCAGAGTATCGCACGCGCCGTCAAGGAGGATAGAAAGGAACGTCGGGAGTTGATCTACTAGTAAACGACAGACAGGTTATGGGGGGTATACCAACACAAACATCATCCACGATCCGCCTCTCCATCTCACAGCTCCGCCTTGACCAGGTTGCTCTCGAAGTTCGAGTCCTTGAACGGCACGTTCGCGGCCCCAAAGTCGGTGTTCTGCAGCGCGTCGCGCGCAGCGTCCGTCAGGCTCTCCCACGCGATCAGCGGCTGCTGGCCGCCGACGTCGCTCGTGAACCCGAGCTGGTGGTCGATCGGCCAGGTCGAGTAGTACCGGATGAGCGGGTTCGTGCCCTGGAGCGGCGGGTCCGTCTCCGCGTCGAACTTGCCGTGCCCGGACGCCGCGGCGCCGAGGATCGTGGGCTCGTCCTTGTTCGGGTCGTCGATCCAGACGACGATGCCTTCCCAGTCGTGGCGATGCCCGATGCCCGAAGATGGCGAATCCTGGAGCGGAGCGAGAGAAGGTGAGCATGTACTCAAGAAGCCGCGGGGAAGTGCGGCGGGTGAGCCTCACCTTGGGCATGTACCAAGAGTACATGATCGCGTACGCGCCGTTGTACGCCTCGGCGCGCGCGTACACCTGTCCGGTGCTGCTCGAGCACTTGCCCTCCGGCGAGCCGGAAGGGGAGAGACCGCCGCTGCGCGACGCGTCAGAGTTCGTTCGCTTCTGCGAGGTGAGGGCGCGCGACTCACCTAGTGTTGCCCTCCGCGTCGACGGCGGGGTAGGGAACACAGCCGTTGACGACCTTGAGGTACGGCTTGTACTTGAGGTAGATCCGACCAAGGTTGCCCGACGGGACGGTCTCCGGGAAACCCACCACGGCGTCGTGCGCGATGACTGCGCGGCGCTCGAGAGGCGCCGCGGAGGTCATAGCCACGAGGAGACCAACGACACCGGCTGCAGCCTTGAAGAACTTCATCGTGAGGCCGGGTAGAAGAGGCGAAGGGTGGACCTAGGCGGAGGGAGAAGGGAGGATGCGCAGTCGAGCAGCGCTGGGGAACGCTGGCTTCGTTGCGCGTGCTCTTATACGTCGCCCATGTCTCCGAGTCTTGTCCGGAGAGTGTCATGGCGAGCAACCCGCACTAGCGCGATGTTCGAAGAATTCTGTGCAGACGAAGAAACAGGTACCTGGGAGTAGGGAACAGCTTTACCCGGCGTCTTCTTGATGTGGTCCTGGTGACCGGCGGTATCTCACGCGCGAATCGTCCTGGGCGCCTCCGTCTCTCATGTTGGACACCATCTCCATTCTCGCCTCTTTTCGCAGCCTTCGTCTTTCCTAAGAACGTCCATGGATAAATAAACTTTGGACGCATACATCACCTAGTTGAAGTTGGCCTCGGTTGACTGAGCCTGTCCCACACATGATGGCGGCGCGCACGTCCGAACTTGGGCGGCACCGAAGAGCATGGCGTGAATCATACACCTCTTGTGAGTACGTGTCTGACCAATTCAGAAATCGGCCAGGGCATGCGCCGGACTTTCGCTGCTCCGGGGCACTGAGCGCGCAGCTACTTTAGCCTGGGCGAAAGTGAGAACAGGTACGTGATTCGCACGGGTGACGATGTGAATAGTATCACTTGACGACGCGGATGCTACGAACCCGTAGGGCCGTATGGCACGGTTCACATGGAGATGAAAAACATGTGCTGAACACTGACTTCGCTTTCCTGCGTGGCGCATCCCGAGTTCCGCTACCTCGACTGTCTTCTACCGATCCAAACTCGCGATATCCTAACATGACGCTCATTTAAACGATGTACCAGGTGCCGCTGCCGGACCAACGCCGCGCCTGTCCTTCGAGGCACCAAACGTAGCCTCAATGCACGCCTAGCGGGCGTGCCAGCTGGGGACCTATATGACTTCAGTCACTGCTGACAAGCGCACCTTGTTTCTACTCCTTACCATGTCCTTCTCCAAAGCGCGCGGTGCCTCGCTCCATCGTTCCACTGAAGTACGCGAACGCGGGCTGCATTCCGGTGGGCCTACACGGCATCCCGATTATTATCTGGAAGATGGCAATCTCGTGATTTTGGTGAGCACACTTCGTCGCGATCCAGCTTGTATTTTTTAGCTCACAGTCCACTACGCTAGGTCGAGAAGACACTCTTCCGAGTGTTTCGCTCGACATTCACCCGGCACTCTCCAGTGTTTCGAGACCTATTCAGCCTCCCCAACCCAGAAGGCTCTACCTCAGAAGGTATGGATGACGCGAATCCCGTGCAGCTTTCTGGAATATCCCCTGTGGACTTCGAACGTCTACTCTGGGTTCTGTATCCTCTGTGAGTTCGTGGCGAACCCCGAGTTGCCGTCACTATCTCATTTTTGATTCTCCAGAAATTACGCTCATCCGAGAGCCGGTACCCTGGCCGAATGGACGTCCATTCTAAGCCTCGCAACACGCTGGGAATTCAGCTCAGTACGCACGCTTGCAATACACCACATCCAAAGCCTGCCCTCCGCCTTCGCCTCCCCCCTTTCTCCCCCCACGCCCTCGCCCGTCTCCACTTCCCCAGATCGGCGGCCCTCGAAGGCCACCTCCACCCCCGTCTTTCCGCTCGACGCCATCCTCCTCGCTCGCGCCTACGACCTCCCGCGCGACCGCTGGCTCCTCTCCGCCTACACCGCGCTCTGCACGCGCCCCGCTCCGCTCACCTCCGCGGAGGCGGCGGGCCTCGGCGCCGAAGACACCTCGCGGGTCGCGCGTGTGCGCGAGGCGCTGCGCGCGCGCGAGGCTGGCTCGCGGCTGGGCGGGTACTGCGCCCCGACAGTGAGTTCCGCGGCACGCGCCCGGTTGAGCGCGGGTGCTGGGACCGTGACGGGAGGAAGGGGCGTTTTGGACTGGAGCGGGAGCGGCCGGGGAGCGACCCCGGCGCCCCGACCTGCGACGGTGCTGGGTACGCGCGCGTCGCCGTTCGCGAAGGGGTCGCCGCCTTCGACGTCGAGGAGTCCGACGGCGTTTCCGGGACCTGCGCGACTCGTCGCGGAGACGTTTGAAATTAGCTGCTTGTGAACCGTTGCTCAACAAAGCAGCGCTCCAGTCACTCTTGCATACTTGCGCTGGCCGCGTATTTATGAGCTATGTATAACCTCTTCCTTGAGACCTTGAGGCTTTGTCGAGACACATGCGCACGGTGTGATGCATCTGTAGGACTTGAATGTGTTTGTAGCAAATGGGGATGTCTATATACAAGGTGTGGCGCCTACAGTATGTCGTACAACATGCATGACGGTCGTGAGGTAGTGATACAAGACAAGCGTGAGCACGTGCAGATCGTGTGGATGTCGTGAGGAGCAGTAGCGAAAGATGAGGGTAGTAAGGCAAACGATGAGAAAGAAAGGCAGCTAGTGGTCGTCGCCCTCAAGTTGTTTAGCGAGTGCTTTGCCGGTACTGAGAACACTACCCCAAAAACCAGTGGGAGTGGAGGCGCTGGGGGACTTGGCGGGTGGAGCGGATACGCTGCTGCTCCTCGCAGAACCACGTCTTCCGGCAGCTGGGGGAGGCACGCCTCTTCCTGTCGGAGGAGCCCTGCCTCGCCCCGCTGGAGGGGGAGCAACCCGACTGGCTGGAGAGGGCACTGTCGGAGTCGCGGGCGACGGGTTCGCACCCCAAGGCTTGCCGCTTGGATCGCGCGCCAGGGGCCCCGGTGTGGATGGTTTCACAACAACGGGCGATTGCGCCACCTTGGGGTTCAGCGGAGAATGTGGGCGGCTGATGCTTCCGGAACGTTGGCCGAGGGCAGACGCGGAGGTCGCGAGTTTGGTCGGCTGCGGCCGCACGAGAGGTGACGTCGGCTCGATCGCGTCGTCGTAGACAGATGGCGCACGCGATGACGCGGCGCCGTCCTCTGTCGCAGTGTCGTATGCCTCGGTGTCTGTCATGTCCCCTGTAGGCTTCTCGTCTCTCGGAGGCTTAAGAGTCGCACTAGCGCCGAAAGGATTCGGGTTGGTAAGGTCACGTTTGGGGTCAGAGACCGTGAGCGGGTCGAGAGGCGCGGAGGTCTCTTTGGCGGCAGAGGCAGGAGGAGTGGTGACGTCCACGGCGGTAGGAGGGAGGTCGGTGCTGAACTCCCAGGCAGTATCAACGTTGTCGAGAGGCGACGCCTTCGGATCCTCAGGAGGCGCTGTGTCGTCTTTTGTCTCGCCTGACTGTGTGGAGTCGGTGGTGTTCGTAGGAGCGTCGGGTTTGAGCGAGAAGCTCGCCAGCTGGTTGACGAGAGCGTCGACGGAGGCGGAGTCTTGGGTGGCGACCGGTGTCGAAGAACGGGAAGGGGGAGTGTCGCGGGGCTTCTCAGCTTGAGATAGGATCTTCGCGGCTTTCGGAGTCGTCAAGTCCTCGACGGTAGACTTTGAGGTGGCGGTTGCGACATCGGCTGGTGATGCGGGGATGTCGGTGGCTGTCGCAGCGTCGGCGGACGCAGAGGCCTCCTTCGATGTTGGAACAGAGGCGGTGTCCTTGTCAGCTGCTACTTGCTCCTCTTTCGCAGCCTCCTCCTTCCCAGCAGCGGTCTTCTTTTTCTTCTTCTTGTTCTTTTTGCCTTTAGAAGCCTCCGCCGCGTCGTCGCCATTCCCCTTGCCGTCCTCTTCATCCGCTTTGGAGTCCTCATTGACGTCGGCCTTCTCCTGCTTGGACTCGGTGGCGGCAGTGACATCGGGAGGTGGAACAGTAGGTGCGGGGGTCTGCGGCCTCGATGATTCGTCCTTCGACTGCTCACCTGCTGCAGTAGCTTTGAGAGCAGCTTGTCTGAGCCTCTTCTGCGCCTTTGTAAGCTTAGGCGTAGGCTCCTCCTTTGCCCCTGCGGCCAGTTCGTCTGCCTTCGTCTCCTCCGCCTTGGGGTCCTCCACGCCAGCCTCCGCCTCCACCTCACCAGCCTTAAACTCGTTGGGGGCCGCATCCTCCGTCTTCTTCTCGTCCACCTCCCCCTTCCCCTTCTTCCCCTTCTTCTTCTTCTTCGACCCTCCCGTCGTCTCCTCCACCTTCTCCTCGGGCTTCTCAGCCACTTGCGTCGCCTCTGCCTCCTTCTTCACCTCAACCTCCACCTTCACCTCGTCCACCTTCACCTTAACCTCCTTCGCCTTGTCCGCCTTCTTCTCGTCCCTCTCCACCTTCTCGCCGTTCGCCCCGTCCTTCCTGTCGCTCAGCTGCGTCGCCTTCGTGTCCGCCTTCGCGGTCTCCGGAGCAGGCGTAGGATCGGCGACAGCGGGAGTCACCGAAGTGCCATCGGGAATAGCGGGCGGAGCAGCGTCGGCCGCAGCAGGAGTCTCAGCGGGGGCGACGATGACCGCAGAGGCAGCGGGGGCGTCGATCACCACGGAGGCCGCGGCGTCAACAGGGGCAGGAGCATCGATGGGTGCAGGCTCGTCGACGGGAGCAGGTGTGTCAACGGGAGCAGGCGGGTCGACGAGAGCAGGCGTGTCGGCAGACGCAGAGGGAGGATCGGCGGGAGCAGCGGTCGAGGTCGGAGCCGGAGTAGCGGTGGGATCTGCGCTCTTCTCATCCTCTTTCTCCTTCCCCTTCTCCTTTGTCTCGTCCTTTTCGGGAACGGCAGGCTCGGGCGTAGGCGGGGTAGCGTCGGAAGCAGGGGCGGGAGGAGTAGCCTCCGCCTTGTCCTTGTCAGCGGCCTTTACCACAGGAGCGGGAGTCCCGGTGCGAGCAGGAGTAGCAGTTCGCACTGGGGTCGCAACGCGGACGGGAGTGGCGGTACGGATGGGAGTCGCTGGGTGGGCAATCGTCGGAGTGGAAGGGGCAGGAGCTGACGCCTTGAGCTGCGCAGCGGAGGGCGTGGTGGGGGTCTGGATCTTCGCAGGAGTCGGCGTGGAGGGGGTCTGCGGCCTAAACGTGGTCGCGATCGGGGTGGAAGGTTTCTTCGACGGCGTGTCGACCTTCGCAGGTTCAGACGTGGACTCAACAGGCTTTGTCTCCTCATTCGGCCCCGCCGCAACCTCGGGGACGGGGGTTGTGTCCACATGCACCTCAACCTTCTCTTTCTCCTTGTCGGCGCCCGCCTTTACCTGCTTTCCCTTCTTCGTCTTAGGTGCGACCTTCGCCGTGGGTTCCACCTTCTCCTTCTCCTGCTCATCCTTCGCCACATCCGCAGCGCCAGGGACCGAGGCACCCGCCTCGGCGTCCTTCGTGCCGCTCTTGTCGTCATCACCGCGCCCGGCGGTCGTCGTGGTCGTCGCAGTCGTACTGGAAGCAGTGCCGTGTGGTGTGGGTCCGGTGCCCGCACCGGGAATAGCATTCGTGAGGTCCGTAGAATCCGTAAGAGTCTTCGTCGCGGTTTCCTCCTTCTCCATCTCGTCCTTCCCCCACTCCCAGACCCCTCCCTCTACCGCCACCCCCGCAGGCTCCGGCGGAGCCACCAGGGCCTCCGCTGCGGGGTCAGTGGGCGCCGCGGGGCGCTCACCTTCCTCCGACCTTCTTCCTCCTGTTTCCTCCGCGCTTGGCGCCGTTGACACTTTCGTCTCCGGTATCGGTTCCGTCGTCAGCCCTGTCGAGGCCACGGAGGGCACCGAAGACGTCTTTGTCACTGGAGGGGGCGCTGGCGTGTCCGTTGAGCTTCCCGTTGACTCCCGCGCCTGCACCGTGGTCCCCTGCGGGTGAAAAAGGGCCATCAGTCGGTTTGCGGAGGACGCGGGAGAGGGGGCGGGGACTGGACCTGTGGCGGCGGCGGCGGCGCTGGCGCTGGCGGGGGGCGGGACGGTCGCGGACGAGAGGTTGAAGGGGTTCAGGGGAGTAGACATGGGAGGGGCCGGGCCGGACGAGGACATGGGCGCGACCGCGGGGGACTGCGGAGCGGTGGCCATGAGGGACGGGCTGCCCTGGGGGCCGCCGTTGACGAAGTCGTTGACGACGCTGCCGATGAGCGTGCCGATGTTCGGGCCCCAGGTCGACATGGGGCTCGGCGCGGACGGCACGGAGTTCGCGGGCGCAGTGACGTTGCCGGGGAGGGGAGGAATGGGGATGGAGATGGACGGAACGTTCGAAGGGAAAGGAGACGCGAGGTCGCTGCCCGTGGACATGGTCGCCTTGAGGGATACCACCTCGACCGAAGGGTTGACGGGGCGGTTCCGGGGCGAGCTAGACGGAGTAGGCATCGTACCCTTGTACGAGGAAACGCCGGCCAACCGGTTGAGGGGAACCAAGGATGGCGAGGGAGGACCGGCGAGAAGACCAAAAACCTCTTTGATGATAGTGACCATGTCGTCCTCCTCGAGGTTGGCCGCGGTCGGGCTCCTGACACCGTTCATGGGCTTGCCACGGGCGCATTCACGCGCCGTCGCGACCAAAAGAGCAGTTTCGAGACCGATAGTGCGACCTTCCTTGAGGGAGAGAGGCTCGCGGCGCATACACAGGTAGAGGAATGAGGGGATGAGGAGGCGTCTGTCGAGTTCGTACGTCTGGTAGAGTTCGATTTTGGGGATGGGTTCGATGGTGAACGTCTCGATTTTGCGTGTGCAGAGCTTTTTGATTTCACCAAATCTCCAGTCGTAAGAGAGCTTGAGAATTGCAAGCCAGTCATCGAGTGGAGCGTCGTATATCGAGTATTTGCTGGAGAGGATGAGCACGGGAAGGGGACGTTGTAAATGAGGACTCACGGGTTGTAGAAAATCCAAAGGAACTTGGAGAAGGCGTCCGCCTCCACATCTTCCAGCGCGAAGGGATGCGCATCCGACGAGCCCTTGCTAGGCTGGCCAGGAGGGGAGGGGGAACCCAGCCGTTCCCTAAACCACGCCGACTCACGCTCGAAGAAGTAGCGATGTACGCGATAGATGTAGTTCTCCACCTAGGCGTATGTCAGTAACGCGTTCAGGACACACAAAACGCATGGCGTGGGGAGCGCTCTGCCGACGGCCGCGTATGTGACACAACTCAAGTCCGTTCACCAACGCTCTTCACCCTCGTGCCCTCCACAAGACAACGCACACGACCGTCCGCAATACCGCTCAGCCGAAATGAACGCGACTTCGCCATCCATCGGCACAACCGCAGAGTTGAGGGAGAGGACTCACGAGGAAGTGGATGTCACCACCATTGAGGTAGTATTTTGGATGCCTCTTGATTGCTTCGGCCGTTTGGGGAGAGAACATGTGGGCCATGGTGGGGGAGTGGGGGAGGGGACTCAAGCTTTCCCCGTCGGGGGCGGAGGGAGATATAGTCCGCGCGGTTGTTCCTCCGTCGATGCCCGCGCTCGGCAAACTGCACGTGTTGGCCGCATGTCGGTCGGGATTGGGTCGTGGAAGGCGCAGGGAACGTCCCGGCCGCCCAGCACGTTGTCGGGGCAGTTCTGCGTTACGTATGGAGGGACGTGGCCGCGGCGACGAGCGCACAAAGTGGGGAGGGAAGACAAGGGATGCTCCACTTGCAGCAGCGGAGCTCGATGGAGCTCGATCATCTCATCGACGCGCGCTTGCTTGGGCACGCGTGCTCCGCGTCGTGCTCAGTCTTCTTTGCTTCCTGCTGCGACGCAGTCCAAGGCCGGGACGTGACCGCGACGGAGGCCGCGAGCGATCCTCTTTTTCTTTGGTTGAACACGGGCTCTGTATTGGTCCCTGTTGGGATGTTTGCAATCCACGCCCCGGCCCCGACACTTGCCGACATGGCTCAGCTTTCCACCGACACGTTGATTTCATCTATGCGACCGCTGACGGGAGGTGCAGCCGGAGCAAGAGGTGGAGGGAAGGACAGGGGTAGAGGCGCGATGCTTCGCATGCAGAGGGTACTTAGCAATGAGAAGCTGGTAGGCTTTAGGTTTGTGGTTTTATGCTACAACAATGCTAATGCATGTCAAGACTTTGGGAAAAGAGCTTGGAGCGGCAGAAACACTGTATGCAGTACGACGCTTGATTCGTCAACTGCAGCGACGATATCCTGACTGGTTCATGTACATATTCCAGCGTTTCAAGCGATACAAGTACATGTGATGAGAACTTCTCTCAAGCGCATCTACAACTCCACCTTGACCACCGCGTTCGTCGTCGTCACCGTCACCCTCCCCTCCTTCTCCTTCTCCTCGTCATTATCTCCCCAGTGCACACGGCCCCTGAGATACGACTCCGTATGATGCTGCAGATCGAAGCGCCGCTTACGACCCTCACCCGCGGGGTCTTCCACCGCATCGTCATACTCCACCTCTGGGCTCGCGTTCGACGTCCGCACCGCGAACGAGCCCTCGAACGCCGGGTGCAGCGACACCGCCGCGTTCTTGTTCGTCGTCCGCACCGCCGCCTGCAGCCGCCCGTCCACGGGGTGGTCGAGGAACGAGAGTACGAGCGGCGCGTTCGAGGTGCGCACGATAGTGAGGAAGTTCCCGCCCGACCGGCCGTGCGCGGAGGAGTACAGGCCAATCTGGCTGTCGAGGATGCTGTGGACAGAGGTTTTAGAACTTCGTAAGCGCGTCGTCTCGAAGGAAGAAAGGGCGCGCGACGTACGCGTTGGTGGTATGCATGTGGACGGTCGTCGGGCGCCCACCAGGGCTGGCGTCGTTGAAGAGGTTCGCGCGGACCGCGATCTCGGCGTTGGTGGTCTTGAGGAGAAGCGATTTCGTGGTGTTGTAGGTGCCGTGGATTGGCTTGTTGTCCGTGGCGAGCGAGATCGTGTCCGCTGCGAGGGCCTGGATGCATGGTCAGCACGAGCCGCTGTGTGGTCACGCAGAAGTGAGAGCGTACGTCGGCGTGGATTGATCCGTTCGTGGTCATGATATCGATGGCCTCGAAGTGCGCGCAGGTGGCAAGGTCGTGTAGGCGAAGATCAAAGTTGGCAAGGTTTGCCGTGAGGGCTTTCAGCTTGAGAGGGGAGTGGCATTGGGCTGCCGGCAAGCGTACGTGCATCTTCAATCGGACGTTTGGTTCGAACCAGTCCGAGCTCTGCAGTGTGGGCTGTCAGAATATCGTTCACAGAGACATAATGATGGAACCCACGAAGATGTTGAGACGCCATTCGCCCTTCACAGGGTTGGTACTGCACACCCTCAAGGCGCTCACGTCACGAATCACATCCGCGCCACCGGCGGGGTAAAGGACCTCGATGTCCACAAGAGTCTGATTCGAACCGGCGTCGGCAGTCTGCGAGATGTCCAGTGTCCCGCCAAATGGTTCCGGGAGCCCCCATGAAGACAATGTCAAGATGTCGCCAGCGTTGAGCGGTAGCTCGATTGGTTGTGTGACGCGAAAGGAAGCTTCGTCGCGGTCCCGACCTTCACAATGCGGAGTCTTTTCCCATATCGCAGATTGACTGCAATACCACGGTTGGCCAGAGTCCTGACGCGCTGGAGTGAGGTCTCGTTCGGTCTGCGCCGTGTATCGGGTGTGAGCGAAAGTGGAAGATATAGAGAAGTGAGATACGAACGACACGGACACGGCTGTTGAACAGTAATATGCCGCAGACGAGGAAGATGAACCATCCCAAAATTCTTCTCCCTTTGGCCAAGCGCCTAGCTTCCTCCGATGGCAGGTCGCCCGCTGGGGGGTTCAGAGGCGGGGCCTTTTCGGGATCGTGCGTATCTTTGCGCTGGAAGTAGTCCATGGCCACGATGGGGCTGGTGGGGAACTGGTTGGGTAGCGGCCTCGGATTATATATATGTACCGCTGGAAACCGAAACTGCGCATGCATGGGAGCCCCGGTCTCACGCCATTGGTGCGTCATGCATGCGTCTGAGTGGGTGGATGGATGCTGTCCTTCTAACTGCCGTATGTCACGCTTCTTGTCAAAGCCAAAGCGTCGAGCCGCATCTCGAGCGTGATCGAATGCACTGCGCAGGGCCAGCCCCGAATGTTGCCGGAGCGAGCTAGCCAATTATGACAGAGTCTAGGTATGTCAGACACACATCAGCAGTGTGACACATAGCATGCGCTTTCGAACATACATCACCAAATAGTTGACATGGGAGCCATCGGGCCCAACACAGGCGCAGTCCCGTTGTAGAGCAAGAGACGCGTCAAATCTCAAGGTGGTGAGTTTTGGAGAGGAACAACGAAGCGCCGACTCATCCCTGAAGACGCCGGGCAAGCCACGCCTGGGCGGCAAAGTGGTCACGTGGGAGATGTGGCTTCCGACAAATCCCGGACTCCAGAGTCCAGTGAGTCCGACCGCCGACCGCGGGCCTCCAGACTCCTTGTTAAGTCTGGAACTAAGCGCACTCCCCCAGCTTTCCTGCAGGGTTACCCATTCACCGCCAATACTTCTATGGAGACTCTCAGATTCACTGGTCTTTCACGTTCTGGCGTGCTCAAGATCTTGATGTGGATTGGCAGTTTTTCGTGACCGCAGCCACCTTTCTCGCCAGCCATGAGAGCGCCTGCACGTATGGCACCTCTCCCTATAACCCTGTCGCAACAAAATTTGCAAGCCCTATGTCGATGCCTTCCCTCAACGGCCTTCCTACCCAACCCCGGTTCCGGCTAGAGCGCTTTGCCGAACGGGAGGTATGTCAACCATTGGTACATACCTTCAACATGATGAGGTCTGGTTAACCTTCTTGAAAGAACGAAGACGGACCTCCGCCTGAGTGGGATGCATATGCAAAGCTTGTGGAGGACTTCGATGAGGCTATGATTCGGGCATGGAAGGAGGAGGTTGATACGCTCCTGGTTTTCGTAAGTCAGCCCGTGCTCTCTCTGCGTGCCCTGAGGTTCACCAAATATGGCCAGGCTGGGCTCTTCTCAGCCGTTGTCACCACATTCAACGTCGAAGGATACAAGCTGCTACAAGACGATTCATCCCAAGTTGTTGTACAACTGCTGCAAACTATATCTCAACAGCTGGCGAACAGTACCCTAACCTCCGCGCTGGCCACGCAAAATGCTCGTCCCTCTTTGCAAGCCGTTCGCATCAACGCCTTGTGGTTTTCGAGTCTGGTTTTCTCACTATTCTCCGCCCTCATCGGAATTCTAGTCAAGCAGTGGCTCCGGGAATACATGACGGTCGCTTCGCTCCCTTCTAGAGACAAATTACGACTTCGACAGCATCGATATTCTGGTCTTGAAGCTTGGCTCGTGCCCGAGATCATGACACTTCTTCCAATCTTACTTGAGTTGTCCCTCATCCTCTTCCTCATTGGCTTAGTGGACTTCCTATTCATGCTGCAGGACGCCGTAGCTGCGATCATATTCTCCCTCGTCGCAGTCGTTCTTCTCTTCTACATATTCACAACGCTATCGCCTGTTTTCTCCAGATGTTGCCCATTTAAATCGCCACAATCCTGGATCTTATCACGCTTCCGTACGAAGGTCATCAATTTTGCCACTTTTCTCGGGATCCTGGCCCCAACTCTTCCCACATTCATATCGGGCGAGGTTCATCTCGTCCAAACCCCGCGGATGCGAAGCTGGGCGGACCGCGACAGCAATGTCGTTGCGTCAATGGAAGACGAGCTCGAGCTCAGTGCCATGACTTGGATCCGCACCAACTTCGTCGACGATCATACTCAGGACTCATTTGCCGCCGTGGTTCCCTGGCTAAAAGGGGACAACGCTTCGACGCTCGTTCTTGGAGCTTTGGCTCAAGCGCTTCATATCCCATTAGCACCTTTCATCAGTCATATCCGACAACGCTCGTGCGCCGAGGTCCTACGCGATGCCGGGAGTAGACTCGACCAGCAAACTCGCGCACGGATGGTAAAGCTCCTTCTCCAGCTACTTCACTGTGTCCCTCGGCACTTCGATTCCTCTAGGATTGGTGCGCTGGATGTCCTATGGACACTATGGGAGTTCTGCCAAGGGGTCTGCCAGGCGGACGTGCAAGACCCACGCCTTTTCCAGTCGGTTCTCGACAGGATGACCGAACTCCTCGCTGAACACGAGCCCTTCCGCCTCCGCCGTGCCACGCTCAATATATTGTACGAATTCACCCAAACATGGTCGTACTTGTACTGTCCGTCCGGTGAGCCACGAAGTGCACCTCTTCCGTGTTTCAGGTCCTCACTCGTCTCGTTGAAAAGCCTTCGAACGCCTGGTCACCTCCGCGCATAAAAGTTACCGCAAGGACAGAAATCCAGACATGTTCTTCAAAGCTACTTCTGTCGCTGTCTACCTTGCGCTTAGCCTCGCGTGGGCCACACCCACCACACAAGTATCCTCCTCCTCCTCTTCCTCCACGACCCCCGTCTTCTTCCCCAACTCCGAGCACGTACCAAGCACAGGCCTCCCGTACCGCCTACAGCTCCTCGCGCTCCTGCGCGACTTCACGCGCTTCCTCGAACAGCGGAACTTCGCGGCGGTCGACGCGCAGGGGGGCTCCGCCGCCGGGCGCCATGGCGCGGCCGGTGGGCTCGTGAACGGCCTCGCCGCGCTCGTGGCGGAAGACCCGGGCCTCGTCGAGCCCGCGCTCCCCGACGCGCTCATCGAGGGCGCGCAGCTCGGCTTGCTAAAAGTCACAGCGGAGGAGCGCGAGGCGCTCATGAGGATCCGCGCGGCATGCGCGGGGCCGCCAGGGCGAGGGTCGACCCTCGGTTCGCCCACCAGGGGCTCGCTGCAGGGTGGGTTCGTGGCGCCCGCACCGGAAGAGATCGCGCGCACGGAGTCACCGGAGGCGATGGATGGTTTGGCAGAGGACGGGCGGATGCGGACGACGGAAACCCTGAAGAGTGCGCACTTTCAGGAAATGGGCCCAGATGTTGGCCGGGCAAAGGATCGGGATGTTTCGAAGAACGTTTGGTGAACAGTGCTAGTGATGGCCTACGGCTAGTTATGTACCGAGTCCTACCTCTGTGCATTGTGCAAATTGTCTATGCATACCTAAATCTATTCTATAAAGAAGGGAGCGGTGGTGTTAGTAAGCCGCGTACGTCGCTTACAGCGATACGCGAAGTTAGCGAAGTTGCCGAAATAAGCGACTCTAACCGAGGTTTTGCCATGTGGCTTCCACGTGCGCCGGGCGGGTGGCCGAGCTGGCGAGGCCGCCCCAGGTCGGGACTGTCTTTCGGCCGAGTTTACGAGGTCGATGCGCGGGGCGATGAGACCGACCAATATTTTGTTATTGATTTTCGTGCAGGAGCGCGAGTGGGGCCAGGGGCAATCCCGTAGTGGGCCACAGTGCGTAGCGCCCTCGCGTACGACCGCGCGACGTGTAGCGCGAGTCCGAGCGCACAGCCGCGACTACCGCGCACGCGCGACGATATCTCCGCGTGCACTGCAGACTCCCCCGCACGAGCCTAGCAAGGTGGGGCAATAGCATGATTTTGTATTGTGGAATTCATGGCATCTGCACGCGGTACAAGGGTATGTCCTACGTTCACGTCCTAACAGATATTTGGACATGAGCCCTCGCGCGCGAGCACAATGCTCACGGGTACTGTGCAATGCGCGCACGGTGCTCACGGCGGTGCGCTCGGACTCGCGCTACACGTCGTGCGGTCGTGCGCGAGGGTGCTACGCGCTGTGGCCCCTCCAAAACTAAAAACGACCCCACTCGCGCGTAACAACGGCCTATCGATGTTTTGGGCCAGCCATACAAGGCCGACCCCTCGCGACACTTCTCGCGTGCGGGCGCGCAAACGCCAGCGCGTGCGTATGCGTTAGAGCGTGACTGTTCGGGTACATGCCCCGCAGAACTGACTATATAAAACCTCACTATCCAACGGGGTAATTACCTCTCTCGCATCCAACGGGATCCTTCAAATCCACACCACCAACACACACGAGTGCATGTCGATAAAAGCTCTGCACGCCCTTTGCAGCACATGCTTCATTTTTTGCTATCACTGTAAGTATTATTTATAATATTCTCAAATACGTGCCCAGCGTCGTGTCTCGAGGGCCGAAGGCCCGTGCGCGCCGTGGCAACGCCACGGGTAAGAACTAGTCGAAAGACAGCGACGGCTGGAATTGCTGCACGACTCGCCGAGTCCCGCGCTCGTGTCGTCTAGCCGCGCTCTCATGTCTCTGCTTATGTCTACGTATGTCACGGGCGACGGAGGTCCTTACGACCTCACTTTAAGAATGCCTCCTGAGGTATGTGCGTAGGCCTCTCCGTGGCTCTTGGGTCGCTGGTGCGGCGGGGAAGCCAACATGCGCCTTCGTTGCATGATGTAGTCTGTGCAATCCATAGTGTTCGCTCCAACTTCATAATGCGTGGTACCGTCAACAAGTGACCTAAGGACTCACTAGTACCGATGTAGTGGGGACAAGAGCCAGGGTGGCGGGCTGGAGGTGTGCATCAGCGGGTTTTGTCAAATATTGTGCTTAAGTTGGAAAACACAAGGTCGCGGCGAATAGCGCTCGCACATGGCTCATCCCATTTCGGCGCCCGCCAACGCAACGTTGCGCTCGACATCCACCTCCCGCAGGCCTCCTCGCCAGAGTCGCATCCCACCATGTCCGCACCATCCACAACCGGCCCCAGGATGACGCACCCTCTCCCGCTGAGCTCCACCCTACACGACCTCGCTCTGCTCCGCGCGTCGGACCTCGACCTCGGCACGCTTCTCCCCTCTCCCACCACGACAGACGAGTCTACGGCGCCGGACGAGGTGGAAGCGAGCGCCGCGCGGTCGCGAGAGTTCGCGAAAGAGGCCCGAGCCGCGCTAAAGCTGGCGAACACGGACGCGGCGGAGCGGGAGGGTGCGCGCGTCGACGGGATACGGGCGCGGTTGGAGGATGCCTTGGAGGGCGTGGATGGCAAAGACCTGTAGGCGTTGGGGCGGTCGCGGAATGCGTCGTTAACGGACGTCATATGCCGTATGTACCATTGTCCGTCGCCGGCCTGCAGTCGAAAGACGTACGGAGCGACGTCATGCCCAGTTGGAGTCACCCCTTTCCATACTGCATATAAGCTCCCCGACCTCCTCTTTCATCCAATCGACCCCACCCCCTTTCCAAACACTCTCCCCAACACACCCATTGTTTCCCCACTATCACAATGTCCGGACACGATCGTACGCGTATGCCCTCTCTAGTCTCGTGACCGTGTCTGACCCGTTCTTCAGAGACCCGTGTTGCCGCCGGCCTCAAAGCTGCCATCCATAACCCCAACGTCTCTGAGGAGGCCAAAGAGCGCGCGCAGGAACGTCTTGAGACGATGGGCGCCGCCCATGTCCACCCATCGTCTCACCCCGTCGGCACCGTCGACACCACCGGCCACGAGGCCAACCGCGTCATCGGTGGATACAAGGCCGCCCTTCACAGTGCGTATACATTGCATGTCCGCCCGCGGGCACTCGCTCACATTTAGCCCAGACCCGCACACGAGTGAGGAGGCCAAGCGCCACGCCAAGGAGATCCTCGAGGCGGATGGCTACACCGTCGAGACCCCCGAGGGCGTGTCGGAGACGGAACACCAGATGCGCGTGAATGCGGGTTACAAGGCCGCGCTGCACAGTACGTTTGCTTTGTTGTGCGACTCTGCGGTGCGAGCTGACCGTCCTCGTAGACCCGAATGTGTCAGAGCAGGCAAAGGTTCACGCGCGCGAATACCTACGTGAACACAACGCGCTCTGAGTCTGCGATCAGGACGTTGTCGGTCCCTTCCGCGTAATGGTGTATGAGTAGTTAGTGCGAACGCAACTGTTCTTGCTCTTCTGTTGTGTCATGTTCATTGTGTTGACTCTCCTGCCGATCTTAAGGAACATTCCTTGGCGCTCCATGCATTGAAGATTCCAGTTGATCTGCAGTAGATGATGATCCCTGCGTTGCGCAGGCAAACCCGCTTTGTCCTGTCAACGTCCTAGTGGCGCTTTAAAGTGCTCCCTCACACGCCGGGGCGACCATTTTTCTGGGAGCTTTTCTGGGAGCTGTTTATAAGGTTTAAAATCCACGTGCAGCCAGAAAAAGTATTTCTATGGGTTTCTATGGGCGAGAGAAAACCTTACTTGTCTTTCTCTCGGCTTTAATGTGGCACTAGAAAGTGGTCGCCCCGGCGTGTCACTGGACGGGGCTTCTAGTGTGCTCTGGCGCTCCTTCACGCAGTGCACGTTCATCGAGGCCAAGGGCGACGTCGTCTTCTTCTTCAAGAACCAGCGCGGCGTGTGGGTGTGCGGACGCCGCCAACCAAAGAGAAGTAGGTGGACGTGCTCGCCATCGCTGTGCTGACTGGGTGATGCATGGTTGGGTATCGTTTGCTCGCTCGTCTCGCTTTCAACAATCTCCCCCGCTCCGCTTGTTACAAAAGTCTTGTTGTGTGTCACTTGTTATACAGATACCGCTCTCTTTGTAATCTACAGCATCCTTCTTGTACTGAACATCCCTGTACTACTGATATGTTGGCGTCATTTTGGCAGACGTGAAAAAGAGGCGCGGGTGGGCATAGCGCCAGCGCTTGTGCACATCAGGCGCTTAGGCGGTGCTCAACGCTGTCTTCTTCTCAACCACGTCCCTCAAGAGCTCAAGAGCTCAATCAACAGGTCATCTTCAACCTTTTTACCGATCGCTATTTTGGTATTTAACGGTATTTCATTGTTAGGGCTCCCATGTGCGCCGTAGACATCAGACCTGCGGAGGTCTTGTTTGCTGGCAGACGATCGATGGAAGCAAAATAACAACCTCAATGCGTTGCATGGGCTGCTGGGCGTGCTTCTGGAAGATAAGTGCACGGATCAACGTTCAAGTGCTCAAAAATGACGACGTCGGATTTATCCACCGCTCACGACTAGGACGCCCACACCAAACAACCCTTGTTTGGCCACACTTCTGAACTCCGCCGCCCAGATTCCAAGCGTTTCGCTGACACGTTGCTCACGGAGAACAGCACTTTGCATGCATAGGCATGTTTCCGAAAGATACGTGCGCGGGCCAGCGTTCAGGTGCTCGAGAATGACGACACCAGATTTGCCTACCGCTCACAACCAAGGACGCCCACACCAAACCCTTGTTTGGCAACACCTCTGAACTCCGCCGTCCAGCCGGGGCCTGACGCGAGCACCCCAAATCATTTTTGAGTGCCGTTCTCTCGGATTCCTGCTCCCCTGCTTGGGCTCTGCGACCAACCCGCGACACACGACGGCCTGCGATGCCCCCTGGTCGCCATGATCTTTCTCCGAGTCTTCTCGCGCTCGGTGAGTAGGCCCTTCTGTCGGGGCTCGGCTGAGGACTTCTGGTGATTAAAATCAAATTTCCAGGAACTGCTGGGAGATCCGAGAGCAACTTCCCGCCCGAGAAGCACCTGGTCCTGCTTGGGCGCGGAGACGTGCAGGAGGCGATTGGCCAAGGCGATACTCGGGACCCCAGTATCGCGGGCCTCGACACGGCCTTTTGCCAGCCGAGTGCGCGGCCTTGTGCTCTGCGCGGGCCTGGCGTGATGCGGCCGCCGCTCGGGATTTGCGGTGGGGTCCGCCGGGCGAGGATAAAAGCCCTCCTCCCCTGCGCTCTCTCTCCTCAGAACCCCCACCACCCCACCACCTCGACGATGCTCTCCCCCACGGCGCACCCCAGCCCATGCGGCACACCATCGGCTCCTAGCTAGCCTCCACTCAACCCACTCCCTCGCCATCTGTCCGCCTCAACGGCGGCGACGGCAACACGCTCACCTCCAGGCAATGCTGTGAGCTATTCCTTCACCCACACGCACCGCCATTCATGCTGACCACTCTCTAGGACCGATGATGCATGGAGCAGGTCGGTTCCCATGTCACTCTCCTCGCCCGGCACCGAGGCTCTGGCGTCGCTCGCGCGTCGCCATCCTCACCGCCGAATGGGCAGGCGAGAGACACCGTGCAGCGGCTTCGTACCGCACCGCACGGGGAGCCCGAGACCTACACCGACTTCGCGGCCCCAGTTGCCTGAAGGCAGAGCCTGAGCGCGGCACCCCGGACCACCCCCGTCGTCGACGATACTCACGAGCCGCGCGCGACGCACTTCAAGCTTGCCTGTGATATGTGCGTGTTTCTCTCATTCTCTCCGCCGACGTCGACGCTGACTTGAGCACAGCAGCTGTGTCTTCAACGACACAAACACATTATTGTGAGTGGCTCGCCTTCCATCGGTTCGAATGCGATCTGACTTCGACCGTTGAACAGTCACTCGGAATTTGAAGACCATATGTATGAATAGGCTCAGTGAGGGCGCGGTTGATCGCTTCCCGCTGTCCAATCCAGCGGCGAAAGTAGGGTATGATCCCGCGCCGGGCGGTACGCACGAACCCGATGAATACCGCTCCGCGATGCTTAGCGGAAAGATTCGGTTCCGGGAAAGTTGTGCGTGCCGCCCTCAGGTTTCGAGCCGTCTTTCTTTTCTCGCGATTGCTACCGCTCTCCTTACCCTCTCCATGCTCATACATACGAGGACGGCGATCGTCAGGCGGCGCGTACGACCCGATGAACGCCACTCCGTGGGTTTCGCGGAATGTTTTCATGGCTCCGGGACACTCGTACGCGCCGGCCCCAGCTCGGCCCGTCCTTGTTTTCTCTCCCTATCTCCCACTGCACTCGTCGCTCTCATCTCTATGCTTATGGATACCTATGTTTCGGACGACGGAGGTCCTTACGACCTCCGTTCAAATTTCTTTCCCGAGGTAATGGCGCAGGCCTCTCCGTGGCCCTCGGGACTAGTACCCGCCGCGCGAGCGGCGGGGAAGCTAACATGCGTCATCCATGTATTATGTAGTCTCTCTCACCAATGCTGTTCCCCCCAATTCGGTGTAGAGGATGAACCTGGTGCGACACTATCTACGACTGGTATGTGCGCGCTGCGCGGGTCACCAATCTTTGCTCCGGGGGCTCGGCCAGCACCAACATATTTGGAGTTGACAAGAGACACACGAAGCGCGTGGTTGGAAGCTTACACGCGATTGTGCTCTGGTAGCCAAAGGGCACATGGCCAGAAAGCAATTCAGAGGAGGGATGGGTGCTTGCAAAAGGATGTGCTTAGTCAGGCAGATCTCGCGCGTATATCGAGGCACGGACGTCACCGCCAACTCTGACTGCGCTTCCATCGTCCCCGCGCGAAGCTCCCACCCAACATGCTCCCTTGCCCCCTCTGCCTCTCCTCGCTCCCCCACCAGCTCCCGACCACATAGCCATCGACCTCTCGAGCATGCACCTCCTCATTCTCGGCGGCACGGGCCCGAGCGGCATCCAGCTCATCGAGCAAGCCCTCGCCCGCCACCACACCGTCGTCGTCTACGCCCGCTCGCCCGACAAGCTCCCCTCCCACATCACCGCCTCTCCCTCCGTCACCGTCGTCGTCGGCGGGCTCGCCGACAAGGACAAGCTCACCGCCGCGCTCGACGGCGTCCACGCCGTCCTCTCCGCGCTCGGCCCCGCGGTCAAGAACGGGCCCTTCCACCCGGGCAACACCCCGCTCGCGAACGGGTACGAGCTCCTGCTCGCGTGCATGAAGGCGCGGGACGTCAAGCGGCTGATCGCGCTCGGCACGGCGAGCATGGCGGACGAGCACGACAAGTTCAGCTTCGAGTTCTCGGTGCTCGTCACCGGCGTCGCCGTCTTCGCGCACAACGCGTACAAGGACGTCGTCCAGATCGGCAAGAACGTGCGCGCGGCGGACCTGGACGTGATGTGGACGCTGGCGCGCGTGCCGCTGTTGACGGAGAAGGAGTCGAAGGAGTACCTGGCGGGCTACGTGGGCGACGGGAAGACGAAGACGCGGCTGTCGCGCGCGGCGTTTGGCGCGTTCGTGATGGATGAACTGGAGCAAAACCAGTGGTGCAGGAAGGCACCGTTGTTGTCGTCGCCGTGAAGGATCATGAAAGGTATGTGCCATTGCTGATGTGGCCAATATTCTTGTCCAACTCTATCCCCAGGTCGCATGTACTGTATGTTCAGGGACATTTGTTTCGTGGATTTTCTGTAGGAAGACGTTGTCTGCAAGTTCTGTGCGCCAAAATGACATGAAATGCATGAACGAGTACCATCCTCCAGGCTCTCATTGCTGTGGCTGTCAACAACCTCGCCAACGACTGCCATGCCCTTAGGACGGACAAGTACTGCACGCGACTCGATTGTCCAGGGTGATGTTGGCGCTGGACACTGGGATGTAAGACAGAAGGACAGACGTCTGAGAAAATTGCCCGTATCTTCTTGTAAGAGTACCATCGTCGCTGTTCTAGTCTCCCCTTACGCCGCGAGCTCGCCTTCCGCCCTCAACTTCGTTCACTCCTCCCATGGCAAGCGTCACATCACCCCTTAGGCAAGTGGTATTAGCACCAGCCTTGCGCGACGCTGTGGCTCGCCACCACCATCAGCGACCTGCTTCTCCCCCATGTTGGAGCGTTCGCCGGCCACCACGGCGGGCCTCGAAACAGTGACATTCGACTCAGCCTGCGCCGCCCATCGTGCGCTTTTTTGCATTGAGATCGCGCAAGGTCCTCGAAAACCCGACGCCGCCGCGACCGTCTCTCGCCCAGTCCGTGGACCGACTTCCGGACGAGTCTCGGCGCGAGCGGCGGCGTTCTCAGTCCACCCTCGCCTCCACCGCCTGCGTTTGGCGGGATGGTTGCGAGGTGGCTTTTGTTTTTGCGGATGGATCCGGTGGGACATGTACATGGTTCGGCCGGGCTGAGTGGAGAACCTGTTGCTGCACTGGCCGGGGCTTCTGTACATGCAGCGCCCCATGTGCAGGAAGGCGTAGGTGCTGAAGACTCGAGTATGATGTGCTCTCCAGAAGCGTTAATCATGACGCAGATATCGGGACTATATGTGGTGCTATGTATGCGCTTGATCAGACATGCTTGTAGAAAATATTTGTACCATGGAGCCGCGACATATCCGCTGGGCGGAAAATCGAGGCATACGGATATGTCGCGGCATAAGACATGCGCGGTTTAGCGTGCTCTTCGAGGCTCCGAGACGGGAAAAAAATGGTTTCCCCCAGTCAGACAACGAAGTTGACATGCTCCGACTCATCGCTGGCGAGCAGTGGCAAATATTACACATCGGCTCCCGGGCCGGGAATCACCCACTGACGTGACCCAAATCACCATATGTGACGGTTCGTGTCAGAGCATGCTACCGCCACTCGGCTCAGCGCGCGATTTGTCGACGCGACCCACGACAGTCTGGCATATATATGTCGCGGGTACATGTCTTGCACCATGAGTGTAGAACGTGCTCAGCGAGCTCCTTGGGTTCGTGTTCGATGGGTTCGCTTTGCTCGGGGGTCCCGGAGATCGCCCACGCGCACACAAAAAGGATCCAGCCGCAGGAAACGGATATCTGCTTGGTATACGTACGTAGATCCCCTAGGGGCGCACCGCGGCAGGCGCGCTGCCCGTCGCCTGTAGCGGCATCGGGGCGTGCAGCGCGCCGCAGCGCCACAGTGGGTATTACCAGAGACGGAGAGCCCGATGCGGAGAAAGAGGGAGAGGCCGGCGCGGTATGTGGGGCAGAAACGAGCGCGGGAATGAATACAGGTGTTGGGGGGAATGCGATGGTAACCTTGTGTTATGTGTGTGCTGATGCGGATGAGAGTTATGCGTATGCGGGGCCGACGAATATAGAAGGGATAGAGGGGGGTTGCGCGCAGCAGAATAGGTACAGAACGGGCGGCGACGCGGGTGGAGGAATATACGGGCGGCGGGCCTAAGCGATTAGGATTAGGTGCCGAGCCGGGCAGCAGACCGTTGGCCCAATATGCACAGATGCGGGGCCGAGGCCGGTATATCAGTATGCAATGCGGGAATAGTCGGGGCACGCGGAAGATGCGAATCGCGAATGGGGAGTGGAAGGTGAGCGCGGGGAAGGCGAAGTCAAAGAGGGAAAAGGGGCGTGGGCCGCGGGCCCGAGGGGAAGGTGCGAGTCGAGAGACAGAGAGGCGAGCAACGAAAGTCTATGGCGGTGAGGCGAAGAGGCCGGGTGGGGAACATGTACAGCGAAGACAACGGGCAGAGCGAGGATGCAAGAAGCGACAGGCGACGACGAGGGGAGGCGACGAGTGGGTGGAGAGCGGATATTTTGCTTGGTGTGGATGCATGCGAGCGGAGAGCGGAGGGAGAGACGCAGCCGACGCGTAGCGGCACTACGGCGATGAGTTGTGCGCGTTCTGCGGTAGAACCGCTAAACTTCTCCGCTTGATCATCCGGGAGATGTCCTTCGCTCTCGCCACCCAACTCGATGGTGGTGGCTTCTTGTCGTCCTTCACCGGCGAGGGTGTCGTCGGAGCCGCCTGCGTCGCGATGCCCGGCGGTGGATTCGGCATGCTAATTGTTGACCGCCTTGACCGCGTGCCCTCCTTTGCTGCATCCGCGTATACAAACGCGGTGACGGGCGTCCTTGGCATGTCGTCGGAGCCGTTGAGCATCCCCTCCTCTTCTGCGTCGTGGTGCGCCTCGACCGTCGCCTCCTCGACCGAGACCCCGATCATGAGTCCGTTGGGCTGCGTGAGGATGTCTCGCGAGCGCGTTTTGGCGCGCGACAGCCGTCGCGCGATCGTGCGTCCGACCGCCTTGCCGAGCGACATTCGACCCGCGATGGTCTCCATCTGCGTGACCTGCTCCTCGTCGTGCTCCTGTGCGTGCGGTGGCTCCGACTCGGAGGCGAAAGAGTCCGCGCTGCCCGCGTACCTCTGCGCCTGGTAGAAGGCGCCGGTCGAGCCGGCGTTGATTATGAGCGAGTTCTTGCGCGACGGCAGGTTGCTCGCGGTCTCGAATGTGCCTGGTGGCACTTCAGGATTCTGCGGGGAGAAACCGGAGATTAGAGACTTGTGATCCGCGCCACCTGAGAGGGGCGCTAGTGCTTTGTCGCAGGCGTGCCTGGAAGTGCTGTGCCCGAGGAAAAGAGAGGCCAGGTACGCCGGAGAGCCCATTGATGGGCGCAGCAGGCCCTCCGTCCAGCACATTACCGTGATGCCCGGTCCAGGCAAACCCCGCCAATGGGGGCGCGGCACATGAAGAAAGAGGAAAAGAGGGTGTGCGCTCGAAGATGGTCGAGTAAATAGGGCGCCTGAGCAGATGAGGCAATGGAGGCGGGCAGTCCCCACAGCCAAGGCGACGCGCTACAGCGCGCCCGCACCGAGTTCGCGCACATCTCATACGACCGTATGCGCCCCCCTGAGATCGAAGACGCGAATAGAGACGGGGAAACGCGCTGTATGCACGGCGAGACGAGCAGCTGGGATCACAAAGTGACGCAACTGACCTGGCCGAATCTCGAGACGGATATGCTCCCCCTCCGACGGTCTCTCTCCCGCGTTGCGTCCTTCTCTCTGGGGACGGAAATGGTGACGGGGCCCGGGGAGGACAGGTTGGATGAGGGCTGTGGTGACGAGCTGGAGGCGGTGGTGGGTCGCGAGAGCTCGTCGTCGAGCTGCTGCTTGTATGCGCGCATCTCGCTCTCTTTCTCGACCTTGGTGAATATCTGGGGCGGGAACTGTTGAGCGGTGTGCGCGAGAGAGGTATGAGGGGTGGGAGACGCACCTGCTCGATGAAGTCGGAGCGTTGGTCGAGAATGTGGGCGTCGAGCGGGGGAAGAGCCTCGGCGATGGGGGAGAGCTCGAGCTCGGCCTTCTCTTCGACGATGGCGAGGCCCGGCGAGGGCGAGCGGGGGCGGGGGGCGCGCGCGGGGGCGAGTTCGGGGAGGGCGAGAGACATGGAGGGCGGACGCGGTCGGTGGACGGGCGTGAGAGGGCATGGGGGGATATAAGAGGTTGATTGATGTTCTCGAAGCGGGCGAAGCAGCATCAACGGAAGGCGGTCTGACCGCCCTGTCCCGGTAACGCGCCCGCGGTTCGTGTGCGCCGCCGACGCGTGTGCCGCCGACGCGCGCGTCCCCGCCGCACGCCGCAGACACCGTCGCTGGGAATGAGGAGCGAGCATGGTGTCTGCACCGAGCCCCGATGCGACCGAGCGGGAGCGAGAGCGAGCCTAGGGCTACCGACGAGGCGAGCGGACGGCGCGCTCGGTCCCATAAGTAAACCGAGGCCCTCCTGTCACGCCAGCCCCGAACGGGGGTCGTCACTCCGGCCCCCGCCGCCGTTCGCCGCCACCTCCACCGAGATCGGCGCCAAAACAGCGCCCATACTTACGCCCACCGCGGTCTGCACCCCAGTTCGAACCGCAGCCGCGTGCCGGTGGTCTGGCATCGCCCATGTGCTTGGAGAGCACTCGGCGCACTCCCTCCAAAGTCATGCAGCCAACCCTGCGATCGAGCCTTGTACTTTCTCGTCCACCCCACCGCAAGTTTCTTGGATTTCTACTCCTTCTAGCTCTCGTGCCCTCTGCTGATGTAGAACTCAAGCGCAAATATGGGGTGAGAGATGGTCCCTCGCTTCAGTGTTCTATCATCAATTCTAGCGAGATGTAACCCTGCCATATATCGCGTACTATACTGCTTTCGTACGCAATATAAACCATCAGAATCACAACTACTCTAAGTTAGCGTACTCTGCTTTCTCACGAATACAATAACAAGCTATAGCCTTTTATTAATGTTCTCTTTAGCCGTCGGCGCTTACGCCACGCGTTACTCCAACGTCATCGCTCTGCAGCTCATCGACTGCAACATCTCCCCACTCTCGCCACGATGAGCTGGATTGCCTACCTCCCCCACGTCATATACTCTACTGCTCTTATCTCCATCAGCATGCACCACCTCTCTGCCCGACATTCCGCCGAATCCGACCGTTCGCACGTCGCCGCCCAGCTCTCCCTCCTCACCGACCTTCGTGACCGCCTGCGCGATCCGGGCAACGACTCCGTGTCGGACGCCGAGGCGGACAAGATCCTTCGTCTCGCCCAGTCCCACGACGTCTTCAAACGCGCACAACCGACAGCCGGGATGGGCGCGGGCTTGGGCGCGGAGGCGGACGAGCTGACGTCGCAGATGCAGGCCGGCGAGCGCGTCGGCTGGCGCGAGGTCATATTCGGTCGGCGGACGGACATGGCGCGGACGGAGGAGCTGGACAGGCGCGATCTCGAGCGGGGTGCGTCCTTTTTGCCCTATCGTGCTGCGTGCCTGTGCGCACTGTGGACGGTGGGTGGGTGTGCGGTGGGAGCTAACGGTTACTCTCGCTCGCAGTGCGCACGGAGATCGAGCGCAGCGAATCGAGCGGGCGGTAGCGCACCTCCGCCGATCTGGCGCGGCCGCACCCGACATCCTCCGCCTGTGGCGCGGGGCACGCACGAAACCGTCGGTGTGCAGTCATCCCATCCCCGCACAGGAGCACACACCGAACACGCACTCGGGAGCATGTCGGGATTCGGCTTCCTCGGCTACGGTGCCCAGCATTCAACGCGAATCGGGTGTTTAAACTTTCAGACTTCGGGCGATTGGAGGCAGCCGCGATCGAGGGGGACCGCACGGGACGCGGGTGCGCTCTCTGCAAATGCGCGGTGGGCACTGGCGAGTGTACCCGCCAGCCGTGTATGTCACGTTTGTCCGTGTCTATTTGGACTTCACGCTATAACGATGTCACTCGCCCATGCGCCTCCAGATCTGTAATGAGGATACTTGCATGCGGACGAGCGAGCCGCGAGCTCATCTGTCTCAAATCATCTGCGCCGTTCAGGCCCCATCTCCGTCCCGTGCTCGTTGCCAGCAAGACGGATGTCAATCATCCACAGGCACAATCGCTCAAACCTAGGCTCAAGCTTCAAAACTCGACCACTTTCAACCCCCAGGGAGTCCGAGACTCCAGGACCTGGCGCCCTAAATATCTCCCTCCTCCGGACTGAGAGCACGACATCAACGCATCACTTCGACCTCCAATCTGTCCATCACCACCAGAATCCTTCGCGAACCGCACACCGCCGCCGTCAGCTCAGCACCCTCCCAGCCTGCTCCGGCCGGGGAGCCCGCGCCGAAGCCCGCGCGGCGAACGGCGAAGCGTTCCGCGGTCCTGCTCAAGTAACCGCCAACTCTAAACTCGTTCCGGCGCGGGTTCTCTTCCTTGGGACTTCGGGCTTCCCCTCCATCGCTCCGTGCGACTTGAGATGCGGATTCGAGGGTGCGAGAAGCGTCGGCGCCGCGCGCCGCGCACACGCGGGCGGCCGAGGTCGTCCCAGGCTCGCCGCGTGCTCCTGGGGTCGCCCGTGGGCGGGCAAGGACTCAGGAGTGTGGGCGCGTGCGAGCGTGGGGGGCTGTGAGGAGTAGGATGGAGGGGGGCGCGGCGGACCGCGCGGCAGGGCGCATGTGGCGTGGCAGTGACGGCAGTGCACTATGTTATACATAACCGGCCGTATGTACCGTGCTGGGGGTGCGCAGTTGCGATCTCGACCGAGTTCAACGACGCCAGGGGACCGTGCGGGTCCAGGCAGACGTTTCGAAACGGCGGGAATAACGAGGTTCAGGCCTGAGGCCTTCAGGGCCGCCGGAGTCAATGCAGTCGACTGCGCGGACGAGGAGTGCGACAGCATCCGGCATTCAAAACACACCGGCCTACAGGTGCGCCCGCTTTCGCCCCGTGAAGCATCATTCGTGATGCACAGCGTCCCAGTGCATCTCCCAAGGACCAAACCCGTCCACACCTGCCGTGCCTGTCCATCCAAACCTTGGACGCGAGGCACATGCACAAAGTTCACCGTCAGCGGTGATAATCAGCACGGCCCGCAGCGGCCCGGTCTACTCTCTCCTCATCCGGTGCACCACCATCATGCAAAGCGGGATGCCATAACGCATGAAATCACGAAGTAGATCCGGGTATGTAGTCTCCCTTCCATGTACGGGGAGTCCACGGACGCAAAACCCGTTACGGCACGCGAGACGGGCATGGTCCGCACCGTTCATTATACCGGCAGGCCTCACACCCGATTTGCACGTACGGGTCACCGCCTGACTGCCCGGAGACCGGAGATGTACGGCGTGTCACACAGTGACCCGCCCGCGCGGACGCAGACTGAAAGGAAGGCCCGATCGTTCGCGTGGGGCGTCATAAAGAGCTCGCGCCCAGCACTCAGCGCCCGCCGAACGGGTTCGATGCGCAAATGACCATGGCGTAGGGCGATCGGGAGGCTGCAGGCTTATATGCCTCCACGGAACCGCGCACGCGCACTCCCGGCGGCGCCTGGGGCCACGGCCGAGGAGTGGAGGCAATCGAGCACGCCGCGGCGGGGGCCGTCAGCTGGGCGACGTGCCAGTGGTGGTGGCGGCGGTGGCGGCCCCGTGCGCGTTCGGTACCGCGGCGGAGCGTGCACACGCGAGGTGGACGCGATCCCGGGAGATGCGCGCCGCGGCGGAGCACGCAGGTCGGCGGAGACAATCGTCAAGCCCGCGGCGAGGTGGGGGTGGGGGTAGAATTTTGGATGCCGCCTCCTCCTTCCCCGTCCCCGACGAAGCAAGAAAACCGCCTGGGCAAGCGCAAGAGGCGGGATCAGTGGCTTTGGATTGGTGTGCACATAGGGGTCCGTGTTCCCGTCACCCCGACACAGGGGGCCGTTACTGCAGCAACGGCCCTCTATAATTGCCGTACCTTCCCTTGCGATCGTGGTTCTCGGAGCTCGTTTTCTTGTCGATCGCCCGGCGGCCATGCCTAGGTGAACCACGAGTGCGGGAGGACAGGCGTGCGTCGATGGCCTGCTCATGTGATCGACGTAAGCGAATGCGGCGAGCTGCCCGAAGGGCTCGCATGCCAGGATTGCCTTTGGTGCATAGGGGACCCTGGAGCAAGGTAAGTTGTTACGGAAGCAGTAGAACATTGAACCTAGTCGAGCGCGGCGATATCGACTGCCTCCGCCGACTCCAGAAGCCTGCTTTGAGCTCAGAAATCGCCTCGCTGTCGTGGAAGAAGATAAGAGTTCGCGGGCTGACGCTCCAGTGGTGAGCTGTACGAGATAAAATTGATGGCGGTAATCAACTTTCATGGTGGTCCGGGAAGGGCGATGGTACAATTCCTCCTAGGTACATTTAGAGTGTCAATCTGGCGAAAGAAAGGCTGATTAGCTGAAGTGCATATTGGGCTGAAACCGGTAACAGTGTTGCTTGTCCACTTTGTCCTAACGTCTTTAGATGGGCGGTACGGTATTAAAAAGGGGAGAGCTTGCAAATATGGTCGGCCGATCTCTTGTGTGCTGTCATTTCCACAAACAGGTCACTGACAATTGTCCGCTGAAGTTTGAAAGGTTCGGCACTCGTACACAGCTCGTCGGATGCGAGATTTCATCGCTATACTCGGAACACGTTCAGTCTGCAATCCCAACTACAGGTAGCCAACAGCCCTTCTTCATACAACGACCACGCACACCCGACCACGAACTCTGTGTGCGCGTCGTGGATCGCAAGCAGATGAGAGCCCCCGGGTGGCGGTGTCGTCGTCCATCTGCAGACACCTCGTCAGCGTCACGACGGCTCCGCACAGAAGTGAAGCTACTCACACTCTGCAGGTCATGTCGTAGCCCGCGCTCGCGAGCACGTCTGCGCGGTGCGGGCTCCACTGCACCTTCCGAACCGCATACTCGTGTCCCGCGAGGTGCGTCTCGCACACGCCGCCGACCGCGGGCTGCCCTGCGCCTGGGTCCCCCGAGCCAGGCCCGAGCCTCACCATACGGCAGTCCCAGGTCTTAACGGCCTTGTCGACGCCGGCGCTCGCTAGCACGAAGGGTCGGTACTTGTTCCAGTCGAGCGAGAGCACCTCCCCGCCGGACGCGGGCACGGTCAGCGCCGCGGCGGTCAGGGGCGCGGAGAACGCGTTCGCGCCTGGGGCGGCGGGCGCGTACGCGGGTGCGCGGAGGTCGAAGATGCGGACCGTGCCGTCGGTCGAGCACGTCGCGATCACGTCGGGCTGGTGCGGGGAGAAGAGGGCTTGATAGACGCAGGACGTGTGCGCTTGGAGCGTGGTGAGAGAACGGGGTCGTTCGGGTGTCCACTGTGCGGAGGTGGGTAGGGATCGCGCGGAGGGACAATCGAGAACTTACCAGCTTCACAGTGCCTTCCCACGAGGAGGAGATAAACTGGTCTTTGTTAATGTTCGACCAGTCCACCGAGAAGACCTCGCGGGTGTGTTCTTGCCAGGCGTGTATGGGAAGATCCTACGTATGCTTGCGGCACTTGGGATCTGGAGACCGATGTTGCACGATGGGCGAGGCGACATACCTTGACCATGACATCCCACAGCTTGATTGACCCGTCTCCGGACCCCGACACCAGTTGGTTCTCATGTATCTCTGACCACGCGACGTCATACAGGCCATCCTGCGTCTCATAACTGGGACGCTCAGGTGCCGTAGACGCCTAGAGCGGGAAGGGCTCACAGATGATCCAAGTTGATGGAGGGCATCCCAGGAGGACCCGGTCCTAGGGAGGCCAGGTGCAGCCTCCCGTTCCCGACGAGTCCATAGTTTGCAGCGGAGGCGATGGCAATCCGGCCGTTGTGGAAGGGCGACCAAGCGATGCCATAGTGCGCAAAACCGGGGGTATGAAGTGCTGCTGGAGGCGGTTTGCTCATTCGTGCGACGAGCAGAAGACGAGCGAGAGGTGGTGGTGCGGGGGAGAGGCGCTGTCTGGCTGCTGATTTCAATGTCGACTCGTAGTCTGAGCACTTCAGCCGGGCCGCAAGATGCCGGGTCAGTGCACGTGACAATTGGTCAGGTATGATCACAGGGCGGTTATCTGTAATGTTTCGCAGTTGAACATAGGATAAGTATGTCGGGGGCGGCCGCACTCGAGTTTCGCGTTCGCAGAGGGCGCACGATGGTCGCGACTGTGTGCACAGCGAGAACAAAAGCGGCAGTGGCAGCCAAACAAAGATTGCATCGGGGACAGACCGGACGCCCAGCGAGGAACAATGACCGTCGCCTCCATCGCCCGTCCTTGTTCTCCTTCCCATCCCATCTCCTCCCCCTCCCGCGCACCCACCCCTCCACGGCCCCTCTTCTCTCCGCCCCCAACCCCCTCTCCCTCTCGCGCCGCGCGCAGAGATGATCAAGCGCATGGCGTCCAAGTTCCACCTCCGCAACCACGGCGACACCGCGTCCTCGTCCTCCGCCTCGGCCACCTCCTCCGCCTACACCCAGTCCACGCTCTCGCACGAGACGCGCCTGTCGATATCGACCGAGCGCACCTCGCTGCACGAATGGGTCAAGCACCAGTCTGAGCAGCAGCACCCCGCCGTCCCCGCCGCGGCAGAGGAGCCGGCCACCGTCCAGGTCCGCCGCACGATGGGCGCGTACCGTCTCTCCGATTTTATCATCCAACGCACCCTTGGCACCGGGAGCTTCGGCCGTGTGCATCTAGGTGAGTGTATGCTCTTCATTTGCGGCTGCGAGGCGTATGAGAGAGGGTTGGGCGAGGACCCAGGGAGAGGGGTAACTGACGGTTGGATGGCGGGTATGATCAAACGGTTTGCAATGCTGGGCAGTGTCTTTTCGTTGTATCGATAAGCCGAAGGTCGTCGCTGGTCGCGATTTGCGGAGGATGAATGGTCGTCGAGCGATGGGCGACTCGCTGAGCACTGCTCAGCTTAATCTCGCACGGGTGCTCGAGCGAGAGATCTGATCAGCGGTATGCTGTTCGGACAACCTAAGCATCCATCCCCAACTACTTAGATATGATGCGCGAGTTAAGCCGCAACTTAATGCGCCACATCTCCAATACGCACCAGGCTGACGCGCGTATACCCACAGTGCGCAGCAAACACAACCTTCGCTTCTACGCGATCAAGGTACTCAGCAAAGACCGGATCGTGCGCATGAAGCAGGAAACGCATACCCGCAACGAGCAGATGATGCTCAAGGCGGTGCAACATCCGTTCATCATCAACCTCTGGGGCGCGTTCCAAGACACTGCAAATTTGTACATGGTCATGGACTTTGTGCCGGGTGGCGAGCTTTTCACGCTCCTCCGGAGATCAAACGTAAGCAGCCCTGCGTTCGCGCGCATGCAGCCACTCAGGATCTCCGTGCAGCGGTTCCCCGACCCGGTAGCAAAATTCTATGCCGCAGAAGTTGCGCTCGCCTTGAACTATTTGCACTCGCAAGATATCATTTACCGTGACCTGAAGCCCGAGAACATCCTCCTGAACTTTGACGGTCATATCAAAATCGCCGACTTCGGCTTCGCAAAATACTGTAACACTACCGTTTGGACGCTGTGCGGTACCCCAGACTACCTCGCACCCGAAGTTCGTTTCCCCCTATCTATTCGTCTTGCATGTACTGACTTCGCCTGCAGATCATTGGGAACGCGCGTTACAACAAGTCCGTAGACTGGTACGCCTTGGCGTGCTCATCTTCGAGATGCTCTCTGGCCTGCCCCCTTTCCATGAACCCGACATCTCTCCTGTCGTCCTCTACGAGAAGATTGCGCAGGGCCCGTCGTGCGTCAAGTGGCCGGCGTTCCATCCCAACGCAACGGACCTTATTCTTAAGTTCATGGAGCGCGACCCTTCAAAGCGGTTCGGGAACATGTTACACGGCGCGGGCGACGTGTTCGCCCACCCGTGGTTCGCGGAGGTCGACTGGAAGAAGTTACTCAACCGTGAAATCACGGCGCCATACCTGCCCAAGATCGCGAGCGACGGTGATGCCAGCGCGTGAGTGGCGGCGTTTCTGGATATATGTGTGGCGTTGATTGCTAACGCTACCCTCTAGATTTGAGCGTTATCCGGAGGAAAACGCGGCGTCACAGTATGGGCAGATGACCCCAGACCCGTATGGCGACCGGTTCCCCGACTTCGACTACACGAGCTCATGACCTGGCTGTCGAGCGCTGGATGCTCTCAATTCACCCCCTGTCGCTTCCGACCCTTCACCCTCCCCACGTGTTGTACTATGTGCATTCAGCCGTCTGTTGTACTGTTTGTACCACCGCTTCATGACCCCACTGCCTTCTCCACTATCTATCATCATCTCGTCAATGCTCTCTGTTGTTTTGTCGCATACCCATTGGACCCTTCTTCGTCTGTAGCTCTTCGAACGCATAGGATGCATCTCTCTCACAACGGACTTCCCTCTTTCCAAGGAACGAACGAATCGCACGAGTGTCATGTTTCATCAACGGCGCCTTCTTATGTATGTGGACACGGCCTTCCAGGACGAGAAGTAGGATAGACAGACGCCATACACAACGTAAACGTTCCCACAGCGTGGAGCCATTAAGACGTGGCTGGCGGCACATCGACAGAGGATGCGACAACAAGTTGGAGGGGAGAGAGAACTCTGAGAGGCATCCAAGGGCGCGTCGATGAGGGGAGGTACGACGGCCGAGCGGAAGACGATGCGACGAGGATGTCGTGAGTGGACTCGGATGCACATCGCGCGGGGATGCTCAAATGCGTGTGCAGAAAAACCGTCGGCATTTTTCGTCCGTCGCTCGAACCCGCCGCGTCGCACCCCGAGCCGAGACAAGCTGCAGTCACGCCGGCGAGCCTTCGCCAAAGGAGGCGCATGCTGGCCTTGGAATGAGGAGACATAGCCATAGACGGCACGTGGAGGTGGAGGTCAAGCAGAAGTGGTTATTGAATAGATTCGATGTCGTTCCAAAAGCCCGCTGGGGTGCGGTAGGGGTCGGTCGATGGAAGTCGTGTGGGGGAAGGCAAAGGCGAGCATGTACAGCGCACCCGGAGCGCGGGCGCGAGGGTGGAGCGATGGCTGTGAGGGGCCGAGGGCCGTGGGGAGGTCGTTCTCAGTCCGGCTTCTCGTGTACAAGGAGGAGTGTGGGGTTCTGTATCGTCCCGATGGCGTTGAAGGATGCGGCTGGCGAGGCGAGGGGTGAGGGGAGAGGGAGTTGTCCGAAGGGGGCTACCATGGGGCTCGTGTGTATCAGGGGAGGTCAAAGTTGCGTTCGAGAGGCCGATAAGTCGTGCTGATGAGCATCCACGGCCCCAACATCCTACATGGGCGCGGGCATCTCACCGCTACGCACCTCGCGTCCTCTGGACATTTGCAACATCACGAGCAGCCTCGTAACCCGATTTCCAAACGGGAAGCAGCCGGGCTCCGATTCGTTGCCGTCTGCACGTAAGGGGGAGGCGGGCAAGTCGAGACACGGAAAGAGCGCGTCCACGTAGAGCGCGAGGCGCATGCTCGTGTCCTCATCGTAGACGTCCTCGTCTCCGTCCACATCCTCGTCCTCGTCCTCGTCCTCGTCCTCGTCCCTGTCCCTGTCCCTGTCCCCAAAGATACCGGCAGTGAGATAGTTGAGGCGATGCCCCATTCGCTGTGGCATTTCGTGGACGCTCTCGGGAAGCCCGTTGAGGGTGACATGGTAGTCGAGGACGATCTTCGTGAGCGACGTACAGCGTTCGGCGAGCACCTTCAGTGCTTGAACGGAAGGAGCTTTAGCATCGGAGGGCCATCTGCCTTCGCGACTTCCATCGTGGTATATCGTGAGATGCCGCAGGAGTGGCCAAGCGGACGCCATGTTTGCCAAGGAAGCGTCATCGAGCATGAACACGTGGCCGTTGATATCGAGTCGCACTTCAGTGAGGAGCTGGAGTCGGCTAGCGGGTGCGACAAAGGCTGTATCCAGCACGAATGGCCCTCCTATCTTTTCTGTGTCCTGTTGAATATCCAAAGCGATGCATTCAAGAGTCTTCGGGACGTGGGAAAGAATGCGTGATATGTGCTTGTCCATGTAATGTTGCATAGATGAGGAATTCGTGAATCGTTCCATGCATTCGGGTGTGGCCGTTGTATTGAGGGTAAGGAGGCGTAGCAAAGGAGGGGATACAACTTGAATGATGTCTGCACATTGGTGGAGTTTTCCGGTTTCCACCCCCACAGAGAGATTATCGAGGGCCAGAAAGAGCCCATGGAGTGTCTTGCAGTCAAAGCGGGGATTAAAACGGAGGCCATGAAGTCGGAGATCTCGGAGGTTCACCACACGTCCAAGTCCGGGCAAGACGCTAACATCGACGAGTCCGTTGAGGGTGAGCTGGGTCAACGACGGTAGTAGCTGAAGAGGGGCGAGATCTTCGACTGCTGGACTGTTATACAACAGTTGTATCCGGGAGATGTTACGTGCACTGACGACGAGAGTGCTGAGGACGTTTCGTAGCTGATGTCTCTGATGAGACGCACAGATCTTGTTGTTCACTGGCGTAAAACTGACTTGCTGGAGGGTCGAAGGTAGCAAGGCAGAGATGATAGGGAATGGAAGCGAAAGATCGAGGTATGGTGAACGAAGGAGGTTGGGAAGAATGGGGTGCTCGCGATTGTAGCGCGGGAAGAATATGTCCCAATCCACTTCGGCGGAGTAAAATATGCTTGAGATGTGCCGGACGTGTCGGGCGTACAGTTCAAAGCGCTCCCAATCTCGTTCGGTGGGGTTTTTATGTAGTTTAACGTGCTGTAACGTTATATTAGTGGGTGTGAACGGGTAGCTCAACTCTCCGGTATATAGACCTACCATGAACACACGGCGAACAAGGGTCCGTTCAGAGCCGGGGAGCAACAACAGCAGCGGACTAAGGTTGTCTAGAGTGTGCCAAAGACGGGGGAGAACTAGGCTGCTGATATCCTTGGAAACGCGTCCCATGACAGCCAAAGTTTTGCGTGTTGAGGGGCCGTTGTGATGTGGTGACACAATATGCAGGATAAGTTCTGAGCAACCTAGGACACGAAGTACTGGAGATCGAAAGTGCTGCTGCTCTGGAATCTGGTGGTGTTTGTTTGGCTATGAGTGGCGGTTCCATGACTTTCCGCGGGGAGACTTACATGCTGAACTGGGCTCTTTGTGTGCCCCTCATTGGCGCGCATCTTGAGTTCAGCAGGCTGAGAAGCGGTAGTTTGAACGTTTCGGTACACCCAGAATGCAAAGAAACTTACCTGCGACATGTGCCAGACCCTCGTCAGTCGTCAAGAAAATCGTTGGCCAAGCTGCATCTCGGACAGGCGCGAACCGTTGCCACAGCTGGCACGCCCAGTGCCCGCCGGCTCAGGACGGCCCGGAGTGGTCTCGATCGGCGTCCGCTGCGAACGCCGGCGCCTCTGCCCATGCACATTGTACGCCCGGAATGGCATCCGTACCGGCCTCCATTGCACGGAAGTAGATCAGGACACTGTGCCATTGAGTGCGTGTGCAAGCAGATGCAAACGGATCCGAGCTGGTGGTGACATCATACATTATCGCGAAAGCGGGGGATAACACAGTCTACACGTGATAAGCAAAGCCCAAATGCATCAAAGACCACAGCACAACCAGTAACAAGAGATCGGGCAAATACAGACACTTCACGCTCCCGCTCACATACTCCACTCCTCGAAGAAGTCGGCGTCGAAGCTGACGAAATCGATCATGTAGTCGTCAATCGTGCGGCCTTCCTCATCTTCGTCTTCGTCTTCGCCGGCCCCCTCGCCGGCCTCCGTGGCGACCTCCGTCACCACAGCATCCTCTTCGGTCGGAGCAGCCTCCCGCGTGTCCGCGGTAGCCTCGGAAAACATGGTCAGAGTCTTCTGCACAGGGGTAGGTGCGACGGGCGTCTCCGTCCCCGCGTTCCCCTTCTCCCCGCCGAAGTCAGCAGCGTCGTCATCCTCGAGCAGCATCTCTTCTCTCGCAGCGACGCGCGCCGCCGCTGCGTCTTCGACGTCTTCGTACTCGCCCAGGGCGTTCACAAGCGCACCCGAGGTGCTGGTGTCGTCGAGCAACGCGCTCCAGTCGAACGCGCCCCGTTGGATGACGAGAGCGTCTAGTGAGCGCTTCTGGTTGGCCTTGCGCAAGAGGGCTTCTTCGACGGTGTGCTGGGAAACGAAGCGATAGATGTGGACGTCGCGAATCTGACCAATGCGATGCGCTCTGTAGAAATGAAAGCAAGGCAATCAGAAAGTGTGCACAGGATGCAGGCGACGTAAAAGCTTACCTGTCTTCGCACTGCCGGTCCATCTGCGGGTTGAAGTCGGAATCGTAGAAAATGACCGTGTCAGCGCCAGTCAAGCTGTTGCCCGCGTCATTAGTCACGAACATCCCAGATGCCACAAATATCCACTCACTTGATCCCCACACCGCCAGACCGCGACGAAGAGATGAAGCAAAACACGCGCGGGTCCGCATTGAAGCGTTCGGTGATGTACTGCCGGTCCTCGATCTTCGTCGCGCCGTCGAGCCGCAAGTACAGGTAGCCGTGGAAGTTGAGGAAGATCTCAAGAATATCGAGTATGCGTGTCATTTGCGTGAAAATGAGCACGCGGTGTCCGCCCGCCTTGCGGTCCCGTAGCAGCTGCGCGAGCACCTGCAACTTCCCGCAATCGTACTGAAGCAGAGACGGGTCCGGGAACGCAATCTGCAGCTTGACGCTCGCGCGGTGCAGCGGTGCGTCGAAAGCGGGATCCATGGCCATCGCAGCAGCCGTAGGGTCTTCGCGAAGGGTAGGTAGAGCGATCAAAGGCAAATCGCGAGCAACGGCGAATGGGGTGACGAACGCAAAGCGGTCGATGAACGGCGCCATCTCCTCTGCCCGGGTGGCGACCGATTTGATGGCAGATCGAATAGTAGTCGGGGTAGTGAGATAGGCCTTCGGCTCGTGCGGGATCTCCGGTGGGAGGAGCGGGGAGTAGAACTTGTGAATCAACGCTAGCTTCTCCGCGCCGTAATGGGAATGTGGCTACACCGGTGACGATTGACGTAGCCGATCTGTGCCCAATGCGCAATAGAGGCAGCGCGCTGTGCCACACCGTGTACTTCTTGAAACCCCTGATTGTTCGCGTGTCCCGCGGAGGAGCTTGCCCAGGTACGTCGTTGATCATGGGTAGAAACTGCGTCCCGTCCAGGCGCTTCGTTTCGCGCGCCGCGATCTCAGGCAAGCCGATGTCATGCACGAACTCGAAACCGAGGAAGTCGAGGTTAAGCGTGTCCTCGTCCAGCCGCGATAAGAGTTGTCTTCGCACGAGCAGCTCTTTGATCTCAAAGTCCGCGACAGCGGAGCGCTGCATAGCGAACGAGGTAACGATCGGGCGGACCTCGAACAAGTCCGGGTGGTTGACGACCTTCCGGAGCTGCATGAGGATGTTGGCGATCTTCTGGTACACGCCCGACTGGAGGTCGTGACGCGTGTCTGTTCGGCCCATAAACTCGTCGTATAGGAAGCGCTGGCGCTTGGAGAGAGGACACATGATGATGTGCTCGAACTTCTGCGGAAGCTCCTTCTCGACATCACGCTTGAGGCGACGGAGGAGGTATGGGCGAAGGACCTGATGCAGCTTAGTGACGCGTGCTTGAGTTTCGTCGTCTATGGACCCGAGCTCGATTGCGCGCTCCAGCGGATCTAGATGGCTGCAAGTCAGCACGCGGTGAACATGGACGAGAACTGACACATACTTGCGAACCAATCTGCAAACTCCTTCAAGTTGGCAAAGTCCGTACCAGACATCAAGAACTGCAGGAGAGCCCATAGCTCCGTCAGGTTGTTCTGGAGCGGGGTACCCGTGAGAAGTAGCCGGCGGAAAGACCGGAACATTAGCAGGGTGTTCCATCGCTGGCTCTTGAAATTCTTGATCATGTGCGCCTCGTCCAGGATCATATAGTACCACCGTTTGCGCTTGAAGACGTGAGAGTCGCGGCTCGCGAGGGTGTAGGACGTGATGCAGACATTGAAGTGGTACTTGTTGTTCCAGCCCTGACGAAGCTCCTTGCGCTGCTTCGTGTTGCCGTGGTACGGGAGGACGTTGAACCCGGGCAGAAACTTCTTGAATTCCATCTCCCAGTTGAGCAGTACGCTCGTCGGCACGATGATCAAATGCGGGCCCCAGATGCCACGCTCACAAGCGAGGTGAGCGAGCAACGCGATAGTTTGAATGGTCTTCCTGCGTGGCGGTCAGTCGCCGTCGAACGGCCGAAGGTCAGAAGACTTACCCAAGACCCATCTCGTCCGCTAAGATCCCGTTGAGGTTGCGCGCGTGTATACTGGCCAGCCACTCCAGCCCTGCCTGTTGGTACGGTCGAAGGTTACCGCGTAAAAGTAGTGGGGGCTTGACTTTCGCATCCGGGTCCCACTCGACCGGCGCGACGGCATAAGGACGCAGGTAGTAAGGAATGCCATTGTAGTCTTCTTCCTCCTCTTCAACGACTTCATCGTCCACGACAGGTGTGATGCCACTGAGAGGCTCCTCCGGTTCGTCGACTGGGACGAGATCGGGGGAGTCGGGGGGGCCGGGGTCTCGGGTACAGGAATCTTGACGCTAAGGACAGGAGGGCCATCGGTAAGTGTGTTGTCAGGAAGGGTGGTGTTCTTAAAGGGCGGCGTCCATCCTGCTGGCAAGTCGTCTTGAGCCAGAGTGGCGTCGAGAGTCCCGTTAGAGATCTCGTTCAACGGACTTTCTTTGACAAGCTGCGGGGTGTGAGGGAGGAAAGCGTCATCGTCCATGTCGAGAACCATAGGGGTAAAGGCTGGGGATGGTTTCCGTTCCGCGTAGAAGTGCGTCAGTATCTTCTCGGTAGTCTTGGGGGTACCGACAGCGCTGGTGGACGCCTCGCTCTGCTCCGTGCGTGAAGGTGGTGAGGATGGCAGCGGCTCCTCCAAGTTGTCTTCTTCTTCAGAAGGAGTCTTGAGGTCCACGTCCATCTCGAGCTCCCTTGGTGACTCGACGATGATCTGCGACGCGCTGTCCACTTCCATGTCTATGTCAGGAAGAAGCATCGAGATGCCCTCGTCCTCTGCGGAAGAGTCGGACTCCTCGCTGTCGTGGTCAGCTTGCCCTTCGCCATCCTCGGTAGCAGGCATGGTGCCCTCGTTGTCGGACCCGTTGGGACCCAGCTCAGGATCTGGTGAAGCGACACTGCGTGAACGACTTCGCGACTCGCGTACGAGGTCCAGACGCTGGACTTGCAAGATCTGGCCAGACTGGTCCAGGATTGCGTTGAGATGCTCTTGCCCGCGTCGTCGTTCTTCTGCTTCCCATTCCAGACGCTCTTGTTCGCGGACATGCTATGATCGTGTTCAATATCAAGAAGACAACTGGGGCAGGAACTCGCTCACGTAAACCGCCTTCCGCCACTGCCCCAAGACCATGTTGAGCGTCGACTTCGCAAGAATCTTCATGCGTGCTTCTTCGGCCTTGTTTTCCATTTGCCAGTGTTTGCGTATCTTGCCCGCCACGTTCGCCGCCATCTCCCGCCCGTCGATAAACCTGACGCCTGGTTCCTCTATTTCGCGTACGACGTGTGCCCACGTATCCTGAGCCTCTGCGCCACGAAACTCGTATGACGAGCGTTCGACCAGCCGGCCTTCCCTCTGAAGTGCGTCTACTCGGCGCCATACGTCTAATTCCTCTTCCAGCTCCGCGTCGATGTTCTCCGTGGTCGTCTCGTAGCCGTGACGGGTGACGAAGGAGGAAAGGATGGCATCGAGAGAGCCGTCGTGTTTCTTGAGCGGTGGCCGCTGCAATGGATGCGAGAACAACGGCGAGGGCTTGCGCACGATGAGTTTGACGCGTTGGACTGGGTGCTTAACGGGCGAGATCGAGGGCTCGTCGACCGGCTGCTGAACACTTGCGCGTTTGCTAATGGACGCCGGCGGCGCTGATATGGATGCGGTTTCGCTAGGCGTGTCCCGCGGTGGCCTGCGAGAAAGTCGGGTGCCGGAAGTAGTGGGAGTCTCGGGTTCCACAGGAACACGCCGCCTTTTGCGGGGAGGCTCAGAGTCGCTGATGGATGTGCGTTGGCTTGACGTGTCCTGTCCGATGAGAGACCGCCTGGGAAGTGACTTTCGGGGGAGAGGAGTGATTGGATCTGCTGCGACTTGCTTACCCTTGCCTTTCCGTGTTGATGACTGGGGAGTGACCTCGGGCATAGGTTCACCGTCTGGGTGCTTGCCTTTCCACTTCACCTCTGCCTTGATGTCCCAAAAGGTGCTCGCGGCGGGATCATCCGCAGTGCGGGTCTTTTTGGGATGACGGGTGGAGGAAGTTGGAGTGCTTGCTGCTTTTATATCTTGGAGTCGTTCTGTATGAGCTCGCCGAGTGGTTCGTCGAGAGGGCCCTGCGGAAGCGCTTGAGCTCAAGAGATCATATTCCAATTGATACTGTATGGTTCAATCAGACAAGCGAATCACTCGGACCCCTGGCAACTTACTCGCTGAAAGACATCCGACCGGTCTTGCTTTGCCACCTGTAAAAAGCGCAGTCAGTATGATACTTTCGGGTAACCGGTCCCAATGCGAAGAACAAAACGCTGCACAAGTAAATACACCAGTCGAAGAGCCTACCCAAGACTTCCTCCACTTCACGGAGCCTTAGTGGAGTCCAATTGCTTACCATCTACGGTCACTACCAACCGCTAAACCTCGCATGGCGACCGTGATTGCACATATTGAAGCGCATCTTAGCCGTAGCAGCAGCAGGACCGCGGTACCCTCCAGAACCGCTTTCGTTTGCCGCAGCGTCGCATGCACATCGGGGCCCAACATTGCATCATCATGCAACATTCAGCCATGATGTGAGCATAAGTCGGGGGTGGGGGCTCGACTTGACGACAATGAATGCAAAAGAATAGACAGAGGGACATACCTCAGGATCATAAGACAACAAAGACACAAACTTCTCGAGATGAAAAGCTTCGCGAATCTACGGAACATGAGAGATGCGCGTAGTCTCGGCCTGATATTGTGCGTACCATCGAGTCATGAACCCCAAAGATCCTGTCCAGCTCCGTCTGCCGCTCCTGAATCCACTGCGCGCGCACCTCCTCCACGCTCATCTCGGTCGTCGACCCCGCGTTCGCGCGGTTTTTCTTGCGGGGACCTTTCGTGCCATTTTTGCTGCCCGTTGCCACGCTCGAAGAGGCCTCGGAAGCGTGCACAGACTTCCGCCTCGCACTCATGGTGCACGGATGCGCGTGGGATGGCTGTATGCGCTTGATCTCCGCAGATACTGGACGGTTCGACGCGCTTCTTGTGCTGGGAGGGTATCCGTAAAGTTCCTGACGAGAATTAAGGCGGTTTCGGAGGGAGAGGGGGAGGGGCTGGTGGAGGAAGGAGGTCGAGCATGCTGGGCGTCGTCTGCGAATGTGAGAAACGTGTTTGGTTCGACCAAACAACTCATCGCAGGCGTGTTACTGCTTATGGGAGCGTCGGTGGCGCCACACGGGCGCTCATTCACAAGTCGTCATTCGGAGTTCTCAGTTTTGGCCCTCTGTCATCGTCAGGCACACCGAGGTGCAGCATGACTGCGAAACAAAGCTTTCCGTTCGGCTTCCAATACAGTACATGTGCACGGCGAGTGATCTCGTACGTTCAATGAGTCGTTGCAGTCTGTTACTTTCCCCGCAATCGTCTGACCAACACGGAATTTACATGATGACACAGCGACCCCTCGATCCAACTGTCTGTTTGCTCGGGAAATTCAACGCTTACGGTGAGGGCTACTGGGATCCTTTCCCATCAACGGTTAGCGACATCCTAACTCAGTGGCGCAAGAGGACTCACACTCAGCGGCATCTCCATGATATCCCCCCATTCCAACCGCGACCACTTCTCCGGATCAGCCTTCGCCTCGTGAAAGTGCGCAAACGCCAGCGCGGTCTGCACCGCGCACACCTCCACGGGGACGCGCCCGACGCCCGTCGCCAGTCCGGTCATCGCGACGTTGCGTATACGTTCCCCGGGGCCCGCGTCCGCGTTGTGCTGGTCCACGGCCACGAGCAGCGACCACACGCAGTTGTACACGATCTCGCGGTGCCACGAGACCGAGCTCGGGATGCGCATCGTGGGGCAGAGCGCGAGCACGCGGCATCCGGTCGGGTTGTCCGCGCATGGCGTTCCCGTGAGCGGGACGAGCGTGCAGGTCCCGGGCGGCGCGAAGCCGCGCCAGCGTGCGTAGAGGGTCGTCTGGGCCGCGCGTGTGAGCGCATCAGGATCTGAGGCAGGGGCCAAGGCTTCAGAAAGGACTGCGTCGTAGCTGCGCGTCCACATATCTGTAAGCAATGGGCGGGCCGGTGCGTCGAAGAACTCACCTTCCGTCAAGACGACCGAAGGAATTGGCGGGGGAAACGAGGCAGTCGATGGGCTTTTGGAGATTTCCCAGTGTGCAGTGCTTGATTTCGACGTGCTTTGCGCATTCAGGAGGTACGATCTTATCGAACTCCGTCTTCCAACTCTCGACGAGTCGCGGGTTGAGGTCGAAGAGGATAAAGTTGAGAGCGTCCATCGCGTGCTGAATGAAGAAGGATGCAGGTTTGCTGTCCTGTTTACGTCCTGCTGGTGTTCATGTATTCGTGGTGGTGGATGTAAAGCGACCCGTCTCCGAATGAGATTGCGAGACGACTACAACGTTCCCGACGCTGTCGGAGCGCCCGACATACAAAACATCTATGCTGTCAAACCCAGTTTTATATATGCGACAAGCCCAGATAGAGAGAGAGAAATCTACAGCCCTGACCCAGAAAAAAGTACCCCTCAGCGATACTCCACGTACACCTCCCCCACCAACACGGCACACCCCACGCCCATCGCCACGAGCGAGATTGGCAGATTCGTAAGCAAGAACTCGCGCGCGCGCACGTGGATGCCCTTCCCCACGAGGATGTGCCGCCAGAGCAGCCCAGCGAGCGACGCGGAGAACGTGAGCGTGAACGCCCCAAAGTTCGACCCGAGCGCGAGCGCGTAGATCGCGCCGGTGAGCGCGCGCTGGTCGTGCGTCGAGAGCGGAGTGGGCAGCGAGGCAGAGTAGATCTGGAGGACGCGCGCGAGGAGGATCGTTGCGCCGATGTTCGTGCCACAGATCTGGCGGGATCGCGAGCAGAAATTAGCGACGGCTCGAAGTTGGAAAACGGGCGGACGTACGTTGCACAACAGACACGCCAGGAAGCCCATCCCGCCCACCGCGCCGAGCGAGCCGGTCGCGCGCACCCACGCAGCCCAGCCCTTGGCGCAAAGCGCGACCCAACCTTGCGACGCCAGGCCTTGCACAAGTATGAACATGAGGAAGGCGAAGGGGAGAAGCGCGATCGGGAGGCGCTCGAGAACGTGCGTCACCGTCGGGAAGGTGTCGTGAAGGTGTGTAAAGAAGCGCTGCGAAGACAATAGGAGAGGTGGACGCGAGCGAGGGTGCTTGAGATCCACGGGGGTCGAGGGGAGAATAGGAGATCCAGGCGCGGCGATAGTGGGCGCGCGCGAGCTCAGGTCGTGCAGCTCCAGCTGATGTGTGTCCACAGCGCCTGCGACAACAACTTCTTCATCTCCATCCACGGGCGGCCGCGCGTCCTCCGCTCCAGCTTCCACCGCGACAGAGTCTTCCTGTGCCTCCTTCGTTTTTTGCAACCCCGCATTCGCCCAGTCGTACCATACGTCGCGCATTAACATGATCACCGCCGGAGGCACGGTGACCATCCACACTGGTGCGCCGATTGTGCTCACGCCGACAAGCACCACGAGCGTCACCAAGAGGAGGACACTTCCGAATATCGCGCCGCGTGCGTCGATTAAGGTTGCGCGGACTTCCGCTTGAGTCAGTCCAACGTCGATCCGTGCGGGGATCAAACCTGGGGTGCGGAATAGGACGAAGAGGAGGGGAAAGACGCAGAAAGCGGCCGCGAGGAAAGGTAGGACAACGTGGGCGGCATATGTGAGGAAGGAGATAGAGAATGCGCCGGAGAGGACGAGGTTGGTCGGATTTGAGGAGACAAGCACGACGGACGCTATAAGAGTGTGAGTCAAAGACGGGCGACAGGATCGCACGGAGACGCACCCATGTTGGCAGCGGCGAACTGAGAAAAGATCCAAGCAGTCGGCGGAGTGATTCCGGCGACTCTAGTGAAATAGGCGAGAAATGCTGTTCCAGAAAGGATGACCGGGTCCTACGGGAACGAATCTCAGTACCGTGGTATAGCTGGTGGGGCAAGGCCACTCACGTTTCCGACAATAATCCCACAGACGAGGAAGAAGAGGTAGAGGTACGAGAACAGAACGCGGCCCGACGATCCGCCCTTGCTGGCAACCCAGAAGGCGAGGAAACGAAGGAGCCCTGTAGCGTCGAGCGATATTGAAATGTACGCCTGAGTTGGGTATGAGAACAGTTGGCAGTAAAGGCCAGTCAAGCCTCTTACCAATGAGATGAAGAGGGCCATGATATTCAACGGTTCGATGCCGTTGGTGCCCACTATACCATCTCGCAGAGTCCTTCCATTAAAGACCCCACAGGCTAGAAGAAGCAAGACGGAGATGAGAGGAACGGTGATAAAGTTGAGGTGGAGATGTCGCCGTTTGGGGGGTCGGCCGTCCGGTGGCGCGATGTTCATCGAGACCAGAGCATGCCGCGCGGCTTTGAGGAAGATGGCTGGTATGGGAACATGAAGCGGGAAAATGACCGCAAAATCTAAACACAGCGTGAGCGACCTTTGGAAATAGCATAGTGCATAAGGCTTACTCGACACGAAGAATAGAACAAGAGTGAGGATGGCTTGCCACCTCCCGACTGAAGTGGACTGCGAAGAGTCTATCATCTCCGGTTTTCCGTCGTTGTAAGGAAGTCTCGAATCTGAATCCAATCAGCAGTAGCTGGTCGTCAATCCAAGGCTCGACAGCGCAGTTTTCGCGACTGAAAGACGGATGAGAAGCTGGAAGATAGTGGGCCTGAGGCCTGAGGGGGCACAGGGCGCACCCGGCCGCCACTTTTTTCCGCATACGTCATGACAATGGAGCTCCGGGACGGAGCCCGCACTGCACGTAAATCGGTAAATCTTCTCGATCAGGCCGGTGACCAAATAGTGACATACAAATCAAGCCCCTCGCGTGGACGCACGTGCTCACAGAGATGTGGATTGATGGTTCATGCTCAGTGCAAGTTGGAGTGGCTGATAGAAAGATACAAAAAATGTTGGCGATGTGAGGATGTACATGCTGTGCTTCAAATTGGAATTGCAAGTTGGAATGACGCCGCGAGAAACTCGGTGGCGTGGGAATAAAACATTCCACACATGGCCCGACTCGCGCGCTTCACTGAGATCTCCCGACTCTTTGACTTGCATTATTTCACATTCGTGCTAAGCACAATGTACAACATGTGGAAGACCCAACCAATCATGAATCGCTCAAGATAAGCAACCTCCAGGACTCTCAGACTGCCAACGTGTTTGGCATGTTTCCTCATCATCCCTCACCTCAAGTTTCGAATCGAAGTTGGGCTGGATTATTGCACCACACGAAAGTTGTGCAAATCGAAGGTATGGACGTCCATATTTTACATGCCGCATTTCCATTACTCGTAAACCACCTACTGAGGAGCCACGAACAGCGACGAATCTCCGTCGAGATTGAGAGTGCTGATGCGCTGCGTACCGCCCTCTTCCCTTTGCCTGGATCCAACTAGATTAACGTCGATGTTGTGAGAACAAGCACAACTACACTTACAGTGACGGTCAAAAGTAATGCACACCCTGGCTCTGGCGTCTAGTGCGCTTCATGGCGGGCTCGAATCTCGTCCGTTTGAGACGATTTCTGTATGTACGGGTAGATATTCTGAATGCGAACCTGTGGGTACTTGTTTGAGAAGATTCGGACTAGTATTGAGCGAGATAGGAGGCAAACTCTGTGAGCCACCCTGTCACAGCTGTCACAACTGTGGGCAGGGGGCGACAATGCATGTCTGTAGAAGCAGAACAGCAGAGAGTTGAGAGCTGCGATTTATTTGAGGCTTATTAGGAGTCTGAATGATGCTCTGTGTATGAATTTCAGGCTGCAGAAACTTCTGGTTGGGTCATGTTTGAGCAAACATGGTTTTGAGCTGCCTCAACTCAAATCCGACCATTTGTTCGCACAGGCTCGGTCTGACTGCTACTGCAACAGTATGGAATATTTTTAACATGCTCATAGACGTGATTGATGCAAAAAACCAGAGGAGAAAAGGTGCAGATGTGGTTGTAGAAGGTGCACTGTGGTATTGATCAATGTCACACACATCACAAATCGATGTCTAGAACAGGACAAAGGACCCTGTGAGGCACGAAACTGCTGTGAGAACTCCCCATAAAGAAAGGCTTTCAGATAAGGCACGCAAGGTTGGCCGCTATGGCTTCGTTGCATGGGTACATACTCAGGAAGTTGCCTGATGTGACATGTGCGGCTTCACCAAGTATCCCCCGTCCCAGGTTCGCCGTGTTTTTCGCAATTCGTGCTTGGTATTTGTCTGTATCAACTTTATAAGTCTCTGAAATGTGCTCAAGCTAAAATTCCAGCATACAGACAGCCAGGAAGGCAAAACAATGGAGGCAGGGCAATCATTGAATATGATCATGTCACATCAGACAACTTCCTGAGTATGTACCCATGCAACGAAGCCATAGCGGCCAACCTTGCGTGCCTTATCTGAAAGCCTTTCTTTATGGGGAGTTCTCACAGCAGTTTCGTGCCTCACAGGGTCCTTTGTCCTGTTCTAGACATCGATTTGTGATGTGTGTGACATTGATCAATACCACAGTGCACCTTCTACAACCACATCTGCACCTTTTCTCCTCTGGTTTTTTGCATCAATCACGTCTATGAGCATGTTAAAAATATTCCATACTGTTGCAGTAGCAGTCAGACCGAGCCTGTGCGAACAAATGGTCGGATTTGAGTTGAGGCAGCTCAAAACCATGTTTGCTCAAACATGACCCAACCAGAAGTTTCTGCAGCCTGAAATTCATACACAGAGCATCATTCAGACTCCTAATAAGCCTCAAATAAATCGCAGCTCTCAACTCTCTGCTGTTCTGCTTCTACAGACATGCATTGTCGCCCCCTGCCCACAGTTGTGACAGCTGTGACAGGGTGGCTCACAGAGTTTGCCTCCTATCTCGCTCAATACTAGTCCGAATCTTCTCAAACAAGTACCCACAGGTTCGCATTCAGAATATCTACCCGTACATACAGAAATCGTCTCAAACGGACGAGATTCGAGCCCGCCATGAAGCGCACTAGACGCCAGAGCCAGGGTGTGCATTACTTTTGACCGTCACTGTACATGCCAAATGCATTCACTTCGGCGGGCTCCTTCGACTTGCTCTGCGTCCACGCGAACTTCATCGTCGGCTGTCCCGAGTTCAACAGTTAGCACTGCGTCACTCCGTGCTGTTTCCGCACCACGTAGAGTCGCGGGAAGACAAAGAAACTCACCATCTGCTGCCCATCGCTACCCTGCACCGTCGCTCCCGGCTCAAAGCTTGCGCTGTCCGGGTCCCAGCGCCCCTGCAGCGCAAGGAGGGCGGCCTTCAGGCCGTCCTTGTCCACCGCCTGCCCTCCGACGACCCCATCAGCGTCCTGCGTGAAGAAGTTGGCGAACCGGGTGCTGAACAGGTCTACGGGTCCGGGGCCCATGTGCAGGTGCGCGAAGGGCCCGGACGTGGGGGTGTTGAAGTGAATATACGGGGACGCGAGGAGTGTGGAGAGGCGATCCTGAAGGAAGTCGGGCGTGCAGGGCGTGTCTGCAGTGGTGGTGGTGGTGGTGGTGGTGGTGGTGGTGGTGGTGGACATCGTGCGTTCTTGTGCGGGTGTGTGCAAGGGTTGAGGATAGGCTGTGGGGGTGGATGATGCGCGCTGGGTCGAGGCAGCAGAGAAGTAACTATAGGACTGGTAGGGATGGAAAGGCTGGTATGGAGCCTGTTGTGCGGCGACCACGAGAGAGGGGCGGAAGGGGGAGAGCGTGAAGACGAGGATGAGAAGCGGGCGAGATAAATGGACCATGGGATGGAGGTTTCCGGAGAAGAGCGGGCAAGTAGAGACCGGCGGGAGGACGCGACTCCCGCGAAGGAGACGGGATGACGTCACTTCGGCCGCACAGGCAAGGCACGTGAAGGTGGAGGCGAGACGAGCATTGGCCTCGCTCTTGCCACGACTCTTCTCGGCCACCACCGTGCGTTGGCTAGTCGGGAAAGGAGACTAAGTAGAAGAAGGCTGGTTCTCATAATAAACACGTTATACTGCTTCATTTCCGTGCCAACTTGAACAGCCCCGTTCTCTTTCACACTTCGCCATTCTCCCCCGCTTCTCGCGATGTGTCATCTACAGACCCTCTTCCAAACTGTCACCATGTTCCTCGGGAAATGGACACTCATCGTCCTCCAGCACATAGGCGAGCGGCACAACATTGACAAATTCTCCCGACTCTCCGAGGAGCACCGACACGCCGAAAGGCCGCCCCTCTTCCGACGTGCTTTCGAGTACAGCCTGCTCCAGGCCCGAGCGAACGCGCTCAGACGAGGGCACTACGAGCGTCCGGAGCTTGGGGAGTGCGCGCTTGACTGCATCCGTCGTTGCAGTCGAAGGGAAGGGGAAGTTTGCTGGGAGGTCTGCTGCGGGCGGGCGTGTGTACTCGATGACCATCTCTTCCAGGTTCGAGAAGACGGGTTCGGGCTGAACGAGGTGCAGGAGATCGGCGTCGGTTACCGCACACTCCATGTCGCCGAAGGTGAACCGGAAGGATGAGATGAAGGCCCTGTGGCAAGGGAGGTGTTGGCGCGTAGCGCGCCAAACACGCCTCCAGCCGTAAGCGGGATGATGTGCGTGGGTGGGGCGTTGACGGCTGAGGAGGGGGAGAGGCAGAGTATGAAGTAAGGTCATTTAGGTGCTGTCCGAAAGCGGAAGTGATGCTGGCCAGCGCGGTCGCATGTTCGTCGGTCGCGTGCGAAGGTGAGGGTGCGACGGCCATGCAGACGACGACGGCTCTGAGGGGACGGATGATCCCAGTAATTCGAAGAAGGAGCCGCAATCCAGCGCGGAAGCGACGACCTTGAGGCGCTGTAGCGCCGGGAATCCAGAGCCCGCCTTCGCCAGCCGTTTCGGGAGGTACTTGTCGAAGTAGCCGGCGTCGCGGTCGCGCATCTGGAAGCACAGGTCGAGTTCGGAGAGCACGGGGAGCGACATGAGCGACAGAACCATCTGCTCAGTCAGATGTGCTTCGTGTACCACGTTGAGTCGGCGAAGATGAATGAAGGTCCACCAGGGTACTCGCTCGCGAAACCCCTGAGATTTCGCAAGGCTGTCTTCGTGACCGGGATCGTCTACCAGTTGTACATCCAACTCCGAGAGCTTTGCCAACGTGGGGTGCATGACCTCGTGGATGTGTCGGAGGGAATCTGCAATTTCCCAAGAATCGACCAAGCGCCAGAACTTCAGGTCCAAAGCAAGGCTGAGACGCGAAATCACCGGGGAGAGAGTGACGAGGGCATCGCAGGTGTGCTCGATGGCGGAGAACCATCGGAGATCCGTCAGACGTGGAAACAGATAACCGCTTCCCAGCGAGTTTTCTAGCTCTTCACGAAGCCTTGGTTGGACATACTCGTGAAGTAGGTGGACGGCATTGCTGCGCTTCGGCACCCAGAGGTACTTGAGCCTGCGGGCGTATCGCTTGAAGCGCGCCCATTCGGCGTCGGATGGTGAGACGTAATGCGGAACCTGTCGGCACCATCAGTGGTCCGTTCTGACGAATTTCGCTGTTCGGAGCAACCCACCCAAACTCGTTGCTGCAAAAACAAGCTATTGTATATCTCTGCGCCTGGGAAGAGCATGAACAGGTGTTCCGCCGAGTCTATGCTCTCCCAGAGAACGTCCAGAGCGTCATCAGAAAGCGCTTTGCAGACACGAGCTGCAGAAGCTAGAGCCGCTTGACGTTGTCGCCGCAGGCGCGACTCAGGCTCTGAAATTCCATCGTGATAGGGACCGGGGGAGAGACAACGCATGATCTCGAGCGACAGATCGCCACAGTAAAACACTTGGTGGGCGGTTGGTCGCCGTGTTGTGGCATCTGCTGGATACCGGTGGGTTAGATGACTGTGAACGATGTGGGTAAGAACTAGACCCACTTGACGTCTCTAGGAAAGATGTGACGGCCGCCCGGGAGGCCGTCTGTACATCTGCCGATTGAGTCATTTTGCGAGAAGGGAGCTAGGGGAGAGGGGTGCAAGAATCGCAGAGAGGAAGGGGGGGTTCCAGTGAGTGCTTGGAAGTGCGGCAGTACACTCGGCTTATCATGTTCTGCGGGGCGGCGGTGGCAAATAGGTGGCGGCTGACCTTCGGACGAGTCCAAGGCGCCACCATGCCCGGATCCCCTAATCTCTATACCCGTGTCTCTGAAACGGCCGACCATTCCAATAGGCCTGAAAGCCGCGCTGGACACTTACGTCACAAGTAATGCGATTGAGGAGCCGACATAGGGTTAAACCCCCCGGCCCTCAATCGCTGGACAGAGGGGCACGTTTTGCGTGAACATGCGCATCTGCGTAGGTAGTAGCACCTAAGACATGATCTCATGGCACGAAAAGCACCATTGTTCAACACACGAGGACTTGGAACAGCCAGCACTCACCCGTCACTTGCCTGATCGCCCTGACCGCGACAATGTCGCCTCGCGCGCCTCCTGCGCCCCTAGGAGCGTATCGGGAGGAAGATTTTGTGTAGTCGATCCCCGCCGGTGGCACATGGGCCCGGAGGCCATCGCACAGGACGGAGACCACGAGGCATTTGAAGCACGGACAACCGCATGGCAGCCTCACTTGCACGCCGAGTCCTTGCGAGGTGTTTCTATCTGGGGGAAAACATCATATAGAGCACCGGAGAACAAAATCCAACTGGAAGCAGACACCATGTATTATATACAAGTGCATGCGCACATATCAGGGGCGGCGAAAGTCCTCGCATCCACCTCCAAGTCTCGTTCCTGCGCTTGACCGCGGAGGTCCTTGAAACACCCAGTCGCCCGATAGAGGATGGCGTATGACACCTGGGGGTGACGAGCCGCTCAAAGATCGTGCTGTCGATTGCTGAGCAGAACAGGGCTGCGTGGGCATCCATCGGGAATATATGGTGTGGGGGAGGGGAAAGACGATGGCGGCGACGTGGAGAGTACTTACTCTCGGTTCCTTGCGTTCTCGACCTCCTAGGTCAGTGGCGAGTTCATGCGGTGCGCGTAGCAAGTCGTCTCCGTGCGCCATTCGTGTCCAGGTGTGGTCTTCAATTAACGCAACTAGGTAGTGTACATTGTTGAAGTGATATCGCAGAAACAAGACGCCTAGCAGACACGCAGATTTGAGCACGTTGATTGAAAGGTAGAGACGAGCCAGGAAGTACCGACGTACCATACAGATGAAAGTATAAATCCGTCACGGCTTTGCTTGCTGAGATCGAGTGAATATTGCTTGAGCAGCGTCCACAAGAGCTTGTTCTGGCTTGTCTTCCTTCTGAAAGTATTGAAAACAAGTGCGGAGTAGCAGGAGGGGTGTTACTCCAGACCAAGAACTCGTGGATGAACATACACACCTCTTTCGGTGGTGGTTGGACCATCTCTCCCGCCTGCACCCTCGCCACCGCCTGTCATAATTTCACCGTGAGCGTCGGTTCAGAATGGAGCACGGTTCTGTAGTACCTCTACATGAGCAAGCACCGTGTGAGCTGGTTAGAAAAAAGCCAAAGTTGGACTGGTGTCGAGGCTTACCTTCACCCGCACGCATCGTGGCTTTATGTACTACACCCATCAGGACGACCCCGCCGACGGCCATTCCGAGAAGCGAAAAGGTGACGGTGCGGTGGAATATGTCGAAAAGAGAGAGCCGTGCACGGGAAGCCATGGAGGAAAGAGGGTGGAGAAGGAAGCAGGCCGGTCGGCGGACGCGTCGAGAGTCCGCGAAATGCGGCTCGGGGACTTCCGGTTGCCTGCAATCTAATCTTATCTCTTTCCTCAGCCTTTGAGACCTATAAGTTCAAGAACCCATTCGTACATGCAGACATGCGCCTCGACACGAGTGGCTTCAAACTGTCCTACATACCCAGATGGACAACAAAGGGGACGAGACCCACTGAATTTCCAGGCGCCTCGCGCGAACGGGGAAGAAGCGGAACTGGCGACGGAACAGCGCGCTCCCGCACGGTCTCGAGTGCGGGGTCATCCCCGCGTCGCATCCGGCAGTCCCCCTCCTCGTCCCTGAATTTCTCCTGAGGGGCACGCCAAGCGGTGGAGAAGAGCGGGCGGCGGCAGAGAGCAAGGAATACGACCGGAGCATTCACATGCTCTCGCGCGCGTTTAGACTCGCTCCCCCGCTCGCTTCACTAGTCACGCTCTCACCTCCGCCCGCCGCCTAGGGCATATAACATGGACGCTCTCTCCCAGTCGCTCTCTCTCAAACACCCCTGCTCTCTTGCCGGTCGCGAGCTCGATAACACCAACGCGCGCTTCGCCGCTGACAGACTGCAGGTGCGTGCCGCTGATGCCCGTAAACGTACGATCCTGACTCTCGCTTGCTCTCACCGCCCACCATGTCGCGTTATGTACCCCTTCCGCCCTTCGCCCGGCCACCCCGCGCCGCGCGCACGCCGCCACCCTTCATCTCCGCCCAATACGCGTTAGGTTTATCCCTTATACCCATCCACGTACCAGGCCAAGAACTACGCGCGGAACGCCCGTTCGCACACTCGCGGGACGCTCTTGAGCGAAGATGTCGCGTACAGGACAGAAGAAGCCGGTTGGATTCGCGACGCAGTTGACTGCAGGTGGGATCGCGGGGGCGATGGAAGCGGTACGTCGCCGGACTGTTCGCCCTCTGCTGCTCTCGTGCAGACAGCAGTACCCGAGGGAGTGCCGACGGGTCCTTTCTGACTTTCCTGTATTGCGCAGCTATGCTGCCAGCCACTAGACACCATTAAAGTGCGCATGCAGCTGTCAAAGTCTGGAATGGCTCCCGGGGTGAGTTTATCGTCGCCGCTGTCCCCCTGTTCTTGTCGTTGCCTCGCCCAAGCCGCTTCCACACGTCCACAACGACGCGTCTCCAAGCTTCACCCCTCGCCCGTGTCTCTACGCCGCAGCGGTGCCGAACCCTTTCCCCCGCATCCGCCGTCGGAATTGGCGCGGAGGTAGAACGGAAGGCCGCTGCGCCCACCGTTAGGCTGTAGAGCATGAGAATGCGATCTTGGCATGACATGTGCACCTCTTCTAAGAAGTATTCCTCTTAGCTTCGTGGAACGCAGTCTCTTGACGGATCCGACTGAGTCTCACCGCGTGTTCGCGGACCACGGTGTGGACTTCGCTCGTTCTTGAACACGTGTCCTTCTCTCTTCTTTCCCCACATAAGCGCGTTAATTGAAACCCATCGCTCACACACTCTTCGATGCCCTGCAGACGAAACCGCGAGGATTTATCGCAACCGGTGCGCTCATCGTGCAGAGGGAAACCCCGCTCGCGCTGTACAAGGGCCTCGGCGCTGTTCTTTCGGGTATCGTGCCGAAAATGGCGATACGTTTCGCCAGTTTTGAGCGGTACAAGGCGTGGCTTGCCGACAAGCAGACAGGCGCAACAAGTGTTGGGAACATCTTCATCGGTGCGCTCGTCCGCCTTGTCTTTGCATCTTTACACATGTAACCTGTGTCTGTTCTGTTGTGCACGATAAACAGCCGGACTGGGTGCAGGTGTCACAGAAGCTGTCATGGTCGTGACCCCAATGGAGGTGGTGAAAATCCGACTGCAAGCACAACAGCACTCACTCGCGGACCCGCTGGAGGCACCACGCTACCGCAACGCCGGCCATGCCGTATATGCTATTGTGCGGGAAGAGGGCTTTAGCGCGCTCTACCGCGGAGTCTCGCTCACTGCGCTCCGGCAGGCAACAAACCAGGGTGCGTCGCGCTTTATTACTCACTGGGAATGCCGATCCGATGACGTCACTACTCGCAGGCGCGAACTTCACAGCATATCAGGAGCTGAAGAAGCTCGCACACAACCTGCAGCCAGAGCTTACCGACCTGCCGTCGTGGCAACACATGTGCATCGGCCTTGTCTCTGGTGCGATGGGCCCCTTTTCCAACGCTCCCATCGACACGATCAAGACCCGTACGTCGCCTTCCTTATCTAGTCTTTGACTTCCCCCGCTCACTTGTACATGTATCTGCAGGTCTGCAGAAATCTGAGGCGGTGCCGGGCCAGTCCGCGTTCCAGCGCATCACCGCAATCGCGGGAGAAATGTGGCAGCGTGAAGGAGTGCGTTCGTTCTACAAGGGCATTACGCCGCGCGTACTCCGCGTTGCTCCGGGACAGGCCATTGTGTTCGCAGTGTATGAGCGCGTGAGGAGGGTGATGGAGACGATGCAGGGGAGCAGCGAGGACCCGACTTACAGCGAGTAGCCTGGTGGGATGAGCTGCGCGCGGTCTATTGGAGAAAGATGTGCGCTAGAGGTGTGTGATTTAAATAGTGTAATACATGGATGGACTACGTACTTCTCCCTCAGCAATGCCAGCGCTCTCACTATGGCACACCTTGGACCATCCATCCATCTCACTCAAAACTTTTTGGATTATCGGTGATTTTCCCATACCAATTTCGATGTACGTCTGATCCTTTAGATTTTCGATCTTCTCATCACGCCCATTCACTGGATTCAGTATCGCAACGTGTGCTCGTGTTGAACTTCCGCGGATATCCAGACTCGGATGACACTTCCCTCAAATTCACCATCTAGACGCGACGATGCGGAGCAGTGCGGAGCAGTGCGGAGCCCCTCTGGATGGCCTATTATACTGTCTTTGCTTCTGCCGCCGACTCTACGACCGAAGGCTTCTTGGCAACAGAACGATCCTCGCTGCTCGAGAAAACGCCCCGAGTTGAAGTGGGCTAAAGACTTTCCCGGTTCCGCGGTGCTATTTCTCATGGGAGTGAAAAAATTCGTCAACCTCGAGTCTTTCGAAACATTCAAGCGCCCCACGTCCAATATCGACAGCATCGCGTTACAACACCACTCACAGATAAAGAGACTCAGGTCGCTCAGCGTTGGTCTGAAAGTAGATCAGACCCATACTCTCCACAAAGGCTTCCGCCAACTCGACGAGGTTCATTTCGTCGGCTCGGAAGAAGGCATCAAGCGCACGTTCTCCGCGCAGTGTGTTCTGCCTCCGCTCTGCGGCCCCTTCCCGACCATCCGGTACCAGACCAAGGTGCATAAGCTCCCTCGAAGGCGTTCTGGAGGTCGTCAAGTGCGCCCTCGCTGACGCACTTTTACCGGAGCCTCATTGCCACATACCCGATAATCCTCCCCCTGATCATGGTTTCAAAGCCCTTCTCATCCCTCCCTGATGTCGCTGATATCACCGTGGAATTCAACAACAACATACTACTATTGTGCGACCAAGACATGGGCTCCTTCACGCCATGGCCCCACCAAAGTAAACATCAGAAAGAAATATAATTCGAGAAGATATTCAGAAATGTGAGAGTGTGCTTTGGCCCTTATATTTTCTGCAAATTTCAAGATCGGTCCAGAGGAGGACAAGAGTAGCGCGAGGATGTCATGTCCCCGCGCGACTCTATGCCCAAGCGTTCAACGTTCAGCGCTTCCAGCCATATCCTCTCTTCTCTTCTCACTTCATCATGCGCACACCTCACACTTCGTTGCATCTCTCCTGCTCCCGGTCTTCCGACGATCTACACCCGGGTTTCACATCCCAGCCTCCAGTCGTATCATCCTCGCGTGCTGGCCTCCGTTATCAACTGGGCTAATTCTGGAAGCACGGTCCACGCTGCCCCCGCGCTTCCCCACCTGCTTCCCCACACGACCACGCCGGACGACGCACCGCGAACGCAGTCGACATGCTCCCCAATCCGTCCCGCGCATGGTCCGCGCGCGAATACAGCCCCGGTTTAACGGCATTCCCGTTCGTGTCAGCCTGTGTCAGCCCACACCGGGTGCGTCCACCGATACCAATTCGAATTCGACTGGGAAGCCTCCCTCGCAGCGGGACGCCAGGCGGGAGTATATGTAGGACTGGCCCGGGCGCGACGGGTGTGCGCAAGGCGAGCAAGCTCCGCTTCCTCATCCTTCCCCCTCCCCCGATGCGTCTCTTCTCGGTGCTCGCTCTCCTCTACGCGGCCGTCGCGGCCTCTCCGACGTCGCACATTGACGGCCTGCGCGAAGGCGCGAGCCGCGTCGAGATGACGTCGCTAAACATCGCGGACGCGAAGATACGCGCGGTGAAGAACTCGGGAGTATGCGAGACCACGCCGGGGGTGGGGCAGATGTCGGGGTACCTAGACGTGGGGCGAACATGTCCATGGTGAGTGCCTTTGGATTTCGGGCGCGTGAGATGCAAGCTTAGTGCATGGCAGTGGTTCTGGTTCTTCGAGGCGCGAGACGACCCGGAGAACGCGCCGTTCACGCTTTGGTGAGTCTCGCGCGGCTTTCGAAGTGGATTCGAGAGGTCTGAGCGCGCAATAGGCTTAACGGTGGACCTGGGTGTTCGTCTATGATCGGTCTCTTCCAAGGTGCGTAGGTGGCTCACATACTCATGCTCGATTGCCCACATCTGTCTGCAGAGCACGGACCATGCCAGGTCGATGAAGATGGGCAAACCACTGTCCTCAACCCGTTCAGTTGGAACAACATCAGTAACAGTGCGCATATAGTACCCCATCACGTCCTAGCACCCTTCCTGACCTGCCTCGTTTAATGTATCCAGTGATTTACATCGACCAGCCGATTGGAACCGGCTTTTCCTTCGGCACTGTCAACGTAAACAGCACGTTCGCTGCGGCGCCAGCGATCTGGACGGCGTTCCAGGTGCTCTTCGAGAGCCAGGACTTCGCCAAGTTTCAGAGCCGCGAGTACGTGTCTTGTCAGATGCAGATGCCCACTGTGCTGACATGCTTAATGCAGGTTCATATTAGCCACGGAGAGCTACGGCGGACACTACGGCCCTGAATTTGTTGAGTTCTTTGACGAGCAGAACGCGAAGATCAAGGACGGGTCAATACAGGGAGAAGAGATCAACGTCAGCGCGCTCATGATCAACAAGTACGTGTTCGCTTCGACCGACATATTGGACGGCTCCATTGATTGTTGATGCTTGCAGCGGATGGTACGATCCTCTTCTGCAGAACAAGGCTTACCTCGACTTCGCGACGTTCGCGCCGGGGTACGGCCAGCTTCAGAATGACACCGTCCTCGCCGCAATGAATGAGTCGTTCTTCGGCGCGGGAGGATGCATGGAGCAGGAACTCGCTTGCTACGCTGCCGGTGGCGACCAAGGTCTCCCTGGAGAGACCACCGCCAGCAACAAGATCTGCATCAACGCTGACGACTTCTGCGTACGTGTCTTGCCTATACCCCCGCCTTCTGCTGTTGCTCATACGCCTTCTTATGCCTCTTGTTTTGCAGATCGAGAATCTGCTGATCCCATCCACCATCGGGCGCGACATCGATGACCTCAGGCAGTCGGACGACTCGCCGAACCTCTTCCCGCCCGAGTTTTACGTCTCCTTCCTTCGGAACCAGACGGTGATGAATGCGATCGGTGCGCAGGCGCGGTACAGCGAGTGCAGCAACCCGGTTGGCAACCAGTTCGGGCGCACGGGCGACGACGCGCGTTCGTTGCTGCCTGCGCTCGCCAACCTGGCGAACGAGCGGATGAAGATCTTGATCTGGGTGGGTCTCATGTCCCACGTGTGAGGTTGTCAGGCTTACCTCTGTGAACTACCCGTAGGCTGGTGATGCGGATATCAAGTGAGTGTGTGTGAAGTGCTCTTGGTGAAAAAAAGCCTGACGGAAGCCTGAAACAGCTGCAACTGGCTAGGCGGCCACGCTTCCGTGCTCGCGATGGACTGGTACGGCAACGAGACGCTTCACGCGACACCGTTCACGAACATGACGATCGGTGATACGGCGATCGCGGCGATCCAGAACGTCGACAATTTCAGCTTTGCGTGCGTGCCGCCATCCCTCCCCAGTCGCCCTTTTAGCTGACTATTCAATGTTTGCAGACGGGTCTTCCAGGCCGGGCACGAAGTGGTGAGTACCTAGTTCCCTACGCCAACGAGCATGTCTTTGACGCATACTGTTTAGCCCGCGTTCCAACCCGCGGCCGCACTAGAGATCTTCTCTCAAATCATTCGCAAGGAGCAGCTTCATTCCGTCCCATGACACTCTTACCTCCGTATATCAGCCAGCGAATAAGCATCGATTATTTCAAACGCATCCTCCATTCGTGCCGCTGCTCGCTCCGGGCCCTCCGGAGCGCGTCAGTGTCGTCGGACGGGCGTCCGCGTCCGGCGGATCGTACTAAATCTTGAGCTGTGCCGTCGGCTCGCCTGCACCGGTGCGCGCTAAGTTTAACGCGTTCTTTTAGAGGTTTCGTGCCCGAAGAGCCCATACAGCGACCAATGGTATCTTCTGCGTCTCTCCGACCTTCTGACTGGGGCTGGGGCCACCGTCGTCCATCATGGACCTCCCTCGGCGGCGCTGTGATCCACATGTGAGGTCATTCGTGAGCGCTCTTTGCGGAGTTCCAAGCTCCGACTTGGCCGAACATGTGTAGCGCTGCTAAGCCGCGAAGAGCATCTGCTACCGGGGTTGCTAGCCCAAACGCAGAGTAGTGCGGTGAGTATCTCGTGTCGCCGGAAGCCCGCAAGGACCAAGTTCGGGGTCGGGCGGTCATGGGCGGGCATTCGGTTGTTGGAGCCCCCGCTCAGAGTCCGCGGTCGGGCGGTGGTGGCGGGCGGCGTTGCAATGTGCTACGTTGAAGGCTCGCGCGCAGAGCCAGTGGACCCTGGTGGCGGACGGACGAACTTCGGGCACGGGCTTGTTGTTCAACGCCCGAGGCTTATTCACAGCGACATGATGCAGGCAGTCTCACGATGCGCGCGACGTGGGTGTACCATACGCACGATCCCTTGTGGTCCAGCCGCCGGCTACCGGGCCTCCGGCAGAGTTCGAACTCAGGGGTGAGCGAACGTTGCCAGGGCCGCTCGCCGATTCCCCCCCCCCGGCGCGTAAACGAAAAGTCATGTTCAAGTCTCAAGTGTTAACGTTGTCTCACCGCTCGTCTCGCTAGGAACGCGTCTCGCTGGGGACGCTCGCTGATAGGTCTGCACGCACCGTCTGTTCCGCGCGACGCAGCGTCGAGCCTACGACGGACTCGGGCTCGCTCCGCGCCCCGGTCTGCCGGGCTTCCGCGTTCGTCCACCTTCTCGCATCTCGCGTGCGAGGCGCGCGAGATACGCGAGTGCCGACCAGGAACGGCGAGCGGCGGGATAAATGAAACGACGGAAGGATCGTCCGCGCGGGGATCTCGCTCGTGGCTGCCAGGGGCTGCGGCTGGCCACAGCCGCCCATCGCGGAGGTTTTTGTCGCGTAGCTTGGAGCTCCCTGGAGGGCTGGGATAATAGACGTTGAGGTACTCGACTGTCTTTCCCCCTCGACAAGGACATGCTTCTACTGTGGAGTGTCTTGAGACTGCAACGCACGGAGGCGTAGGCGCGACAACCAATATCGTGTTGTTCGTTCGTTAGGCGTGGCAATAATGTACCAAATCACAAGCCAGGGAAGGGAGACAGGCGCTCTCGAGAGCAACGCGACGTGGTCCAGAGATTCCAGTCTGCAAGGCGCACGGGTCAGATACGGATAAACAGACAGGGCGAGAGCGAGCGTGTGGGTGCATGCGGTGGTAGTAGTACAACAAGCAGCGCGGGGTGGAAGATCAGTGCAGGGGTGGAGAACACAGGACGGGTGGTCGTGAATGAGAGTGGTGGTACATGAGTGTTGGAGTGAGACTGTGGTGGGGAAGCCAGCGTGTGTGCAAGCACACGAGTCAAGTCCGCAGTGGGAGGGGGGAGCACGTCAAAAGGGGGTGACGCTTCCAAGGTCGAAGTAGGGGTGAATCTAAGGTAACGCGCGCAAGGGCGCACGAATAGGGCATCGAGAACGACGAGCGGAGTGGGAAAATAGTGAGGCATAGATATCGATACAAATGAGCTCGCCGCGCAGGTGAAGACGAATTAGAAGCTCGGTGGAGAAGAGCGCGGAGAGCGAGCAAGGGGTGGGGAGGCTGATGCTCTATATTCGTACAGGGGTGGGAATGCGAAGGTCAGAGACAGAATTTTTGAAGGTACAGCGGGCGAGGCAGGGGCGTCGAGCCTTCTTGACCACGCCTCGCCTGTGGAAGGCGAAGTGGAGGGCTGGTTGAAGATCGAACTTCGACGAGGCCGGGTTAACTCCTCCGAGGGCCCCTTGAAGCCCAGGTGAGAGTCATCCCTAGGCAGGTTCCAGACGCATGTCTCCGTGTCCCTGGGCGCGGCACAGCGCCGGCCGTCACTTCATGCGTCATGGGAGTTCCCTGTGTGTGCCCAAGGCCGCAGTCGAAATTGAGTGGCCCTGGATTTGGGAACGTACAGCAGCAGCAGAAGGCATCCGTGTCCACGTTTGTGTCCACTGTCACGTCTCCAGTCCAACAACGCGTTCCGCCGGCGCATCACCGGTGCTCCCTCCGAGAGAATGCGCGCGATATCCACGCGCCCGCGCTGGCGACAGCCGTCGGGCTCCCCTCCTGCCTCGAGCCTGTGTTCGTCGAGATCCGAAGGGTCCCGGCGCGTTTCGGCTTGGACCCGTTCGTGGGTGGTGGGGCGGTGGGAAAGAAGTGGACGGACTCGCCGGTGCGCGTCCCGGAGCCTGAGCCAAAGAGCATCGCGAGCTGCGCTTGTGTGACGGCCGTGGCCGGGCGCACGAACGGGATGGGTGACCCTGTTGGGGTGCGGCGCTCTTCTGGAGAGTTTGTGCGGACAGGTGACGGCGAGCGAAGGCGGGAGAGGGATTCTTGGTGCGCGAGAGAACCGGGGAGGGGGGCGCGCTGGGCGGGGTGGAAGGGAAGGGATTGCGACTTGGGCTTGTGTGACGGCGTGTGCGAGAAGTGCGCGGGCATGGCAGCCTGGGAAGGCAGACGGTCAGCGGGCGTTCCGAGGAGGATGATACGTGGAGGGAGGATGGCAGGTGGAGCCAAAGTCAGGATGAGAAGAACACGGAGTTAGGGAAAGCCGTCTGTGCGGAAGCGGACACGAGGAACGAACATTCAGGTAGTCAATGCACGAAGCAAAGCTCAGGTCTACACGGGCGCATGTGGGGATAGGCTTGGATCACATCTGCTGCGGCCAAAGTGCGACCCCGAGCGTCCACGGAGCCTGTCTGCATGCACAGGACGGTAGGCCACACAGCTCCGAAGTCTAAACCCCACTCGTAGATGCGCGCGTACACCCGTGTCCTCTTCACCGGCCGCGAACCACATCGTGAGAGCCACGGCGACATTGCGTCTCCAGGGAACGCGCAAGCCGCAGCGCCTCTGGACGCACTGAGAACGGAATCATGACGAGATGAAACGCAAAACCGCGCAACGAGGCCGAACCTTGCGGGTGGAACGGGGGAGCAAAGATGGGGGGAGATAGCGCAAGGACACTCACGTGCGACCTAAACTGGATCGAGCCATCGCTTCCGCGCGCCCAGTGCCGCAGGTGGTGCGGCTCCGCCAGCGGCGGGCTGTATACGCGCACGTCCCCGCCGCGCGCCGCCCTGCTCCAGCTCGGTCTCCTGGGCGGCTGTTCGGGCGACACCAGACCTTCGGAGTCGGACGAGGAGAACGACGAGATCGAGTCGCGGTCGTCTTCCGGTGCGTCGTCCGCGTCCGCCTGCACTTCGGCTTCGAGGTCTTCCGCGGCTCGGGCCGCGACTGCTGCAAGCCGAACGATTTCCGAGTCCGGCATCGATAGGTGAAGGAGCGCAGCGAGAGGTTGCCTAGACCCTGGTGCTTGTGGCCGCAGTCGTTCTTGAGGTTCTTGAGGCGGGTTCTGGTACACACTGGTGTTCATGCCCGAGTGTGACCCGTCTTCTTCGCTGAATGGCGTCATTGGGCGGAGCCTGCTGAATCGCCTCCACGAGTATGCACCTGTCGCGGCCACAACGCCCACTTCGACAGCAGCGTCTGCAAGCTCCACGACGGACTGCGCGTAGCACAGATCGGCGAACGCGTCGATCGGCGTCTGGAGGAGCTGGTCGTCGAGAGCGGCAAGCGCCGCGGCGGGGAAGTGCATGAACCATGGCGATGTGCAGTCGAACGAGGACGCGCGGGAGTGGACTGGGGACGCGGAATGTGGCTGAGGGGTCGAGGCGGGAGAAGACGTGGGGGTGGGAGTGCGGGCGGGGGAAATGGCGAGCGATGCAAACTTGGGCTTGAAGAACGGGTCGATGGGGGAGGGGTCGATCCCTTGCTGCTCGCTGAGCGTGGCCTCATCAGACGCCGAGAGATCCGCGTCGCCCTCGTCGTCGTCATCGTCCCCGTACTCAAGGAAGCTGCGCGTGTCCAGATCGAGTTCCAGCTCCCGTGTCCGCCGCTGCTTGTCTTTCCGCCGCGCCGCGCGCTCCTGCTCTCCATCCGCATCCTGGTCCTGCTCTTCCTGCACCTCCTCCAGCCGCTGCACGATCTCCACCGCCTGCACGCGAATCTCCTCCGCGTCCTCCGCGTCCAGGTCGAGCTCCGAAACTGCATCAATCTCGATGTCCACCGTGAGCGGCTTCTCGTCTTGTGGGCCGAGCGAGAGCGCGTCCGAGTCCGTCGACGCAACGCTGTCGCGCCGAACTTGGCTCGCGCGACGCTCGAGAACGGGGCTCGGGGGGAGAGAGACGCGGAAGAGGGTAGCTGGGGGCGATGTGTGCCGGAGGTCGTCGAACGTGATAGGGCTTTCGACTAGCCAGTCCGGGACGAGATCGTACGGTTTGTAGATGCCGCGGGACATCTCGGTCTTGAGAGTCGTAAAGAGTGAAGGCAGAAAGGAAACGAGGCGGGATGTTTGAGGGAAAGAGGTGAGGGGGGGAACGAAACCGGGGGTGGGCGGATGAAAGGGAGGTGAGGGCGAAATGCGGGCTTGAGGGGATATATGAAGCGCTGCTAATGACGCGCAGATCGAACTGTCCACCGGCGATAGCCAATAGGGCGTCTGGGAGGCCAAGTATGGGTTGCGCGATGCGGTAAGCAGAAGCGGTGGCCCTGCAGCGGCGCGTCGGTGTGAGAGGGGAGGGAGGGTATCCAATAAGTATCGATCACGAACCGCGCTATGTGTCGGCTTGCGAGACTGGAACCGGTCGGGAGGAGCGGGGAGACGGAGACGAGTGGGAGACGGCCGTTGGACGATGCTTCACTTGGGCGAGGGCGGCTGGAGGGCGGGGCTTCCTGGGTTCGTGGGATGCAGCGGGGAAGCTCCAGGTTCTTCCTGTGCCCAGTCCAGGGGTCGACGACAGCGCCGCGTCGAGAGGGGGCTAGAGGGGGGGGACAGGTCGAGGTGAGGGAACGTCCGTGAAGGGCGGTCGGAGAGAGCGAAAAGGTCGGGCGCAGGGGCATGCCTTTTGTGATGTGCGCCGCCGAGCGCAATTGTTGGAGCGCCCTGGCCGGCAGCAGCCCCTGGACGAGCGGGACGGTCGGTGCCCGGATAAATTGATAACGCCCAGATGCCGGAAGGACGCCCCGCGGCACAGGACGCAAGGCCCAACTCGAGGCAGGCGGCTCCGGCTGGGCGGACCTCGCGCCCGACAATTGGACCGGCGCTAATGGGACACCTCCCCGCGTGTGACGAGCGCCTATTCACCCCTCCGTCGACGTCCATCGGCATCGACGAGTCTCTTCGATGGCCGCGACTGATGGCTACGTTCATCTAGAAATACAAGGTCGTGCGTTACACATGTGTGCCGACAGGCATAATGCGGCTGACCATTGACGTACGCACAGCGTAGCTTGCAACGTTCTTGTGACGGTGGCACAATAACCATGGGACGGCCTTCGCTTTGATTCTCCGCTGAGCGTCGCCGTCGCTAGCTCCGCCAAGCGGGGATTCCAGCCAGCTGGTATGAGCCACCTTGACGCCGGCCCAATCAGAGTCGATACCATCTACAAGACTGGGCAATCATCACATAAGCACGAAAAAGAAGATACGCACCTTCGCAGAAACAGAAGCTCGTCTCGCGGAGGTGTGCCGTCGTCTTCATGGCGATCGACCTCCGCCGCGACGTCCAATGGCCACCTTCATCTTCCGGACCTCCGGGGTTGCATCCGCCGCTCGCCCTGCGTGTTGCAGCCTGGCATTCCGCAAGGCCACGGAGACATCGGGCGACGCCTCCACACGCACGTCCACCCGCGCCCGCGCCCGCGCCCATCGGGTGTTGTGAACCCCGCATGCGGGCCGCCGGCCTGTCGCCCAGCGGCCGTGCACAACATCAGCGCTGGCGGCGCCTCGTGTCCCGCGCGCGGGAGCTCGCGAAGCCCTCGACGCTCGACGCTCGACGCTCGACTCGGCTCACCGCCAAGAACATGAGCCCTCCTGTGAGGCTTGAGCCGCCTTCGCCCACCGCTCTTCTTCTCGCCGCACGCGATCACTCGCGCGAGAGGGGCTGATCCCCGCGCCGCCCGCGTGCGATGCGCTGCGCGCCTTGTTCTCTCTGGGCGAGGCGAGTGGTGTCGTGCGGATCGATGCCGGAGACCGCGGCCGCGGCGTCGCGCGCGTAGGCCGAGGCCAGGGTCGCGATCGGAGATATCATGCGATTGAGGGGGACGGGCGCACGGAATATCCGGACGACAGTGGGCCGCGTCTTGTGAGGGGATGCTCAGCGAATTTGACAGATGAAGAGCGTCGAAGTAATAGTGTGGTTCCGGTTGCAGCGTTTGGACTGAAGATGGAGATAGGTTCTTTCGTGGCTTCACCTGCAGACTGCCTCTTCAGCGTGGCGAGGGAGATGCACACGAAGACAAAATCCTTTCGGAAATGGCGACGGATACAATACAAGGGATTGTCGTGAACTCACATGTGACGTTAGTGGGCAGTGTCCACGCTGTGCTTGTAGTATGCGGTGATGGGTGGGTGTGGAATTGATGGTCTTCTCGCGTAGCTTCGCGAAATCCGGATATATGCGCCTTGTTTTGCTTTTGGAAGGTCTCAGTGTGCGTATTGCGTGAAAGCGAGATGAGTCTTCTGTTCAGCTAGTATGTAATGCGACATCAATCCGAAGTAGATATGGCGCCCACTGCATCTCCAGAGGGCATGCCATTCTGACTAACGGCTGTGGCGTCTCGATGTTATCGCGTGCTTCGTGGTAACGGTTGACCGATGACTTGATGGTGCATAGATGTCGGGATGATGAAAGGAGCAAGAAAAGATGCGGGCAGCTGAGGACGCGTTATTTGCGTCTGTGTACGCGTCAAGCTCAAGACGCGGCCGTGGCTGAAGCTTAAGTGAAGTCGTGCGTCATTGATTGTTTGGTTTCTTTTAGAATGCCGGTTCATCGATCAGATGGCTAGATATGATTGCTGCAAGTAATTGTGCACATCGTAGTGGTGTAACTACAACAAGACGAGATTGAACTGACAATTCAAGGACAAATGAAGGGAGAGCGAGTTTCAACCCAGGATGGTCGTAAACAGGAAAGACGAATCTGGTCCTACGAAGAGTACGTTTCCAGACCGTTGCTAATCTGTAGTAAGGATCAGTGAAACTTACACCCGGCCTCGGTGAATCCAGCAACTACGGCGAGTCACGATAGGAAATTGGGCGAGACAGAACCAAGGGAGGAAGCGTGGCATCTGCAGGGGGTGCTTTGATGTAGCCGCGCGATCCAGATGGCTGAGGGAGGACCGCGGGTGTTGAACCGGCCCAACGCGATGATGACAGCCCCCGCGAGGGTGAGCTAGGGCCGTCGCGGTGCGGTACTCCTCCGGGGACAAACGCCGGCGCAGTTGGGCGCAAGGGAGCGGGGACCCTGGCCTCGGCACGCAGTGTCGAGCGGCGCATTCCCGCCGCACGGTGAATACCGCAGAGGACATCCTCGGGGGCCGCGACGGCGGCGTCGGTGTATGTAGGGTCGAGGTCCTTCGTCCCAGGAGAAGGCCTCAAGTCAGAGATCCGATCAGATCTAGCGTTCACTGTACGCGAGGGTTGAACGGAGGGGGGAGCTTCAGCCCGAGGTTCGTCTAGAAGTTCTACAGCGACAGCAGAGTGTGTCCGGATATACAATGAGAGGGGAGAGTATGTTGGAGACAGCTGATGGTTATTCGGAAACGGTGTGGACGACAGGTAGATCTCGAAGAAGCGCCCGCGACCCGCACCCAAGAAAATGTGGATCGTAGGGAGAGGAATGCGACTGAGAAGCCGCGCAGATGCCGACCAGACACCAGAACCGAAAGCGACAAGGGGGGATGGCCTGGATTTTGCCAGCATGTTCTGGGGAAGCAAGAGTGGAAGCCACCCTCCAGCTTGAGAAATGATAGCGCGATTACGCTCGCGGAGCCAATGATGGGGTTTCTGGGTGCGAAGTTATCAACTACCGCTCGACGTTCACTGATGGCCAATACGCACCCCAAAACCCAGCCCGACCCGTGGCCACCAGATACCTTCCCCGCTGTTCGATAACCCAATATGAACCGCCCAGGTACTGAGGAGGTCCCAAGCGGCGATGAGAAACAGGGCGAACACGATGGCTTGCAGTCGAGTGTGGGCCAAAATGACGGAAATTGCAATGTGTGGTGTAGTGACCGATGAGGTATAGACATGGACGAGGCAAAGAACCAGGCCACACAGTAACGTGGCTCTATGCTGAATGGAAGGCCGTGACCCCGCGCTCTTGAGGCGCCCCCAGTGGCCGAAGAAGTCGAAGAAAGACGTACAGGACCTGACAGAGAGTAGTTTGGGAGAATCGATGGTGCTTCCATAGGATGCTTGAAGTACTTCAAATATCGTCTTGAGTGCATTAGCGACAGTTGTAGCGCCAGCAGCTAGTGTGCGACATGTTCCATGAACAGATAGAACGGATGCAGCGGTGACCTCTTGGACGGTGTCGAAAGCGTCATGGAGCACCAACGAGAATGCACTTGCGCTATAGCAGATAGATCTTCGGATTAACTCGAGGAGAGCAAGGATAAGCCGGAGGTTCAGTCTTCGACGTGAAGTCTTGGGAAGCGCGTAACCCAGATCCTCAACGACGGAGAGTAGTTCTTGCACGACGAGGGAGAGCGTGACCGTTGTCATGAGGAGGATAAAGGATAAAAAGGATAACAGTAGGACGGCGTCTTGTTGGAGCGAATCATACAACCATGGGGAGAAAGAAGAGTTGGAGACTGTGGCTTGGGAGACGATGGGGTGGGGTGGTAGGATGTCGGCGCCAAGAGCAACGGTGCAGTGTGACAGGAGCACTACTGCGAATGAAATGAACGTGCGTAGGCGTGAGCCGTATGGTGGAAGAGTCATGACCCTTCGTGGCGGGGGATGGGTGGCAGCTGGAAAGCGGGGAGAACACGCACGCCCGTAACGCCGTTAACTGCGCCATCTTGTTGTCACGTGCACACGCCTCGATTAGACCGTCCTGATGGGACTCCGACTCGTCTTCCTCTATCCCATTTCTCTGGTCCAGCGTCGAGCTATGTATATGCAAGGAGAAGAAAGCAGAAGATAATTGCCTTCCTTGGATTGGACGGTGGTTCATCGCCATTATTCCGAGTCTTCGAGGCCCAATACTCAACCAATACTAAGCTACTGTCTAAACTAGAGCTACGTCGAGGTTCCAACGTGCACAAATGAATCCCAGGCATGTTTTCCTCATCGCCGTCACAAGCTCGAGAGGCTACGCGGTGCCTCTCCCGTCCAATTCCTCATCGCCGTGTCGCTCGTTTTGTTCCTCGTCGCCGTGTCGCTCGTCTTCTTCCTCATCGCTAACTCCTACCATATAATAAACTCCGAGCTTCCACCGCTCATATTCCTCGCTCTCCGTTCCCTTCAGAACGAATCCTGTTTCCGAGATCTCCTCGAGCATATCCTCCAGACCGAACAGGTCGACGCCCACATGCCCCACCTCCCGCGAGTCGTCCGGAATCACCATGTGCTCCGACTGCAAGAGCCACCGCGTCGAGAGACGATGGATAACGCAACGGACACGTTCTTCCCCGGGCCCCTCCGTTCCTGACGCTGCGGACCCGGCACCGGGCCCACCAGGGTCGAAGGCGTCTGGCGCGCAGATCTCCGGCCACTGGGCCGCGTCCGTCGACCGCACCTCGCTGGTGTAAGCCTGTTTGTACGAGATCGGGTCCAGAAGACGGACGTTGCGGAGGCTAGGTGTCGCGCTGAGCTTTCTGTCGACGAAGCTCGCGCGGATCGCGTCTGCGTTTGGGGTCCAGAGGGCGTCGGTTTCGATATTGTTGTTCCGCTGGTGGTCCGCCATGATCCATAGATCGAGCCACTTGAGCGAGGGAGAGCGGAAGAGGTATGGTCCGGGATAGGACGGGAAGCGGGGGAGAACGAGGTGTTCGAGAACGGGGAATAGGGTGTCGAGCGACTCTGCGAGACGGGCTTCTTGCATTTGAGTGAGAGATTCGGTTACAGAGAACTTGGGGAAGAGGTGGAGGTAGCGCAGAAGGCGACCGTGGCGCTCGAGAAGGCCCATTGGATCGTATGGGCGATGAGGATGGAGCACAACGGTGAGACGCTGCAACGCAGGGAGGCTCCATCGGATGACTACGTCGCGTTGAAGCTCCGGATGCGCTCCAGAATCGAAGGTGAACGATACTAAGGAGGGAAGGTGCACAGGGGATAAATCCGGTTGGGTGGTGACATGTCGTAGCCAATGGGTAAGTTCGGGGGTCGAGGCGCCTTCGTTTGAACGCTTCAGCGCCAAAGATTGGAGTCGTTGAGTGCTTTGAAGTAGGACCTGGATGTCTCGTATCGTATCGGCGTCCTGAAGAGCAGCGCATATGTCGAGGTGGAGAAGGTGGGACGCCGTTAGGCACAACAACGCTGGGTGGTCGGGAGAAGAGGGCCGGAACAGCCACGTCGGATTGTATATGATCTCCCACAGCCAGCCCTCCTCGGGAAAGTCGAGATGAAGAAAGTTCGGATGGGGAATGTACTGAACCGACTTGACGTTTGGACAGCGCTTGAATATTGTGGCGAGGTCGCGTCGAGCGGGTCCCGCGTACTCGTCTAGCACCATACACGTGTCCATGCGGATGCTCCTCACCATCCGACCTAAAACCCTGCCGACGTCTTCGGACTTCAAGGTGCGTGAAAGAGGGGCAAATTGGCTCATCCTGCGAAGAACAATGTCTTCGTACAGGGCTGCTGTTCCGGCCCACCGCGTCGCTCTGCAGATGAGAGGGAGAGACTTCTTGCCGTGGAACATGCGCAACCAAGGACTGCTGGCGGACCGGCAGGCAGAAGGATCCAGGTGTTGCCGTTCAGTTGAGACGCTGTCCAAGAAGATGTGAAGTTGTATCTCTCTTGGAAGGTTGCATAGCGATATAGAACGACCCCAGCCATGACAGAGGACCTGGGGGATATGGAGACTCGTGAGCTCCTGTTAACATATGCTCAATCAAATATCATAGCGAACCGTTGAAAACTCGGTCATAGAGCGAGGTGTGGTTGCCGGTTGAAATGACTCATCAGTTGGGTTTGGCATTGACGTACGTGATCTCAGTCGCGTCCCGTAACGCGAAGGTAACGGTGTGACATCACATTTTACCTGTTGCGCATGCTTGCATACGATATATGTGGACTTGAGGGTTTGGACCGTTCAACATCTACTCTCCGTCCGCGCCAACCATGGCCATGCGAACTGCTGATTTTAGAGTCAGCGGCAAGGTGCAGGGGGTCTTCTTCCGCGCGTTTGTGCGAAACACTGCACAGGACCTCAGAATTGTAGGCTGGGTAAAGAACGAGCCGGTATGTTAGCGCCTCGGAAGGGGGCTTCATTAACTTTTGACAGTGCTGACACTGGCGTCACTGCATTCTCAGAGTGGAGACGTTGTCGGTACGGCACAGGGACCAGAAGATGCGTTGACGAAGTTGTGAGTCATGCCAACTTCCGTGTGCTCGAAGAGTCCGTGTCTGACTATGCCATGGTGAATGGTACGCAGCAAAGAAGCGCTGCATCAAGGACCTCCTCAGGCCCACGTTAGTGGCGTACAGTTTAGCAATGAATCAGCTTTGGAACGGCCACAGTACCAAGGTTTCGAGAAGGTCAAGAACCACCGTGCCGGCGCGTAGGTTCGATTTCGTCGTTCACCGGTGAGGGTAATTACAAGCTGTAGCAAGGATGTGGTTTCACAGTGTACTGTAGGATTAGGCAGGGATCCCGCAGATAATGATACTTTTATGAAAGATTGTAAAACTGTCGATACTACTAAATTGCCTTGTTTTCGTCGCCTAACATGACTCACGGGTGGAAGAGGAGTTTCAACCTCCTGCCGTGGAGAAACGTGGGTGCACGATGTAGACGAACCGAATCCAGGATTATCTGGGTCTTGAGATCTCATCAATGCATGTTTCCTTGACCATCAATACCAGCCGTATTATGAGAAAGGGTGTATCATTCAGACCGGGAGACGGATAACATGAGATGCATCATGCAGTAAAGTACTGTAAGTCCCGATAGAACATGGACGGGTATCGTAAAAACGAGGGTATCATATAGTATGTGCACGCGACGATGAGATTCACCGCGACTCTTCCCTGCACTTCCTTGTGCCTCCACTACTCGCCAATACAGTCCTAGCGGAGATGCGGAACACCTGCCCCTTCTGTGACCCACACGAGCCTTTCACCATATGGTGAGACGGCATAGCGTGGCCTGATGAGAACTGGTGGGGGCATTTGATGCGTAGGTGCGGACGTCCCACGACGGCGGTAGGACTCGAAACCAAGTAATGTGCACCGGAAACCGGCTGCCACGAGTACTGGAAGCGGTCGGCGTGGTGACGGCGGAAGGAATCGCGGAGAAAGTCGGCAACGGCAAAGACGTCTGGATGGGCGGCCGATGCGGGCGAATTTTGACGAGCGAAAGACGACACGGGCTCTGGTTGAGATATGTGCTGGAACAGTCGGCGCGTGGTGAAATGCATGCGATGGAGAACGAGTAGGGTGTGCGACTGATGGCTGAGACTAGCCTCCGAGATATTCCCCTGATTCAAAGTGAGGGTGGTGACCGAGCCAGGAACGAAGGAGGCGAAGATGACGGAGGAGAGAATGGCCAAGGAGAGGAAGACAGCGGCGAAGATCTTCGGGTGGGAGGACGGCAGAACGGAGGCTTTGCCGACCCAGTGACGGGGAGTAGGCTGGGTGTCGGTGGAGGGGGTACTAATTTGAATGGGATCCTGTCTTTCCGACGACTCGGCGGCGGTTTTGCGCGCGTCGTCATCGGGGCTATTTGTGTTCGACTGAAGAATGAAAGCAGTTGATGAATATATGCGCCACGGGCAACGCGTGCAGGACGTACCGCGGAGCGGAGCAATGAAACGAGGGCAAAAGAGGACAGATTGATAATGACCAAGACAACGACAAAGGCTAGGGCTCTTGAGACAGTGAACAGGACGCGGAAGACGGGGCTGGCGACGATCTTGATGTAGGGCGAGGCGAAGGATAGGAATGCAGAGATCCGGCGAGAGATATACCAGAGAAACCCGAAAATCCATGAGAGATAGGGAAGAGACCAGGCAGTGAACGTGAGGACGGGAGGGAGGATGGTATCGAGGAGCTTGCACGCCAGAATGCACTGGGTGCCGTCCCTGTAGCCCAGGGATGCCACTCATATTTTTGACACTGTAGCCCGGGGATACCACTCGGGTGGGCTCATATGAGCGGGCGCTCTGTAGCCCATATTCCCGCTCATATGAGGACACAGCCACACATGTGAGCCTGCCTCTACCGCCTTTGTATAACACTCTGACTACTATTCCTGCTTTGTAGCTACTACATCTATATAAAAGGATGTACCCTGTGTTGCCTCTCATATGAGCCCGTCGCCTCTGTTGCCTCTCATATGAGCCTGTCGCCTATGTTGCCTCTCATATGAGCCCGTCGTCTATGTTGCCTCTCATATGAGCCCGTCGTCTATGTTGCCTCTCATATGAGCCCGTCGCCTGCGTTCTAACTCATATGGGCACAGCGCTCATGCTGTGTAATATCTAGATGGCTACTACATCTATTTAAAAGCATGTACCTGGTGTTGCCACTCATATGACCATGTAGCCTGCATTGCTGCTCACACAACCATGTCACCTGCACCACCCCTCGTATGTGGGTGGCGCTTCTTCTGCCATACCATATTTATATGCAACCACTTTGCCACAGATGACACTCAAGAAAAGAAGTACATTCAGTGAATAGGGTGGAATCAAGGCAGGTACCTCTGTGTGGCATACACGAAAATAGCCAAACAACCCATCAATAGAGCATAGCCCCACAGCAATTTACAAATGGTACACATAGCAATGAACCATATGCTCAGTAGGCACCAAATGTACACCAGAGGATATTATGAAGACACTGGGTAACGCTTAACAACAGTTGAAAATGACCCCTGGGCATCGTGTGCAAAACGGCCCCACATGGCAGCCTGCCTATAGGCATAGCCTTGCTGCCCAGGCGAGAAACTGGTGTTTGCCCCCCTGTCATTCCACGTCGTTTCAGACGCACGGAATGACGACACAATTGCATCCATCTCAAGGGTGAGCCAGCCGATCTCCTCCCACCATCTATCCTTCCTTTCATGCCCTCTATACCACATGGAGCGACGAGCTGTGAATGCAACAGTGAGTGAGTGTCCTAAAAATATGCCAAACAAATGCTTACTGGCTGCATGGTAGTTTTTCTCTGCATCTGCCCCTTCTCCAGCGAAGGTCCACAGCCATGAGGGATGTTTGTGGCGTTGCCCACGTAAGGACGCTTCCACGATAGATGCATTGATATTGAGGTCTGTAGGAACAATGGGTAGGTACATTGCCATGTGCTTCTGGAGGAGGGCTTGTTCGTCTGGGTCTTGAATATTGTGCAGGCTTGTCGGGACTGCATGTACGTCCGTACATGGCGTGCAATCATTTGGTCGCAGACTCTGATGTCGTCAAAGGAACGTAGGGAGGCACGGGTAGAAGAAGCATTCCGTACGCCCGTGGCAAACTGGTATGACTTGTTCGCGATGCCATCTCTGATGGCGTTGATGCTGTCATGCATATCTGCTTGTCGAAGCTCCCGTTCTTGAACCGCAAGGTGCCAGCAGTTGTTACGTAGGAGATATTCCCTACCCAGGGTTGCAGGGTTGACTATGGGGCGTGACTCTGGCGCACCCACTTGCTCTGGTGCGATAGCAGGGTCCACAGGAATAGCATCACAGACATCCACTCCTTCGTGTGCATCCCATTCCTCACCAAGTGTGTGAGGTGTGGAAAGGGAATCAAGAACTGGGTAAGAGTCGGTGGGAAGAAAGGCAGCCCCAGCTCGGTTGAACCTTTGAATCAGAGAGAGCAGCTTTTGGCGTTCCTGAGCAAGATTAAGGCGAGCGTGGTCGGTGGATGCCTTGCTAAGCTGCCGAGCCATTCGCGCAACAATGACTCTGAAGATATACATGAGATCAGCCTGCAGGATTGAGCCCTGACCAGTGGAGGGGGCATAACAGAAACAAGATGCGCACCTCCGACGATCTATGGCGATACCAAGAACAAGCCATTCTGTGATGTTGGCTGCCCCAGCATTGTTCTCTTCTTCAACCATAGCTGTTTGTGTAGCAATGATCCCAGGCACTAAAGACACATTCAACCACCATATTGAGACGATGCCCGAGATAAACATACACGGGTTTTTGGCAAAGCTGAATATGTCTTTCTTCGCAATGTCCTCGCTTGCAGCATTGTGGGCATCATTAACTGCCTGAGTCCACATTGCAATTTCGTCTTTAGTAGCGACACCATTTATGTCGTCAAACGCTTTCGTGGCAGCTGCACATTCACGATGGGCTGTAATCCATTTCCGACACTGTGTGTGTGCTTGCTCCAAGGATCAACGACTGGGCTGGAAAGAATAGACAGGTCTCACCCATACGAGTCAGCTTCATCCAGTTTGAATCACACATGTGATCGTCTTGAACCTCTTGTCTGTGGGAGGTGCTCATGCCCCTGGTGCTGTCGCCGATGGCATTCAGTGGTTTCCACAGTGGTTCCATAGTCTCCCCATCCTGAATACCTGCCCAACGAACAAAGTTCAAAGAGTAACGGGCGAAGCAGTTGTGTTGATGCCCATGCACATGGAACTGCCCAATTGCCCAGAGAAATGTGGCCTCTGGCGGAATGTCAAGGAAAGGGGAGTTGGCAAATCGTGTGGCCATGTTGACGTGGTACTGGCAAATGATGTCGTAGATGAGCAGGAAGGATGAATAGACTGTGTATGCCTTCAATGCCCAGTTGACAGAATAGTCCATGTTGCGTTGACTGTGGATCATATCAGTCGTGCGACGTATCGTATAGCTAAAAACATACGCTTCTCCACGCTGGAAGTCGACAGCAGAGTGGGGCACAAATACCCCATGCCGTGAACACGCAGCCGCCCCTATGCCTGTGACATCCAAATGGTCTTTTGTGTTGTGGGACTCCAATGCTGCACGATGTGAGTTGCAGGTAGAACGAGGCCGCTAATTTATGTTTTTTCTCAGCCATCAAAGAACCATCAGAGCATAAGTTCAACCCACTGGCTCATTTCGTGCAAGCGCGTCAGCGAGGTGAGCTTTATATGCGCCTGGCCGACCATGTGCATCTTGCCATCCATCAAAGAAACATCACCAGACTCAGAGGCCATCTTCATGTGTTGTGCACAGAAGTTGCCGTCGAAAACGAGGGATGCTGGATATTGGCAACTGGAACAGTCAAATCAGGCTGTGTTGAATAGAAGTCCCCTTCAGAAGGGTCGCAATCCATAGAATTGGGGCCATGGGCCACTAAACACAGGAGGTCGGAGTACCT